GGCGCTGGGCGTAGCACTGGTTCTGGCGCTTCTTTTATATATTTTGAGAAATCTTTTATTTCAATTTTGGCTGACTGATCTCGGCCTTTGCTGATAAATTTCTTACGAATAAAATTCTCAGCATGGAGATCATTTTGTAATTGTTTGGTCATGTGATTTTTGAGTTTAGAGTTTCGCGCGCTAAATTCTGAATTCGGTAATTCTTCATTAATTTCGCAAAACATTGTCGTTTCGCCCATATTAGCGACCCAAGTGGACGGTTCAAAGTCCCAATTAGGATCATTTCCGTCAGGAGTGCATAGAAGTTCATAACGGACTTCTAAATCAAGTGGATTTTTGAATAATAACCACGTCCCGTCCTTTCTTTCGTCAATGGAGATGTAGTTTCCTCTTTGCCATGGACGACCTAATAATAGACTGAATGGTACGTGATCACCAACAAACAAATTCGCGTGAGTACTAACTCCTCCACAATCTAGTGGAACATTTTGTACCAATCCGCGTAGTTTGCCTTCGCCGCCATTCGCATCGTTCATAGATACTGACTTGGCAATATCTATAGGCCTATTAATAATAGTCTTCCAGACGTGTTTGTTTACAATATTGAGTTGTGAACCCGTGTCAATTATTGCATTAATCGCTTGACCGTCACAATGCATGGCTATTTTGATTAATAGTCCACGTGTCTTTGTCCATACTGAATGTGCTTCTATCTTCGAGTCATTAGGTAAGGACTTTGGTTTGATAGCATTAGCGAGGATTCCGCTAAGCTCACAAGAAGTGCCAAGAAGCTCTCCTACCTCAAGTCGGATAGGAGTCCTCAACACTGTTTCAAGAATTTTCTCTGGCTTAATTTTAGCCGCGATGTCAGAGACGCGTTGACGTGTTGTTGTATTCTTACGATCAGAGTTTGGGATTGATTTGTAAGGTGTGTCATTGGTCTTTGGGTGTTTCTCATTGACCTTCCTTTCATCCACATCATCCATGATGATGTCTTCACTATCCCACCCATTATCTAGACCTTTTCCCGTCTCTTTCTTATTTGCAGGCTTTGTCTTTGTGGGTGAAACGGGTTGTGTGGACTTAGGTTTGGTATGAGTATCAGCCTTCTTGGCTTGAGTAGTGGGAACTTTATCTTTCCCTTTATCTTTTTCGCTCGGTTTCCTTAGGGTTTTGCTTTGACCTGGAGGGAATACCTCCTGGAACCTTTCGTGTCTTCCTTGTGTGGAGTTTCGTGTAACTCTTTCAACTGGGAATGCATATGTTTCTTCATCTGTATCACTTTCTTCTTCACTCTCTTCATACTGGTTGGTTGAATCATCCATGTCACTATCTTTGCTATCAGAACTCACATACTCTTCGATGTATGCGGTCCTAGTCTCTTGACTTTTATTTTGCTTATTTGCACTATAGGTTTGTGTGTCTCCGCTATTCACTTTGATAAAGTGAGCTACTGGCACACTGTCCTCTCGCTTTAGTGCTTCAATGATCGTTTCTTCAGGTAGCCGTCTTACAGTTCTTCCATCTGGTTTTCCTATTTGCCCATGGTGTGTACGCTGTAGCTTACCATCAGCGATTAGTTTATTTATCTGTGGACACATTGGAATACCATGTCCCTTTTCACCACAACCAAAGCATGTTCATTCATTGAAAGGGGTGTTCGGTGGGTGATAGAACCTAGTACCTGGTTGTGGTCCTCTGAATGTCTGATTGGTGTTACTGTTTTGCCTTACATTATTTTGTCCATTCTGATTGTAGTAAGGCTTATATTCTCCTTGGGTAGCATTACCTCTTTTCAAAATAGGGGCTGCTATCATTTCTTTGATAGTAGGATCGATTCGTGTTGCTCTGTAATAATACAAAGCATAGTCTGGATCATCGAGTGAGATTGCATTGAGTCTCTTGATGAGTCCCTTTATTTCATCCATAGGTTCTGGTGAAGTGATACTAGGACTCTTAGTATCTTTTGAGGAAGTCTTAGTTTTGGCTTCCTTGACATGTCCTTTCGCTTTCTTTTGAGCTTTCTTTACTTCTTTCTTATCTTTTGGCTCTGGGGCCTTCTTCTTCTTACGAAAAAACTCGGTTTCAGATTCACTAGACTCTGAGTCTGTATTGGCATCAGAGTTTTCTTCAGTAGAGGAGTCAGTTTCAGACTCAGTCTCTACTTCAGAAACTAATAGGTCTGCATCAAACCGGTCACGGTGTAACAATTTCTCTGCTATTGCGACAACTCGGTCTACTGGGAAGGCTTCAGATAGATCTCTGTCTGGATCCTTGGCCATGAGGCGTGTTTCAATTTTGATACGGAGTTTCTTATAAATCCCCTCCCAGAAGTAACTTGCATATTCTTCACTTGTTAATTTCTTGGCTTGTTCAAGCCATCCTGCAATACAAATAAACCCTCTCACATACTTCTTCCAAGCTGTGAGTGTAGGGATTTTCTTTCCTCGTGTTGTCCTTACATAGGACAATAAATCTTTGCGTCTATATCGCTTCGTGTCAAGGTCTACATCATAATACTTCAGAATGTCAGCCTTGAGTTTGCCCCAGTTATTAGATCTGAAGCTCGGTAGTCCCTCTACAAATTCTGTTACATGACGGGACATGTACTGGGTAATAGATTCACATTTCTCCTCATCAGAGGTTACATTGTGATAATCACACAGTTTTTCATAGTGTTTCAGAAAGTCCTTGACTTCTGAAAATCCACCCTTGAATTTGGCAGGTGCTGCCTTAGTTCCAGGGTTAGGCAATGTTAATACGGATCGTGTAGTCATGTTTGACCTTTGTTTGTGTTGCGTTGATACGATTGTTGATGTTGTGATGTGTGTGTGGAGTGATTTATACAAAGTATGGCTTTGTTTACGATTGTTGTGATTTCTTTGTTGTGTTTAAATATGTTTGTTGACGTTTTGTTGTGTGGGTGGAATGAATTATATGAAGTGTGCTTTGTTTACGATTGTTTTGCAATGTTTGGTACAAGAAGAAGCCTCCCTCGCGGTGGGCTCCAGTGATGTCTTGTTACTTAAGGGTCTTATATGAAAGTTGTGTATAATGACAACACAATTATACACGGTGAAGACTTCTTGCCAGTCCTTAAGTCCACGGTCTCCGACTTTTCTACTTCGTGGGAGGTAACATGGTGAGTTCTTGGGAGGATTTAGTTTGTTGTCCTCTTCTTGTGTAGTCTTATACGAAGTTGTTGTGGAATGTTCTGTGTTCTGGATAAATTCGTTAGGTTTGTTTCAGCCTAGTAGGTCGTGTTTCAACCTATGAAAGTCTGTTTCAACTTTGTCGTCCTTAGATGTGTCTCACTTTCCGTTGAAAGGGAGAGTCTTATGAATACACGTAAAGCTTAGAATGAGAGCTGTTCAATGGTTATATAGTCAACCCCTGTAAGGTAGTATATAACCTAGAGTAGAATAACGATAATGAAAGTTATATAGTCGACCCCTGTAAGGTAGTATATAACTTTAGAATAGATAATGATATCTTAGATTACCTCAAGGCACTTATATTGGCCTGCACTTTAAGTCTTAGTGGTCTCACACGGTTTGAGATAAGAGTCAAGTGGGAGGATTGTATTTCATGGGTGAAAATGGGGTCCTTTTATACCTTTTGGGAACCCCCTTACTAAGCATGATTAATCAGATGGATTAGTAAGAATGTGGCTTACAAACCAGGTGATGAATCAGCTTATTACTAAGTACATTACAAATACAGTGTAATCTTACAAAGAAATTAGAAACCATGACAAACCATGACTAAACATGTTGAGTCATGTTAAATGTTGTTACAAAGCATGGCCAATCATGACTAAACATGCTGAGTCAGCTTAAATAATGTTACAAACCAGAATATTTCCCAGTCACATGATGTGATGACAAATAAAAGCTGGTGGCTGAAAGAAGCCAAATACAAATAAACAGTCAGAAATAAATAGAGATACAAAACTTGGTGGCTGAAAGAAGCCAAATAAAAATAAACAATGAGAAATAAACAGAACGTCACATGCTTGATACAAATACAAGGTAAAATAAGCCTGTAAAGTGAGAAATAAAATACAAGACAATGAAATAAAGGAAAAATAGAGAGGTAACTTAGTGACAAAGGGCTAGACAGTCTCTCATATCTTCCTTATCACTCTCTATATATCTGACATGGTATGAATCACATACCATGCATGACACCGTATATGTAATACATTCCACGTCGGCCCACCTGTATATGTAATACACCCTACGTCAGCCCACCCGTCTATGTAATATTCCCTACCTCGGCCCACCCATATATGTAATACACCGATGTCGGCCCGCCCGTCTATATAACAATATTTCCCTTACATCTCTCTTCAGCCCAGCTGTCTATAATATCCTACTCTACATATTACCCAGATGGGCCCACCCATCTCCATGAATGATCATATTCCCCCGGCCCATCCATCAACATTAATGATATATATATCATTGGCATACATGGGCCCACCCGTCTCGATCGGAAATAATATGTGTCCCATCTGTCATCATCGAGAATATACACAACATGGGCCCATGATCAGCTGGCCCGTCTCATACGGGATATTATGGAGGTCGGGTGGCCCGTATAATACGGAATTTGTCACTGAAGGGGCTCCATGGGCAGCTCAAAATGGACGTGACGGTTGCTAGTCATATTGTAGAAAAAAGTGATGAGGTTTCAGATGAGTGATTGGAAGATCCATCGAAGACATGAGCATTAAATATGTGCTGATTAGTGTTGTGGCTGCATCTGCGGGGTTTAAACACTTAGCCAGGACAATAGATTATGTGCGTGTGAAAATTGACACGTAGTCACAGATGTGGTCAGAGATCAGTGCTTTTGAATCTGCATGCCGCCGCATGGTACGGGTGACCAAGCTGAGTTTGTATTATGACATGAAATTTTAATTCGTTCCATCTGCCATATAATGACAAGCGAATTGTCCCCATTTTTGTTATCTACACTCACATTCCCTGCTCATCATGCCATCCTCAGAAGTCTCGAACAAGGTCTTCAATGAGGTAACTGCCGGTGTGCTCCAAATTTTGGCAAGAGCCTTGCAGTTGAGCGAAGGTCCCACTGGCCACCTGAACATGGCCACAGAGATGGCAAACATCATGGTCAGCATGTCCTCATTAGTCATGCACTGTTACCTAATTAAGCACAGACTCTGGCATTTCAAACTCATGCACGGTTGGTGACTGAAATTCCGCTGATCTTGCTTTCGGCAGCCATGGAATTAATGGAGCATGTAGATCGTGTTGGTCAGACATTGTTTCTTAGTGTCCCGGTGTGGAACAACATCAAGTCTAACAACTCTCACATCGAGCGCCATCAGTTATATGGCAAGGCTCACAAGGTAATTACTGCCTCGGCGCCAGCACCGATGTCGCAACCTCCAGATACACCACTGGTCGAGGCGACCACAAATACACCGGCGGTCCCATCAGTGGCAGCAAAGTCCGAGCCACTTGGAAGATCTGTCACGAGGAAGATGCCGATAGACTTGTGTCAGGACAGTGACGAAGTCGAAATCGTTGGGGATATCACCCAAAGTGATGCTCTCCACAAGAGGAAGCGGAGCTCTACTGGTGGATCTGCAGAGGTCACTGTTTGCTCTGAAGACAAGGTCATCGTGCCGGCGATTGTGGACAAAGCTGAGGATGTCGCTCCGGGCGATACAAATACAATGCCGACTAGACCAAGGCCAAAGCCGAAAAGCAAGCGGGTGGAGATAGTAGTCTCATCTGGGTCTGAGGTCCCAATGGATAGAAAAGGGAAGGGAAGGGAAGTTATGTTGCTGTCAGAGACACGCCGGCGGGACCATGAGCAGAAGAAGTCTAGAGATGTGAGTTCTGGCAAGCCGCCGAAAAAGGCCTCTGACCATCCTCCGCTGATGCAAAACGCTGGTGATCAATGGAAACCATGGTATGAGGTCCAGGTAGGGAGCTTTGTCATTCTATCTTTATGATTGTCTCATTACTGTATTCTCCAGAAAAGGTTCAGCACTAGGACTGCTGCACGCGACCGGCAAAAAAGTGAAGCTATGTTGCTGGAACAAAAGGCATCGGTCGCCCCTGAGCCTGTGGGTACCATGAGCACGGCGATGCAGACTGATGTCAATGCTGTAAGCTCCCAAAATGCCTTGAGTCTTCCTCCTTCTTATTCGGTAAAGAACACTCCCATCGCCGCAATTCCACTCACGCTGCCTCCTCATCCAACTCAATCGCTGAAGACATGGAAATTGACATGCCCGGTGACAAGGTTGCAAGGGATTTGTAGGTCATGATGCTAGAGGTGAAACTTGATTCGGTGTCGCCCCTAGTGGCGGTTCAGGACACCATCAATAACCTTCAGACTCAGGTGGCTGACATCCGAACTCAGAATGCCAAGATGGCCGAGTTGGTTCAAATCATGAACGCCCGCCTTGCTGCTCAGGATACTGACATCCGAGCTATGGAGAAAATGCGTGCCGAGGTCGCCGGATTGCAAGAGGAGGTGAAGGCCTTGCATGCCGAATCTCAGACTCGTGAGGCTCAGATCCGGAGCGCCGATGCAGTGTTGACTGCACAAGGACATCATACTGCCGTCCTGATGGATGCCTATGAGTCCATCTGGCAATGTGTTGTCCCCAACCCACCCGTTCCTCATTTTAATAATGCTGTGTTATTCCCTCCTGCCGGTCATCCAGTCCCATACAGTCAAGGCATGAGCGCCGGGCAGGCCCAGGCAATGGAATGGCTTTATTTCAATTTCACCCCAGGTCCGTCCACCATCGCAGGTACTTCCATTCCAAGTATCTCCGCCGCACACGCCGGACCCTCAGGTTCCCAGATCACCCGTCCCTCCGGTGAATCGGCATCTGGGAAGGGTCCCGCCACCTAAATGATTTCCATTGGTCATTATTCTTACAGTCACCATGTAGTGGTAGATAATTTGGAACTGTGCAATAATATTCTTGTTCAACATTCACTATTGATCATCCTCCCTCAGAGATGCACCATTGTGAGGTGCCGCTGCAATGCCGGTGATTTCCTTACCTTCCGGTGACCGACTCCGAAGCTGCGGTCCATTGTCTTTATCTAGCATCATTATGTTTGTGTTATCCATTCATCGGGAAGGCTCGGGCATGTGGCTTTCTTAACCGGGGGCCTAACATTCTTTTATGTCATTATCTTATGTCCCATCATCGATTCCCAATAAGTGGTAATTATAAAGGTGTTGACCAGTCAGTGATATGGTTGTGTCTGTCCCCGCCTCCATGAGTTTGCTCCCTGCTGACTGGGCTTTGGCCACCACTCATCTTGCCAGTGACTATGTTTGCCGCCAGTTCTGTGCCATTGTTGGAGTGATGCCAAAGGTCCTCCCGCCGCTGGAGCTCGATGTTGTTTTGATGCTAGGTTGCTCTCACCTCGCAAGGATCCTCGCCAATGCATATCTCAATCCTGGTAATGACCTTTCCGTGCATCTGGTGCTAGTGTTGATTTGAATTGGCTTTAGTCACTATCAACTTTGATATGACGAGATATTCCGAAGTACTGCAAAAGCAGGAGAGAGGTGTTAACCCCGGACATGAAGAATCGCTCCTTACCCGATACCCGCTGGATCGTGAGATTATCCTGGAGCGTCCTGCAGTTGTCCTCGACAAATTTGGTCTTATCGTGCTATGGTACCTCCCCGGAGCAATTGATGCTGCCATGAAGGTAGGCTTGCACAACTCGCCGATGATCTCTGCTGTTACATAATGACATGCTTTCGGCAACAATGATGATGTCAGGCCCGCTGGGCAAAAGTATCACCCGTGGTACATCGCCGAAGGACACATGGCATACCCATAAATCCAATTTTCAAATCAGTGAACATGGCCTTACCTCAGGGTGCATAAATCTATCGCCGGGGTGGTTCCTGCAAGGTCATCCGGTGCATTGACTGTTCGGAACAGAATATTCTTGCCTGATTTCTTCATAGGCTCCCTAGTTTCAGCCTGAAGTGTCGGCGACCCTTAAAAGCGACGATGGTGCAGCTTACTGCCGGGCGATGTGCAGACCGGCAGCCCTTGTTGCCGCTGCATTGAGAGTCATGCACTCCGGTCTCTATTGGTCATCATTGACCACACAACTGGGGCTTTGGGTTTGGGCAGATACTCATCAAACACAGATCATGGGGACTTGGCTCAGAGAATGGGCATCTGTCTTTACCGTCATCGCCGTTATGTGCAACCGGTATACTCCCTTGCACTGAGATGCTCTATCCCGCACTCAATGGTTTGACATAATGACCAGTGTCGGCGGGTATACATTGGCGCGAATGAAGATGCCAAATATTGGGATTGAAATTGCATATAATGCAGGTGTCATGGCCGGCGCCTCGGGAAGAATTGTTAGGCATGGGGTGAACTGGGTGAACAGCGATCGAGTTGGCTGGGTGTGGTACATGAGGGATGATATCCATGAATTTGTAGATGTACCTCGAGGTGATTATTCAAGGTACAAATCTGTAGTTACCGATGCGATGGAATTTGCATAGAATTGGGGTATATATAGTACATTTGGGGATTTCTTCAAAGTCATTGATCCCTCAGTTCCATACAAGCATCAGCGATTGTCAGTGCCGTTCGGCGCCATATCGCCGGTTCAAGTTTATCAGTGGATATTGTGCAGCCCGCTGGGCCTGCCTGTTAATCCCGTTAGCCAAGACTGGGCCCGTTCTGCTTGTTTGATGTGATGTGGGCCCACCCCAGATTTAAGAGGTGTCATATGGCCTGCGTGCCAATTTGGCTTACCTGGGATGGGCCCATTGCATCGATCTGGTGCTATTGGGCCCACCTGGCCACCGCTGCACAGGGGGTAGGTCCGACTGTATACAATGCTGACGCCTCTGGGCCTGTGCGTCTCCCTAACGTCCCTTGGGGTTTCATTACGATTATGCGGCCAGCCCATGAGCTCCAAGATAGAGATCTGGGCCCAGCAGTGTTCATGAATGTGGTGCTCCAGGCCCACCCATCCGCCGCACATACGGGGCCCGGGCCTATTCAATTCAGGCAACATGATATGGGCTCCCTCAAGCGCCTTATCGCCGCAGCCCCAGCTCAGCCACATATAAGGTAGTATCTGCTTGGGCCCACCACTCCATTCATCCCACCAGCAATGAGCCCATTGTTTTATTCTACCTATCATGTGGGCCCACCTGTTGTATCAAAGCATATTGGTAGGACCCACCGGACTACATCGCCGGTGCGCTGAGTAATCTCCGCCGGCCGTTGATTACTTTGCACGTCCGGTAGTCCGCTACATGCGCCAGCGGTCGTTGACCTTATGATCCGCCATCATTTCATCACCGCTACATTCGCCAGTGGTGGTATTTCCACTCACTGGTTTACTTTTACATTCACTGGAATGCCTCATTTTTTTGGCCACTGGCAATTCATCGGTGCCAGTATTCCAGCCATCTCGGAAACTCATGGGCCCACTCGGAATTGTTGAATGATCCCTGTTCCTCATTACTGCGAGTCCACCTGTAAACACAGTCTACTTCATCCAGACCCCTGTCAGCCCACTGCAATGTTTCGAAGAATATCAGCAGTGGGCCTGCCCATAACAATATGGTACACAGCACCGCCGGGCCCACCCATGTACACCGACATACACTCATAAAGTGGGCCCATGTCACATGGAGAAAATGTCAAGGTGGGCTGGCCAGTAAGTAAGGTGATATGTCACTGTATTATGTGACTCCATTATTAAGAGCACACGCTTCTTGATCGTGCTGGTGTTCCCATTGACTCAATGTCCCTCAGTGTTTGTCAATGTTATCGTGTATCATGGTCATCAACACATCTTCATCAACAATGAAGACCACATCAGTAAATCAACTCTAAGTTGATATGACCGGGTAGTGCTGACAAATAGAACTCATTATGATGCATCTAGATTTAGAATTGCACATTATTATCCTTGTGCAACATATATACGAGAGAATATATGACTTTGCTAGGAAGATTTCATTTTGACACACATCTTATAAGTATGCAACATATGTATGAAAGAATACATGACTATGCTATGTATATCTCATTTTGATATATATCTTATAAGTAGATATCAATGTGACTAGTAACCTCCATAGACTGCAATCAGCTGGCTGTAGATCATCAAATTTATAGCATGTCGCAACACTTTGTTCATGTTAGCTATATGCCTGCGAAAACCGCAATTGTGACGATGAATTGACAATGTCTTATAATGCAATGCCAGGCGCCATCAGAAATCAACGAGGATATAATTTTCATATGTAATGACAATTCTACGACAATTAAAATACAGTATGACAATAAATTGCACTTAGTGATTGAGATTTAAGTGGTAGCACCTAGTATTGAACGCAACTGGTTGAGACCGCAGTGATGTGCAAATTACCTTGGAAATAAGCTGGCGTGCAGGGCGACTGATCACATAGTACTAGATCACCTTAATCTTGATATGAAGGCTGAAAGTTTCGATACTATTTCATGATGGGTACTACCGAGCGAATGGTAATTGACTATCAGAGACATAGAGAAGTAGCACAATTGACATAGATCCAATCTGACGTACAACTAGCTTAAATAGAAAAATATCAATACAACGTTAAAGAAATGTCCCAAACTACGATCAGGGAGGAGTCAGGGCTACAAACCGATAACACAACTACAATTGAGAAGATTACATCAGTAAAGAGACATTGGAAGAGGCATATGAAGACAAAAACCAACCATCAGACCAATCATTGTTATGTCCATACGTCACAGCACTCCCAGAAGAACCTGCAGAAATCTTAGTATGAGAACAGAAGCAAGGGCTGCATGCTCACCATCAGACTCAGTGCCCTCGGACTCAGCAATGCGTGATAGGGCTTCAGACAGCATATCCACTTCTGTCTGTGCGCGGTGCTTCTTCAGGTCCAGAATATGAATATCGGACCTAAGCTGGTCCAGACTTTTGGACTCTTTGGCTTTGAAGCCATGCCTGTTATTGAGGTATGGGGGCTTGCTCTCTGCAAGAGATGCGTTCACATATGTACGATATGTGATGTGATCCACCCAAGCTTTCAGAAAACGTGGCAGGGAAAGAAATATATCTTTGGACTACATAGCATCAGAATACAAGGTCCTGTAGCATAGTGATAGCACTCACGATTGGAGAGTATTCGATTTCTAGAGTCTGTGGAAAATCAATTTTGCGGCTGACATTAGATTCAACTTTCATAGTAGTGTCTTGGAAAGACGACGACGCGAGGAGCCATGCTTTGCACTTTTCTGTGATGTTACTCGAAGGCTGGAAGCAGCCCAATCTAACCAAGCTAGGCGCCGAGCGTGCTCCCGCGTTCTCGACAGCGTTCACTGTGACCGGCTGCTTTAGACCAACTAAAAACAAAATTAAGTGTTGTCACTATCCTTTGAACAGTTTTACTTACGTGTGTGAGCGTCTGGGTGAGACCTAGTCTCCAGCTCTTCGCACGCATTAGAAATAGCATTGCTAAACAATGAGACTTCCATCTGGGCTCGGAGCATTCTGTCCTGCATCAGACATCGTCCTCCTCCCGCAAATAATATTATATGCTCTTCTTGCTGGAGTATCTCCTGCATCGCGACCTCCTTAAGGCTCACATCAAGGAAAGCCATAAGATTGTGGGAGTCGACCCAACCAAACAGCACTGAAGCTGTGACAAGGAGGGAGTCTGGAAGCTGGAGGAAAAGTCAGAAAAAATATAAGAAGGTTGTGAGCGTACTAACATCGGCACGTCCCTGTTTCCGGAGCCATGCCACGAGGGCGGCCTCGCTCTGGTCATTTCCAAGAAAGTGACATTTTGGATGTCTATCCCATGTAGAAAGAAAATGTGAACAAATATCGAACATATTGAAGTGGAAGAAAAGAGACTCGCAGGGCGTTCTCACGATTGTTCAATACTTACACAACCTATACAGAAGATTGGGAAAGGATGGCCAACTGATGGCCAACTAACTATTAATCAAATGTATTTCGAAGTGATGGCATCATGGCCAGCCGACGGCGATCAAACTCTAAAATAATAGAAGGTTTAATTGAATACACAAATTAAATAATAATTATAACTCAGCGTACCAATTCATTTGCGCAACTTGGCGTTGACTATGGCGGAAGCCGTTTCAACTGTCACAAAGTTTGCAGCCAACCAACATATATTTCAAAATACAGATGAGACACAGAATACAAAATCAAGTCATAGCAGACAAAGAAGTAGCTGTAGAATTGTTCAGCCTTCCGATGTGGCAAACATCGGCCTCACTGTACATCACGTTAGGCATCAGCAGCAGTACGGATGCACATGTGAACTCACATAATGGTGCAAAGCCTGCGGAAGTCACTCATGAGTGTGACAAAATCTGGATCGTTCTGCTGATGCAGCAACATGAAAGCGGTTTCGCGCAGTTCTTGATGCACCTGGCTGACGGTCGAAAAGGGAGGCATGACATCAGATATCTCCCAAATGCTGATCAGCTTTATCATGAGAGCATTGTAACACTGAAAATAAAAGTAAAAAAGTGCTCGCCAGGAGAGTCAAAGGTGCTTACAGTGGACCCCAGTAATGCAAGTGTATCTATGGGAGGGTGTGGGGCATGCCTGAACGCCGCGGGGTCGAGATCAGCCATAACAAGTCTGATTCGACATATGGTGGTGGTACAGAAGGCAAGATGATACATGATTTCCTTTGCAATCTGCTCCCTTGTAAAGACTACAAAACTGTTGGCCTAAATGCAAAATAAGGTTCGACAATGTAAGAAATAAATTCACTGGAACTTACTGCGATGGGGAGCATATGCGCGTAAGGGCGAGTAAACATTCGCAAAAGGCCCAGAATCTTCTCCCTTAGGGCTATGCCCCACAGTACATCACTTCCAAGGCCAAAACCAGCGCGAGGGTCGTCTAAGGAATGTGCTACTACTCACCTAGTATCATAAAGAAACTGCGATAACCATGGACTCGCCTATACTGAAATTAGACTAGTGAATACAAACAAAAATGACGCATACCATGAGCAACACGTCGTTGTGCGATATGGGCAACTTGGTTACTGCGGTGTCATGCATGGTATGTGATTCATACCATGTCAGATATATATAGAGAGTGATAAGGAAGATATGAGAGACTGTCTAGCCCTTTGTCACTAAGTTACCTCTCTATTTTTCCTTTATTTCATTGTCTTGTATTTTATTTCTCACTTTACAGGCTTATTTTACCTTGTATTTGTATCAAGCATGTGACGTTCTGTTTATTTCTCATTGTTTATTTTTATTTGGCTTCTTTCAGCCACCAAGTTTTGTATCTCTATTTATTTCTGACTGTTTATTTGTATTTGGCTTCTTTCAGCCACCAGCTTTTATTTGTCATCACATCATGTGACTGGGAAATATTCTGGTTTGTAACATTATTTAAGCTGACTCAGCATGTTTAGTCATGATTGGCCATGCTTTGTAACAACATTTAACATGACTCAACATGTTTAGTCATGGTTTGTCATGGTTTCTAATTTCTTTGTAAGATTACACTGTATTTGTAATGTACTTAGTAATAAGCTGATTCATCACCTGGTTTGTAAGCCACATTCTTACCAATCCATCTGATTAATCATGCTTAGTAAGGGGGTTCCCAAAAGGTATAAAAGGACCCCATTTTCACCCATGAAATACAATCCTCCCACTTGACTCTTATCTCAAACCGTGTGAGACCACTAAGACTTAAAGTGCAGGCCAATATAAGTGCCTTGAGGTAATCTAAGATATCATTATCTATTCTAAAGTTATATACTACCTTACAGGGGTCGACTATATAACTTTCATTATCGTTATTCTACTCTAGGTTATATACTACCTTACAGGGGTTGACTATATAACCATTGAACAGCTCTCATTCTAAGCTTTACGTGTATTCATAAGACTCTCCCTTTCAACGGAAAGTGAGACACATCTAAGGACGACAAAGTTGAAACAGACTTTCATAGGTTGAAACACGACCTACTAGGCTGAAACAAACCTAACGAATTTATCCAGAACACAGAACATTCCACAACAACTTCGTATAAGACTACACAAGAAGAGGACAACAAACTAAATCCTCCCAAGAACTCACCATGTTACCTCCCACGAAGTAGAAAAGTCGGAGACCGTGGACTTAAGGACTGGCAAGAAGTCTTCATCGTGTATAATTGTGTTGTCATTATACACAACTTTCATATAAGACCCTTAAGTAACAAGACAGTGTGTAGCCTTCGGCGACTGCACAGACAAACCAACTTCACCGACCTCTTCCTCTTCCTCTTCATCTTCATCATCCTCCTCGGCCTCATGAAGGATAAACTTGTATGCGGCCTACATTTGTAGTTTAGTTTATTAAAACATAAGTCGAAACCTTAACTTACTTTCGATAATCTTCGTGACTTATGAATCTGTGACTTTGGCAAGCGGCCGACTGCCCTCGAGCCAGGTATACCCATGGAAGACTTTGCTGGTGAGTCCAGTATGTACATCTTCCTGATAACCCTAAGGTTCTTCAAGGATTCAGCGTTGTCGGCATCGCCGGAGAACAACAGACGTCTGGGTTCCACCCAGTCATCTTCAGAGTAGCGATCGCCGAGGTACGCTTCAAGCGCGTCGTTCATCTCGGAGAACAACATAGATGTCGTCAGGAATTTTTCAAGTATATCCCAAGCACCATTATCGCACAGCGCCTGATTTCCTGTATGGTGTGCTCATGAATGACAATGTTTAGAATATCAAATTAAGATCACTTACCTTGAAGTGTGCAATGATGCTTTGGGGGCGGTTCATCACCACCAGATGCTGCGCGTTTTGACATCATTCTGAGCCTAGGAGATATGATCAATTCGGAAATATACAATGAACTTTGAAGCTTTCACATACTACTACGTTACTTGATGGGCTACTATGTTATCTCTAGTACGGTCTATATTATCTAGTACTACTGACTATCGTATTTGAGTCATATTCAAGGTGATGGTAGGAGAAAGAGGGTATGTTGATGCCTGAAGCCTGTATTTATAGTGAACAACTATTTTGGATTAGCCAATACTACATACAGTGGTACGAACTGTGGTTGTGGACAGTTGTGGGCAGGCAAGTCGGGGTACGAATTATTGACATTGTTCGACAGTGCAACAATAAAAATTGAAGGTGTTGTGGAGCTCCGAGCAATGATGTAGCAAAAATATTAATCATAGTCAAGTCAAGCCCGACATTTGAAAGACCTCCCACCCGTCACATACACTATTAACTACACTGCATACACCGCCAGCCAAAGCTTACCTCCACACAGTACTATACTTAATTACATTGGTGCTAAATATATCTTAGGCTACGGAAACAGAAAGAGGTATATTATGTCCGAGTCAAAGGTTGATATAATGAATGACAATATATTCAGACTCAGCTGGCAATACCCGATTAGTCAGAGTGTTGGCGCCAAATGCCGGCTGACTTTGAATATAGTTGTTCACTATATTAGCGTGCTCCTTGCATGAACTTAACTTCTTTCTAGTGTTCGTTATACCTTACCATACAGTATACTATCAACTATACTTACTTTGAGTTTTGTTACCTTACCGTACAGTAATATACTATCAACTATACTTACTTCGACTTTTGTACTTTGTACTTTGGTACTCAAGTTGTCTTGACGTCAGACTTCAGTAGTTCGTGTCGGTAATGAATAGTGGGATACTCCAGTGTGTATAGCTGCCAAATGTTGACGTCGTTTTCACGTCCGGCAGTATCATTCAGCCCTCAATGTCGCACACGGTAAGCATATTCTTAAGTCTTTTCAGTGTGCTACTTTAATTCAAAACTGGATATTAGATGACCGCGCGGTCGCGCCCCCATCCTGTAAGTGATATCTTCATAATTGTCAAGTTCCTCGTTCAAGGGTGCGCATTGGTTGTAGTAACGTCAGTCACAGTCTTGACTTTCCCATAAGGATTTTCATTCTGTCATGCACCAGCAAATTTTCTCAACCTTGTAACCTCTATTTGTTTCAACCCGCTAATACATATTGGTAGGCTATGTACAGTCACATGGTTGAGCACACACCAAAACGTCTACTTTCGACATTATGGTGCAGGAAGGTCATATGGGCACACCTCAATCGTTGCAAGCTCTTTGTTGAGCTTCATTATCGAAACACACAAACTCTGGCGAGAAGCCGGGAGAAGGCGCGCCTTCTTGAATTTGATCAAGGTGGGGTATATCGATGTCATCCGGCATAAGGACCTCAAGGTTCTCGGCACGGTGATACTCTTCCAGCCATCTGTGTCTGTACACCCTCACCCATTCTAAAAGGTACGCAATATTGACTTCTGCACCGCTTAGCTGTTCCTTGATGCAACACAGCTCAGATTCTAGTTCATCCTTGCATCCATCAGTGCCTAGGACATGTTTTTTTAGATGTGACGCACGATTTTAGGTCTGAATTGTTAAATCTTACCTGTAGCCTGGATTCCTGCATGGATCAATTGCTGTATTTCAGGGAATTGCCTGGAAGGTAATGTTGGTTGAGTTGTTTTCCGAAACACTTGATTACTCACTCACAATCAGTGCTGTATAGCTCGTCTACATCAGAGCGTCTCAGCATGTGCGTCGAGGAAAGTTTAAAACTGAAGGTAATTTGATATGTTTGTTGTGGAATATTATCTGAAAAGCTTACTTTAGTGTGAAAGTGCTTTCAACGTGGGTGCGGGGTCGTGGACCCTTCGAAGAGGGTGAGTAGGACATGTATGGGGCGTCAAATAATGAGCTAGTTGCCTGCAGTGCACGCAGGCTTATATCTGCTTGCAATGATGACACACCTTCATTATGACACCTATGGCGCTCGGTAAGAGAGGCTGTTAATTTTTGGATAATTATGATGCCTATGGTGCCTGGATGAGTAGGCTTTTTCTTGCATCTAATTACAATATCTATGGCGCTTGGATGGGCGGGCTTTTCTTATATATAATTACAATATCTATGGCGCTCGGATGGGTGGGCTTTTTCTTATATATATAATTACGATATCTATGGCACTCAGATGGGCGGGCTTTTTCTTATATATAATTACGATATCTATGGTGCTCGGATGGCAAGATTTTTTCGTCACATGTGATTGGACATTCAAACATATAAAGTACCTCGTTTAGTACCTGGTATTAGACCCCCAGTTCAGTTTTATGAGCAGCGACGAGAATAATCCCTCTTCCGCCGATCCTTTGCGCAAGCGTAGTGCTTCAGCCCTTCATACGGGCCCGCGTAAAAAGGCGTAAGTCTCACTCTTAGAGGCGAACTACTACTTTCTTGACCTGCCACTTTCACCAGGGCTTCATCAAACCTGCTTGTCCTTCATGGCCGACATTTTGGCCACACAGTGTTTTCCCTGTGCAACTATCCTGCTCTTCTGACTGCTGGCATACTTCGACTTGAAGAACTGCAGGACTCTCACATTGAGGATTACCCAGCTGAGTGAGTACAATTCTGACAATTGCATGGCCAGGAAATGAAAAAAGGCTGATGTCGATCTTTGGCAGTGTTCAACGGGAACATAGGGTGTTCATGAATCTAATAGATTCGTATCCAGGTCTGTTAGACCGTCTGACGAAGGGTGAGGAAGAAGATATCATTCATGTGGGAGAACTGGTTTTTTCTTTCTTTTTAAAAAAAAAGATGGTTGTACTCACCGTCTGCAGCTAGGTAAAGGAGCCTCTGGTGCATGAGGTGATGATACCAAGACCCTCAAATCTGCCATACTCGAATGGCTTGTACCCAGAGGACAGGTAGTCATACCACCCCTCTCCCGGAACATTAAGTCTGACTGCAGGTTCAATCATGAAGTCACCGGTGCGTTGTTTTGCCCTGCAGGCCTTGATTGGTCCAACATAGAGTAAGTCTTTCCAGCTTCACATTAACTTAACCTCATACCCTTCACAGAACTAAACAGGGCCTGAAGAGCGGCGAAACCGCGGTTAGTGGTGACCAGTGGCCCGTATTCTTATATGCCGGGTATGAGTATGATTCTGAAGATCCGTGGAAGGGGTTACTGCGCAGCAAGATACTCATCTTCGTGAGCTTGTGCTTGTTTTATTAACGATGAAGTTCTCAGTCCAAGTTCTTTCTAGGGTTACAAACATGTCTTTACGTCTCCAAGCTCGGTAGATAAGGAGCCAAAGGCCACGCGCTCCGGCAACGCTTATCTTCACAGTATGAAATGTGTGACTCAAGGATCCTTAGCTTATATTGCTACGCAGGCACGCACATTTGATTGTACATGCTTTCTCTCGCTGATGTTCCTTTAGGTATGCTTCTCGTTAAGCTCTTCGTCGGTATTTTCGCATACCAATGCAGTCACGGACTCCGAAAATTTTTACCATAGCATTCTTGACTTGTTGGAGGATCCTGATGAGAGTGAGGAGGTGGCTGACCTTATGACATGGTGGACTCGGTTTGTGATTTATCTCATCAACTTGAAGCTATCCGAGTTAACACCTTACATAGTCGCATTTTTCCTAATTCTTCTTCTTCACTGCGCAGTATCAGCAAAAATAGTGTGCTGTCAAAGATTCGGGAAAAACGCGCTGCCTTGCGAGAATGGGCTGCCGCTGGTACCAATTAATTTGTATATTTTCGTAGCTGTACTATATCCTAATACAATTGATGTGGTTTCCCTACGTGAAGCTATAATTACGAACAAAATGTGAAATCTCGATCCAGATGGTAGTTTCCTCTGCAACAGAAGCTGTGAATGTAATAGTAGACATCCTCGGCCGAATACCAGCATCTTGCTAGGACTTCATAACCCAATGCCAGTGTTCAGCTAAGTGTTGTGGATGGTGGCTCCTGCCATCGTAATCAACTTGATAGGATATGATAACTCAATGTCATCCCCTGACACACTGTCATAGATGGTGTCTTGCGCCATCATAAACTGCAAATGTCAGGGTAGTTGAAGACCGTCATCTTGATAGGGTTTTGCAACCCAATGTTAGAGCTCAACTCAGTGTCCTTATTGATAACCCAATGCTACCCCCCTACATACTGTCATGGATGGTGACTTCTGCAATCTGAGGCTGCCCATGTAAAGCCAGACATGGTTGGTACTTGATCAGCATCTTAATAGGGCATGGTAACTTGATATCATCTCTGGGCATACTGTCAGTGATTAATACACCCTGCAATTGGAAGCTGCCCCTGTAGCAGCAGACATGCTTGATAAGTAAATCACCATATTGATGGACCATGACAAATCCATATCACACCCTGACACACTGTCATTGATGGTGGCTTCTGCCGTTGGAAGCTACCTATCCAAAGCTTGATAGGCTTGGTAGAAAATCACCAGATTGATACTCCATTACAAGTCAATATCATTCATTTGTCACAATGTTACTCATTATATATTGGAAGCAACCCATGCAAGAGTAGATACATCTGACAATGACACATCAGTGTGCCAGTACATTGCAATTTGATACCACAGGCCCATCAATATTATAGCTTTGGCAGATTCTACCTATGTAGTCTACCTATCTATTCCTTTGTCATGTGGTCTACAATTGTGATACATATTATTGATATTATACATTAGATAAAGCTAGCTAAAGCTTTGTCATACTGGAGCCAAATGTCTGATGCGAGGACTGGCTTTGGTCGAGTACATAGATGGGGAGGAGGTATACTAGTGGCGGGTGCCTGTCTGAGAGTGATTGAAGTCGTCTGCTGTCCATATAGAATACTGCTAGTCCATGGAAATGAATCTGCGGCGAGCCGACCACAATTGCAGAGCTCAAGAGTGTGGTGAGGTAGTAGTCAGTCGTAGTGCCCAAATCCAACTACTAATGGAAGATCATGTACGCGGGGTTCACTTGGACAGGCAGAGTCCTTCATACCTTTGTGTTCAACGAGAATAACCGCACAATTGAGAAATAAGTGTTGCTTTGACTGACTGCTGTAACAGATTAGCACGCACATCATGTTGGATTCAATCGAGTTGAACTTTCAACAACAACATTCGCTCGGAAAAAAAAATGATGTTGTCACTGACTAATTATAACAGATCAGCATGCAAGACAACACGCGATCCAAAGAGGAGTCGGGGACTGGTGTCCACGCCGTTATGATCTGTAAATGGACTGGGCTTAATTATGAGCTTCTTCACCACTGCTGTTACAAGTAACATCGGCTACATGGCCCCCCTATCATTTTTCCCCTTCGTCCTCGCCCTCGTATGCCTCTGGCTCGTACTTCTCTATCGACTATCCATTGACCGGATCCTCAGGACCGTTCCCATCCCTCATCCCCCTCCTATCGCACCAACGTGCGCATGTGCCTTCGGGCTATGACTCGTTCTGACTCATGCCACCAATGTGGCTTTCCTTATCTTGTCTTATCTTTCCTTTGACTCATGCGTGCTGCACATTGTATCATTTATCGTTGGCTCGTTCCAACGTTTCTCGGTCTCATTCCGCATTTGACCTCACATCACTAATCAGGCTCTGCTACCAGCATACCTATACCCTTTCCGTTTCCCCTTTGCCCTTACCTACAGTACGGTAGCCTTGCCCTTAACCCTTTCCACTTAGTATAAGTAGTCGGTCGCCCTGTACTAGATTCCCTAACTTGAATCTACTCAATCTTCCCTCGAACATACTTCCCTCTGAAGCCCCCTCAGCTTCAGTCTCTAGTATCTTTTCTTAGGTGCTCATTGCGCCTAAGTCTACCTTGATCGACTACTCATCGTTCGGACAAGACTGTCCTTACTTTGAGAACATCAGTGACTTTGAAGACATCCGTCTTAGAAGTCACGTGACACGCGCGTCTCTGATATCTGCCGACTCGTCATCGCCAGTCTCAGTCATTACACCGGACCCTTCCAGTTACGTCACGAACGTTAGCGGACGACGCCCCTCTTAGGGCTCCGCATAACAGATCTATTTGAGTGCGTAACAACTGCCAGTGATCATCATGATTATGCGCTCACTTACTATATTACCCGCACCTCTGTACTGCCACGGCACTATGAATGGACGATTGATTACAAAACACGCATGCCACGAAATAGTCTTGAATGACCTTTGTAACAATTGAAGACCTCAATCAAAGAAGGTGCGAATGCTCAGCAAGTACGAGATAATTGCCCTAGTATTGCGCACAGGCTGTGACAGTGCCATGTCACAACGTAGTCACGAATTCCCATGCCAATTTCCAACCGCTGACCTTTGCTAACGCTACCTGTCATGGTAAAGTCTTAAATAGTAATGTAATTCAAAACACAAGTCGGGGGAATCGAGAACATTCAACAGGGGTCAACAGGGGGTCAACAATTTGACCACCAACCCTTGCTGGTTATCATGTAAAACAATAACGACATCGTCACGAACTCCCCAGAGGACTCTAAATTTGCAAACATCCGTGGCTATGTATTAAGACGTCAAATTTTTCACCGTATAAATTGACTTATTTTGCTGAAGAAGATTTTTATCCCTCTGTAGATCTCACGGCTACCATATCGAGGACTGATGAATTCACTGATGATCTGTTCTCACAAAATTGATTTCTTGCAGCCTAAACTTCTACGCACATTACAACTGAAGGTCGATAAAATTTTCGAACGTTCAGTTACCTTACTAGGAAGGGTTCTGAGAAATAGAAGCCTTGGAAGCAGAGCACGGCGGTCTGGCTTTCCAAGTGCTATTAATCTGTTATGGTTAGTAACACGTTCTCTAGAATTGCCGTCCGGGGCTCGCAGCTTCAAGTTGTACTTGTTTGTCTCAGGCTTGAACTTCCGAGTCCCGGGCACCTGCGGCGGGCTTCATAACTTGTCAAAGAAGTTTTCGACTACTAGGTCAGGCAGTCATGTCTGGACTCTGCGTGTCACCAACGTACTAGGAACATCGATCAGCCAAGCCAAGCGAAACTTTCGTCAGGTCGGGTGCGAAACGCATAATCTATCAAGTCCAACTGCTTATTATCTTAACCGCAAGTGGACCTTACCTCTGTGACTCCGGAGTAACCATTTTCTTATCTTGCTTATCTGTTTGCACGGATAACAGTCACTCAGTGCGTTCAACCGGCAGGCAAGATATTCTCATCTTGCATTCAAAGGGCACAGGTAAAAAAAAAAAACAGGAAACTACATCTCAAGAGCGTGGTGAACATTGATTTTGATGTGAGACCCCGTTCTTGCGTCGCCCCAGGACATTCGGGGGAAAAAAAGAAATTCCTTGTGTCCTACAAAACCTACTTTGTGGTGACAGGGATGGATAACCCGTCATTGACATTAATACCTCTTCACTACCATCCCTTGCTAGTCAGGCCAGGTTGTTCCTATCACTACCGTGGATCCAGAGCTTGTGATAAACTCAGTTTACATGTTTATCCGCCGACTATGTGACTCTGGCTATAGAACTACCGAGCCTGTGCTTACCAAAATCACGATTTTAGGATATATAAGCAAGCTGTCGACTCTCAGAACTATCATTCGGGATCCCCTCGACGCATCCAAATTATCTAGCACAAGACATGCGTTTTTCATTCCTCCTTGCTGTTGTTGCTACTCTGACAACATCCATAATGTCTGTCAGTGCACAGTGCACAGACGGGGGCGGGGTTTGTGGCCCGAGTGACACGACAGCCGATCCATGCTGCTCAGGCCTTACTTGCAAGCTGGGTGTGAGTATGATCCATCCGTTTTGGATCCGAGATTCAGCTCCATAACTTACCCCTTGCGCCTTGTATCATTAGGAGGCCAGCGGCGTATGGAAAATCTGGTACTGCCAGTAGCCTTCTCTCGATTGACTTTGAAGACCGAGGATGTTCGTGGCAGTGAGTCGTCTTTCTGCTTTCACGTTGTCCCAGTGGTCAATTGATTACACGATACGCAGATGATCGATATTCTTTATTACTGCACGAATTTTCGGGTTTATGTCGAGCAGACCCTAGAATAACATAACATTAGAAAAACTTCTTCGCAAATTGATAAAACACATTCATGTTACTCGACTTGCGTACGATTTTCCACTACTAATGCACAAAAAACTGGTGTATTCAGCCAACATCAAAGTTGAAGATTGTCAAGACAGATCGTTAAGAAGGAAGGTGTCTTGGGTCCATAGGATTCTGGCGGTTACTCGCGCTCATTAGGTCTCTCCGAATCTTTTGAAACAAATAAAGTTGAGTACTGTGAATAATTTTAGACAGCATATCGATGGGCTATAAGTCTGGCTCTGCGTGTATTTTAATTAATTCAAAGTTTGCCTTACCATCCAATACTGTTTACATGTCGGCGAGGGACCTTCCATTTGCCCAACTAAACCCCTGTCAGTTGCAAAATGCATGGGAATCAAGCAAATTCTACAAGCGGTTGCACAATAATTTCTACCCATTCGGTATTGATCACCTTTGGTTGGATGAGCATTTCAAATGCAATCTTGACTCGAACTGGTTTCTGCCTTCTGGCTGATTTGATATATTTGTTGGTGTCGAGGATTTTATATTAAGTAGCTAGGATTCCACGGGCTTGGGACCATACAGGCAGACGAGCGCCAGGTGCAGCCGAGGCGCCTAGGCGCTGGACCCCGCTTCACGTTAGCAAATACGCTGGAACTGCCAAATGATAAGTAACTCAAGCTAGGACCTGTAGTAGTCAACCCACTTGCCTGCACACTCATCTTGATTCTGTGTATCCACTATTGGAATGACTATGGGCCGGTATTGCCGTCTTAATCCTTTCTCTGTGTCGTGAAGTGCAGTTCATGTGTATCTCTATGGGTCGAGCCATGACTATTGGGTTCTTACCAGAGTGATTATTTTCTTGTCTCGTTTATTTGTTCGCAGAGGATGGAATAGTGCTCAGCGCGCCGCGTCACGACAGTGGAATTTTCACCCGGTCCCTTGCCACCTAGACTGATCTAACGCACGGATCATAGCACGTGCGTTCATTTGATAGACCTAAAGATATATGGCGCTATATCAAAAACTTTTGGGTGTCGCGTCTTGCACCCAGCGCGCTTTCGAAGTTTGTGTTTCATCAAAATTCTACCCCCATGGAAATACACGTGTCGTGTGGGTTCATCGACAAGTTGATGATAGTATGTGAGCGTGCCACAAACTTCTGCGAGTGAAGCATTCACGCTCTGCGTGCACATTAGCTGGGTGGTTTACACTGTATGGTGAACGATAGGTTACGGTTCGATTTGCCGATTTGCCGCAACTTATTTCAAAGTCCGATCACTGTTTGTTCTAGTCTTTTGAACTATTTGTTAGTACACCTCAAATATTGCGGTCACAGGAGGTCACAAGCGGTTGTGTACTTACAATAGACATAGTTTGACCGCTCCAGAACTTTAGTACCGACCGATCGACCCCAGCCTGACTCAGACGGACTTAGAGACGATGGAACGAAGCCATGGTTCAAATATGCAGCATCGGTAAGCCAGTTAGAACTTGAAGAGTGCAACTTGATATGCTTCTTCAAGAACAGTGCACCACTGCTTCGTTCGCGGTCCGCTGAGTCGGGCCTATGTATAAGCAGTTAGTATCCATTCAATAATACGAACTTTTTTCACATGGAACAAATTTCGGCAGAACCTGCGGGAGCGTATTCGATTAACAATGACCATTGAATCATAACCTGCCTGCAGGCATCGACAATTCTCTTCTTTGTAACGACAGAACCCTCGCTCGAATCACCGGCCTCTCGTCCTAACCCCTCACTCTTCGCTTCAAAGCTTCATCATTTGAACCTGCACTGACCCTGCCAGTGCAACGACAAAGTCAAGAAGTTAGCATCATTCTCGCCGATACTTACAGATCAATATCAATTAATCTTTAGTGAAGCTGGTATTGCAAGTCATGTCACGTCCGCGGCAGGCACGACTGGCCAAAATGAATGAGGCAGTGGACACCTTTGTATTGTTCGAGCAATGTGGATGTTTGAACTTATCTGAAAAATGATCGGTTGTGCCTAGTCTTACTCGTGGTTCACTGAGCTTCAAGTCGAGTTCGAGGGGCTGTCGAACGTTCAACAGAGCTCCAGCTAAAGCCGTTTCTGACATTATGGTTTGACCGGTCAACGATGTTAATTGGCCGACTACGCTACTATCCCTTCCATGGACCACTGCAATCGACATCCCCGTTGCAATGACAAAGGGAAACTAGGAGACGAGCAATTTATAGTCAGCCAACTAAAATGACAATACTATCCATGGGACCCACAAAATTATTAGCACATCTAAGCTTGATCTGGTTGGCCAGCACCAGTAAATGTCTCCCTGCCTTCATGCCACGCTTGAAACCCATCTGGAATCGATTGCATTTCCGGCGCATTCGTCCCTAAACGACGACACTGGTACTGAAGACTGAATCAAATGGAGGTGCGCGCCCGCGGTTGTTTTCGTCGATTGCAGACTGCATTGCATCATTTGCATGTTGGTTAAAATAAATATAGATATAGATACGCGTTCTCTAATAAAATTTCTGGGTACACAGAACAAACATCGCGGATCGGACTTCGAAATTTATCACGGCAAATCGGCAAATCGAACCGTAACCTATCGTCCACCATAACACTGAAAGTGATTTCCGCACCTTGGACCTTGGTAGCAAGGACTAGAGTTAGTGCTGGGGGCAGAACTATTTGTGGGCAATTGTGCTGGCAGAACCGGTACTTCTGCCACTCGGCAAAACTATCAACGTGCGACAGGCTGTGCATACAACAATATAACACTAGGAAATACTGTTAGAAGACATCAGCATGTCCACATCCCACTGTCCATCGTCGTGTGATGTGTAATCAACCACTATGATCTCATCATCAAATAAATTTTAGTAGAGGACCTTGGTCAACATGCTCCAATTCTGCGAAATCATAAACTCGGCCTGTCAACACTTCATTTCAATCATCCAGTGCTTGTTCCAACGCACCTTTCTTGCACTCCAATAGTTCAAATGCTGCATCGATCTCGTCAAGTGATATGGATTCAGGACCTGCGAGATTGTCATTGATGTTCTGAGTCTGAGGTGCAAGTGGTGGTGCCAGTTTGGAAGTTGGTTGTCACGACTTTGGATGCAAAGAGCATCTGGACAGTGTTTGCAGGACCAGTAGTAGTGTCCAGATTTGTTGTCAACTTTCTCACCATGATTAAAATTATTGATTATGACATCCATTGAGTGCAGCGGCAGGCATTGTATGATTGTAAATGATGATCGTCTATGTTACGACGTAGTACAACTGAAATTTTTCTCTACTCTACAATTGCTCTACCATCAGTAAACCGGTGAGTTCTTGCTGGGGATTATGCTGATTATGGTGCTTTTACATGGTCATATATTGCTTTATATCACTTTATATTACAATGTGACGAAAACCTTTCCTATATATTACGATATATAACGATATATGACGATATCTTCTTCTCACAGGTTCTCTGATGACAGCCTACAGGTAAGGAAGTGCAGTTGCTGAGTCGATTGAGAAAGGTTACTATGGCCATATAAGGTGAGAAAAACTATTAGAACATTTCTCGCTCTGATCCCCTGCAGGCTGCAGTTTGACATTCTGCCCAGGCTCCTTCCCATCCGAACGCTTCGAGTTGTGAGGCGGCATACTGCGGCTGCGGTACTATCCGAAATCACGTGAAGAATTCAAATCCAGCATAACCTTAACCTCCCTCGGTTATGCTGGATTTGAATTCTTCACGTGATTTCGGATAGTGCCGCAGCCGCAGTATGCCGCCTCACAACTCGAAGCGTTCGGATGGGAAGGAGCCAGAGTTCTGCCATCTGCCGGGCAGAACCGGTTCTGCCAAACCGGCTGGCAGAATGGCAGACTTCTGCCCACAACACTAACTAGAGTTGAAGTAATGAATTAAAACTCCGCTCTTCAGCGGGGTTGGACATTATCGTTGTAACCACGACGTCCCCGCCATAGCGCAGCTGCCCATAAAAGAGGTCCATCTACAAATCGTACTCCCTAACGGCAAAGGGAACTACCGCCAAGCAAGTACCGATCTTCCGACTCTTCGTTACGCGAAATATCCCATCAGTATACATTCGGATTGTAGTCTGGGCAAATATCGGATGCACTCCAGAGCTCCAAGTGTTTAGATGACCGTGTGTGATTAAAAGGAAAAGTCTTGTGCTTCTTGGCATCTAGACTATGCGTAGGCCCGAGGCAGACGGGTTTTCATTATAAACGGTTCCCAACACGTCAGGTGGTAACCTCTATCCGTCGCCAGGACTTTCCAGGGCCATGTGTCGTGATTCTGAACGCGCTAGGTCTCACATTCCACACTCGCCCCCTGCACCTATCTGGGAACATCGTGATTAATATGTGGACTAATTCTGACAGAATCTTTGACCTTGCCTACAAGGTCCATATCCCAACCACTACTTCAAGTTCGTACGTTGACACTTCACATGTTCTGAATTGTTTATCCGCCGACCCTGTAGTTTTGCCTATGATACTCTCCCCCTGAAGTCTCCATGAAAGTCGCCAGCTGTAACTATCTTGATGGAACTGCTGGGTGTCTTCCAAAAACATGTTTTCCTATCGCCAGAGTTGTTATCTGAGATTCCCCCGACGGCAGAAACATCCCATATTACCTAGCCAAGTCATGTTTCCTTCTCGTTACCCCTGCTGCTTTGACAACATCCATGTTTGTCAGTGTGTGCACGACTTTAGATGGAGTTCGTGGCTTGAGCAGTGCATCCCACGACACATGCAGCTCAGGCTTTACTTGTAAGACGGGCGTAAGTATGAGTTGTTCGCTTTGCACCTCTTCACTTCTCGGACGAGCTTGGCGGACCGAACATGGGGCGACAGTGAGTTGTGTTTCTGCTTCCACGTTGGTATAGTGGCTGATCGCACGATATGCAGTTCGTTGCGGAGTTGATAGATGGGCTTACGTCTCTACAAAATCCCCTGCTACCTCGACCAGACTCTTGAATACAAATCAATCACTGTGGCATCGATAAATGTCGCTATTTTTACATGAATACAAGAAAACTGGTGTATGCAGCCGACATCAAAGTGCCTGTACATATGTCCTTGAAGATTGTTCAGAAGGAAGAAGAAGCTAGTTCGAGGACAATCGAGCTTCGTCATTCTGCCAGACACTGCTCCGTAAGCCGCAGGTATTTCTCAACCTCGAAGCTCGTGCCTCGGACCGTGCGATCCACTCTGCTAATGCAAGCCACAGTATCTGCATTTCAGAAATCAACGATAGCGTCGTTCAGAGCAATGATAAAGCTATCCTCTAGAACTCTCAGTGGAGGCCATAGTGATCGTGTGCGTAATTCCATTGAAATTCATTACTCTACTGCTTACATCACCTGCAGATTGCGTGAGCTACAAGCTTACATGGACTCCATATATCTTTATCGATGTTGAGCGGCTTGAACTGGTCTGAAGTCGGGTGCAAACGCTTTAAAGGCACGCTATGCGAACCATGGACTTGTCGCAAATCTTATCACATATTCACAAGTTACGAGTTGTCAAGAAACATTGAACACGATACACGATGTATTTATTTGGGTGGCATGTGGCAAGTATGCCGGATGGTTGTTCTGTGGTCGGATATTCTGGCTTTGTAATGCAAGTGGGGCGACACAACACCGGGTAGGTGATTGAGGCATCCACTAACGCTTGCATCGGTTGTGGAATTTGTGGATGAAGACAATTATGGTGCGTCCACAGTAATTCAACCTACATAGATCGCAATGCGGATTCCCTCTTAACACTTTTCGCAACTCTTCACCCGTTCTTCCTCATCAATTATGGTTTCTTTCAAAAAGTTGTTCCAAAAGTGAGTCTACTGTTTTCACTTTATACTCATGATCATGATACTAATCAATACCCCTCAGGTGTAAGGAAGACAAAAAGCCATCGCTTAAGCACTCCCAGTCGATGCCATTCAGATACTCGCAAGCGAGCATGTTCGAGCCTTACGCCGATCCTTTCATAGCTGTATACCATGGCAAGACCCCCTCTAAACCTTCTAACATCGTGCACGTCGAGCAAGCTCGGGACATCCATCGTGCGCAGTGGCACCCAGGTGTCCACGACCATCCGCCAAGTCATGCCCACTTCGACACGCGCGCCCACTTGCCGGCCCAGTTTCCAAATCCCCCACCACCCCCTCCGAAACCCACTCGCAGTGCCTCAGGCACGACTTCGTCAAACCCACAGAGCATTAGGCCTCAACTGCTCCCGAAGCACTACAACACAAGCGATCAACCTGTCGCAGGCAGACACAGAACTATTCAGCAGTCTTCTTCAGCCACGTACTATTCGCAGCCCACAGCTGCAGCATACCCCTCCCTCGGTCGCAAAAAGCGGCGTGAGGCCACCGCTGATCAAGCTATGGCGGATCTGCTGCAAACACCCGATGGCCGGCCCCCCGTATTTGGGAGCAGTAGGCAGGCAGAACGTGCGCGCGCCAAGTCGAGCACTGGTCACTCATACATCCCCGTCCCTCACGATCTGCTGGAAACAGCTGACGGCCGACCTCCCGTATTTGGAAGCAGCAGACAGGCAGAACGTGTGCGCACCAAGTCGAGCGCTGTTCTGTCATACACTCCTGTCCCTTATGATCTGCTGGAAACAGCTGACGGCCGGCCTCCCGTATTTGGGAGCAGTAGACAAGCAGAACGTCTGCGCGTCAAGTCCAGCGTTGATCGCTCACAAAAACCCCTCCCTCCCATTCCCCCCATTCCTACCAGTCGCTCCCCGCGTCCATTTATCTCGCGCTCTGTGCACAGCTCACGTACAAACTTGAATCATTATAGAGATCGGCGCTGACTGGTCTCGTTGGGTAGTATATCAATGGATTTGTGTACATGGAACTTAGTATGTGAAGATAGAGTCTTGGAGCTGTTCTACCTAATCATGTATGTCGAGTATGTCATTATGTATATGTATATGATCTATGAAAAGATGGTTGTTTGCCATTTGAGATTATGGTCTGCTTGACGCTATCTCAGAATCTAAGTGTTACAATTTAGGTAGTTTTTTATTGGACTGAATTATATTACCATCCGGCAGATGTTGCAAGGTAGTGAAATTAGCTCCTATAACCAAGTTACTTCAAATTGTGCTTCGCCGTTGTAAATCAACTCTTCAAGTAATACCTACTTCTTGTCACCACTGCCTTGTTCATTACATCATGTGATCTCACTAGCCCCGAAGAACGTTACATGGAATCCTTGTAATTCATACTGTGCATCCTTTGAGATGGCTTAATAATATACAATCAGCATGTACATCTGAGTCACGCCAGATGCATGTTCAGGATTACTCTGAGGATGCGCATCAAAGACGCGCTTGAGGAGTTTCGGACCATAACTTTCACAGTCTGTATTCAATACCCAAGTCTTCAGCAATGATCATCGCAGCCTTCTCTCCAATGATGAGCGCCGTCGAATAAGTGTTCTGAAAGAAGGTCAAACCATGCATCAATAATTTCTCGTTCACTACTCACCGTACCAACATTCTTCGGCACGATGGATAAGTCTGCAACCTTCAGGTTTGTCACACCATACACATTTAGCCGAGCGTCAACGACTCCTTGATCTGCCCTTGATTTCATGGCACAAGTCCCGAGCTGCACACACAAGGATAAGGCACCTCCTGATGAGAGTTCAAGTTGCGCATACCGAGTGCCAAGACGTTTGGACTGGGATTCGATCAGGTATGTTACCTTAAGATTGGGGAAATGAATTCAGGACATACTGTTGCCACGGAGAAATTTTTCGATCGCTTCATCATCTTCTGCAGTGTAGATGATGTCGGGCGCATTCAAGTCCACTGGACCGGTCGCTTCTCCGCAGACTGCAGTACTTCCCTCTTGGAAATGAGGGTGGAATGCGGCGACTTCACCTCGGTAAGAAGGCATGCGTCGACAGATTTCGCGCATTTTTTTGTACCCAAAGTTGAGAGGTACAATATCCGACGGACTAGGCGGATTATCATGGTCAGACGGGTCTGGTTGAAATGAAAGAAGTGCCCACTTACTCATCTAGGTAGCCTGTAGTGAAGTCGATGTCTTCCTTGCCGTCCTCTCCCAATTTGACATGAACACTTCCAACAGACACAGGGTAAAGCTATAGGACCTGTGTTCAGAATAAAAATCACAGGGTGTATGGAAAGCAGTACTTCAATCATTTCGGCAGTCATGTAATTGCGAGGTGGAAAGTCACTTGACATCAGGAATCTGGCTATCCTGAGCATTCGCACGTCATGAAAGCAAAGGATTGCACACACCCTGAAAAGACAGTCCATATTGCAACAGCCTTTTCCGGGCGATCCTGGAAGAACTCCTTCCATCGCGGTTCAAAAGTTGAACCCATGACTTTCAATTCTTCGTCGTCAGGACGCCACTTGATTTTTGCATCGTTGCCGCTGAAATACTAGTAAGTGCGTTACAAAGAGCGAATCATTGTGCCAACTTTTGAGCAATGAGAGACTTTCTATGACTTTTCCATTGCGCAAGGTGTTCTGCGCGTGGGTACTTAGAGAGTGCTGAGAACATGGCGAGAACAGACTTGCTTACCCTGTATGACACTCTCCTCCCCACGCCAGAGCCGGTCCATGGTAACAAATTCGTCACCAACAAAGTATGGAACGAAGGCGCCAATATGATCTGATAACCTTGCATAAAGATTATGAGATAAAGATACAAACGCAGACCTCGATAGTTTTCTCCAACGCCGGGCAAGTGTACACGTTGCTCGATACCGCACTGCTTGAGGACCGCCTCAGCACCAATCCCAGACCTCTCGAGGATGGCTGGGGAACCGAAGGCCCCGCCAGAGATGACGACAAGTTTTGATGCTCTCACGGTACTCGATGACTGATCTGCGTCCGGGCAAGACACCGGGTCGTTGGTGAACTCGACACCTACAGCACGTTTATCCCTTTCAGTCGTTAGTAGTTGAGCACAATCGTGATCCAGGGTGCAACACTTACTCGAAGATCACGCACTTTACACGCTTGCCAGCCCATATTTGTAAATTTGGGTTGTGAGCTTGGTTGTAGACATAGCAATGTGCAGCGTCAGAACGCGTTCCAGTTGTCCCATCAATATACCTATGCATATATTGCATGAGCCTAAGTCACGATAGACTACGAGGACATGCTCACTTGAACCATGGCTAAGACGAATTTTGTCAGTGGTGGCAGAGGGAGAAGGAGCATAATGAGGTGGCGCACACTGTAAGAATTGCATGTTTCTAAATCTTCGGAGTCATCGCAAAATGGCCTCTTGTGATATTTCGTGCCAACACGGATAAAGTCTTCGCTGATACTCATTTTACACCCACCAGAAGACACCTTGATAGGCCCATCGTACCCATGGGTTGAACGATCGGCCTGCACCTCGTATGTCTCCAGCTATGCAATAACAGTTCAGCTTGAGAAATGTACAGACAGCACGTTTGAGGACCTTCTTCATGAGGGGAATCAAGTTCTTAGATTCCCAACCATCAACTCCCCAATCATCAAAATCTGAGGCAGGCGAACGAGTGTAATTCATAACTATCCAAGCATCAGAGTCATGCTCATTGTTAAAGCAATAATACGAACAGTTCACACTTGACCCTCCACCAACGCAATGGGCGCACTGAACAATTGGTGCACGACCGTTGAGATGGGGTGAAGGATTTCCAATGTTGAATGTCATCGTAGTACACGTCGGTGCCAGATGGGTGAAATATTGGTAGGGTTGAACATGCGCAGCTTTATTGAGGGTGTGTTGACCTCCTTCCAGAATTAAGATCCTGAGCGAGGAGTCGCATGCTGCCAGGCGACCCGCGACAACGCAAGCTGTACTGCCGCCTGCACACAAAAGGCCATGTTAAGAGTAACGCTGTGTGCAAGATGTCAATACTCAAGTACTCACCTCCAGCAAAAATGATATCAAACTCTGATAAGAACGGATAAGACATTGATTTTGCTGTTTGGGGAGCCAGTCGCAGTCACCAACTCACAGTGCCGCAGGTGTGTACAACTTATAGTATCTACAGCCACCGCTGTTCAAGTAAATGACCAAGGCCGAGACTCCGAGCGCAGTCGTTAGTATCAGTCATCTGCATCAATCGATAACATTAATAATACATACCGTGAACCATATCATGAAATCATGAATTCAAGAGTGGCGAACACGCGCGTACTACATCTCGTGACTAAGCTCATAACGTGATGCACGGCCCGCCTTGGTCTCATGCCAGGTGGCACCCCGACTAAGACCCCGAAAAACTAACCAACATCACGCCCAAAGGCGACAAAGCTGCCCGACCGTGCATCAGGTATATATCCCGCATTTAACTCGGACGACCCGCTCGCTGGGCTTCGAGCCGCCACTGGACGCTGTCGGGCTTGTCCACCAGCGCACAATTGCAATGCATTACGAGACACCGCTGCTACTTGGTGTGCTTGTGGAAACCCGCACAGGACACACTTGCGCCGCGGTCAAGCTGCAACTGGTACGTACATATGATACATGCTCCACCTATCGCTGAGAAACGAAATCCGTTGGCAACGCCTGTTTTTTCAGTCAACATGTGCTGGATTAGTAATCAAGAAGCACGTTTAATGCATCAGAGGACTGGTCTCGGCTTTAATTTCAACATCTAGTTGGGTAATCATGCAGTGTTGAGCCATGCTCATATCCTCTTTACTCAAAGTTCCAACATGAACGCATACGGTTCATTTCTCGGACTAAGCGACGTAGCGAAACACGACATTTACTATCCACTGAAACATCATGGCCTGGCGGACAATGGTTTCAGGGCCGTTACACGTTTTTGAAGAACTTCCGTCGTGGAGCTCCCGTGCTTACGTGTCGGGTGAATGAGCGCTGCCCTGCGCATTACGATCCGTCTCCTCAAAGTCGGAATGCCTCGGTAAATCATTGATGACTTTTAAACAACAGGCTAAGTGATCAAGATTATAGGTACGTGGATTGAAATAGATATGTAATATTTATAAGATGCTAAACGTTTCTGTGTGCAGCTACGAAGTTCAGATTAATCTAACCAATAGCATATCAGGAAGATCTCAAGAATCCCTCCCCTTCTCTTTCTTTCTGACCGCCCACCCATCCCAGCCTGTCCTCGTATTTCGGTACATCCTTGCATCGAATGCCTTTCCAATAAGGACAAAACCGACATCATCCACTCTGTCCATAATCTTGGCGACAATGAGCGCTGTAGCCATTGGCGCCCATTCTTCCGCGACGCAGCTTAGCCCGCCGTGTCCAAAAGCAAGTAGTTGCATCTCGACTGGACGTTCATGCTGAGGATGGAAGCGCATCGCATCGAAGGTCTCTAGACGTGTGCCATATACACACGAGCGATGAACAGCTTCGACGTCAGCTATCTCTTGCGCAGGATAAAAAATACGCTTCCACAAGGGGTGTCGACTTTTGCGTGCAATGCGCTGAACGGGTGGGTGCAACCTCAGGACTTCATTGATGATGGCTTCTACGCTTGGCCGAGTGTTCTTGACTTTGAAAGAACGGAACTGTCTCTGGGTGGGATTCTCGCTGAAATCTAGGAAGGCATTATGCATGTGTTGGTTACCATTCGCATAGGCCAATGTGACAGCAGCTAGACGCCACATAGACTCATACGCGGGAAGAATAGTTTCCAAGGCCTGAGAGGCACGCTCTCCCCCGACCCATCTACAAACACGTTCCCTCATCGCGTAAAGTTCGCCAGGATAATGGGGAGTTTGCCGCAAGATACCATCCGAATGGTGGTTGAGTGCGCTGGTCATGAAGGCGACATCGACAGGGGAAAGGGTTCCAGGGTCTACGCCATAAAACCCAGTAATTATGATGCAAAAAGTAACACTTTGTATAAAAGCGGCGAAGTCGACTTCTCGGCTCGGAAGGAGCATATCTGTGCATTTCTCAGCACATTTCACAAATCTTTGCCACCCAGCACATTGCAGGGGGCTGATGGAGTCGATCAATTTTCTCGCGTCTTGTACGAAGCGGTCGTGCCTTGAGGGGTCGAGTATTGCACTCGAGGATGTTAGAGCGAAGTGTTCATGAAGATGGACGCGAGAACGAATTTCGGCTTGATGGTCAATGTTTCTTGGTCTCAGCATTGCCTTGACAGCGCTAGCTGTGCGGTGGGTCCGAGTGCGAGTGACATGGCATGCCCCGAAAACGACGATAGCCAGCGACCACAAAGCTACTGCAACTACTATGGGAAGCGCCATTCTGAGTAAGTTTTGCATTCACCAGTCTGTCTCGGCTGATTATATGTGAATGAGACCCACGTGTCCAAACATTCGTGCGGTACGGGAAACACCTGTCTGTGGCATTCATTCCAGTTTGCGCCATCCGCATGAGCCGCACTGCGACGCAGCATATCAATGTGTTTTTTCTTTGTGCGGATAGCAGTGAAACATACTTCTTCCTCTTTCTGATTGCTAAGTGAGGGCTGTTAATTATGCAAACCAGTGCCCTGATGAACTCTCCTTCCCTGAGTTAGTGGGCTGTTATCACAATAATGGTACATGATCCACCGAAAATTCCGTAGTACAGTATGAATTAATCACAACAAACAACCACAGCACAGAATTCTCATGTCCGTCAATGAATTCGGCTAGATACGGAAATCATACTGTTCCTGCTGCGTTCTCAGAGTTGTCTATTTCCGGAGTTGCTGCTGCCGCCCTCAACACTCAACGATCTTGTTCGCACTAATGAAGAAGAAATGTGGCCGAGCGTACTCAACTTTGGAGAATCGTCCCTGAGGCAAAGCTGCACGACATCGTGCCAATACCCTCGTGGCCTCGGCAAGTCGAGTGGATTCGGAGTGCCTGCATAGCCACGTGCTCGCCCCTTGCTAGAATGGCGTCAGACTTGACATGGACAGGCAATTAATGTGAGTGTAGACATTATGAGCACGGAGGTGGCTGTTGCGCATGTCAAAGTTGTGGCCCTCTCTACTCCACAGACAAATCGAGTGGTGCAGCCATGCCAGTCAGAGATCTTGAATAGTGATCTTCGCTGAGAGTCTGAATAGGATTCGGAGAGGTAAAAGAATATCAAGAACCCTTTGATTACGTACGTATCATGTCTAATGAAAACGGTGCAACGCCCACTGCAGCAGATCGGCAAAGGGTCGACATGCGTGGCACCAAGTAGGAGGACCGCCTCAATGCTGTATCCAAGTCGATTTGATCTCCGATGTCCTCGGATTTCTACCGTTGACTACGAGCGCTCCGCCTTTCCGAATTCAACAACTTTGCATACCTCACCCCCAACTCTCGGTTACTCTCTTCCTGAGGGCGGGTGGCTGGGATACGGCGGTATTCTACACTATCCTCGGCTTCCGAAGAAACCCTCAGTCCAAAGCTAGCGGGCTGTCTGTCTGCAACCTTCGTAGACACGTTCCGCAGACACCAATCAAGGGCTTTTTCTGTGCGCTCCTTAAGTGCGTAGGCTTCCTCCGACTGATAGAACGCCACAGGCAGGCGATGGCTGAGCCACAGATAGAGCACGAGCGATTTGTGAAGTCCCTCAAGAGTTACGAGGCCCTGAGACGGCGCACCAGCAGAAGACTTGCCGCCGGACATCATCCCTTCCACATTCTCCAGTGCTTCTATATATGGGCCGACTCGGAGGGCGTGCAGGATAGGGACTCGGATCTTCTCGTTGTATATCTGACATAGGCGAGCTGTGAATTCCACTGCAACGGCATCTCGCCAATTCATTGGTGAACCGCCGATGAGAAGTCTATCATACAATTTCATATGTTTGGCGTGAGTTTCGATGAACCGAGATCTTTCCTCAATCTTGGAGGGAACGAAGGCACGGCAAGGGGGCCGAACATTGGAGACATATGGAGCCACTTCCAATAACGTTTGGTGCAAAGCACCGGCAGGAAGTGCTTGAAGAACACTCTCAGCCCAGGCCAAGGTAGGAGAGACGCCTGCAAACACGATAGGATCTGGTTGGCGCAGAATCGCAGAGTGAAGCATTGGGAGATCATCTGCATGGAGAGTCGTAACGAAACCTCCAGGTTCACCATGAAGGCCATAGCGCCCCGCACGCCCAGCAATTTGCTTAATTTGAGAAACTGATAGAGCGCGTTCGACAGTACCGTCAAATTTGCGCAAGGTCTCGAAGATGATCCGTTTGATTTTGCTAAGCCGAATGAGACGGGTAATACGATGAAGGGTGCAAAGTACTCACAGATTAAGTCCCATGCCGATGGCATCACTTCCGATCATCACATCATAGCCGCTATGAGGATTATTGAAGAGCGCCGCTTGTTCGGCACGGATCTCAGGTGGAAGTCGCCCATATGCAACAGCACAACGCAAACCTGTATTCTCTTCTACCTTGCGCTTCAGCGCAAATATGCTGCTTCTCGAAAAAGCGACAAGACAGTCGCCCTTTCGGACTCTACCGAAATCTCCCTCCAGAGATTCGTCTTGAACAGTAAGAGGTGACAAACGCTCGTAGCGGTTGATGAAAAGCTCATCATCTGTATCATTCAAGAGCGCTTGGACAATTGGGACCGCAACTTCTTCGCCACATAGATGGAGTTCTTCGGCAGGTAGACCCAACACAGCAGCGGTCCATGCAGATCCACGGTCTGGGTCAGCAAGCATTTGGATCTCGTCCACGACTGCCACTTCTACCGGAAGACTCAAAGACGTCATCTCTACCGTGCAACTTATAAGACCGGCATACTCGGAAACGATCCTAAACTCCTCTCCAGTGCGAAGGTTGCACTCTCGTGCGTACTTCGCCTTCCCCTCTTTCCGCACGGTTGGTCTGGACACTGATTCTTCGATTATATCCATGTTCGTGGATGTGTCCGGCTCGGAGTCGGGGTCTGGATCCATCCCGAGGGGCACGATCTGGCCCTTATTGAGCCGGTCCCAAATTTCATGTGCGAGTAGCCGCAGCGGACCAGAGTAGACACCAGTCTTCGCCGCCGCGAGCGCACGTAGAGCCATGTGGGTCTTCCCACTATTAGTAGGCCCAACGTGCATGATGACCTTGCGACGCATTGAGCGCGCTTTAGGGTACATATCCGCAGGGTATGACATATCTGCGGCTGAATATAGATACGAAATTTGTTCCAGCGTATGCAACGACACTGATTTCAGGAGAACTTCTTGTTGCTCGGGGTCGGACGCCCAGGAGTAGAAAAGTTGAGTGAGATTCTGGTCTAGCCGGAGTCCTTGATTCAGTTCTTTTGCTGTGAGAACAAATCTCTCTATGTGGTACTTTTTCTGCTTGACTGGATTGTGAAGGAGCCCAGAGCTGACCTCTCGGGCGAATATTGAAAGAATGGGCTGGACGTCTGTTCGTGGTACCCCGAAGGACTCCAGGCGACGATGTACGTGCGGAAGATCAGCCCATTTGTGGACCTGTTTTTCCATGACCAGGAGAGCGTCATTAGCGTCCCGTACTGAGAAACCGTCCAGGATGTGACCCTTCTTTTGCTTCGTGACGTACTGAGGGTTGGAACGACCACCATGTTTGAAGCTACCACGTTGATTACCAGAAAAAGTTTTTGGAGAATAATATGAGTTTCTTGGTTGTTGACGCGAGTCGTTGGAGCGAAACCGACGGAAGTGGACTTGGCTGGCTTCTAACCAACTTTCAGATTTGATGAATCCCGAAAGGAGAAGGCGACAGCGGGGCAGCATAACAACAGACATTAACCAAGGTCCAAGTAGAATAGTGTTATATTGAAAGTCTACGCTGGCTTTATGAAGCCATTGAATGGAGTTGACCGTATTCTGCGAACGAGGCGGTTAGAGGAAAGTGGTTGTTTGGTGATGTTAGGATCAGAAGGTTCACTCAAAAATATTAATGACTTGTCAACTCTAAGTCAACTCACTATACTTACACCGGCCATGGCTGCCGCAGCTGCTGCCATTCGTCCTATGCGACTTGCAGCACTGACACGGACACGTTCCTCCGTATTTCAGACTGCATATAACCCCACATCAGCACGTACTGGAGCCAAATACCTTCGCGCACGACTTCGCGGGCCTTCTATGGTCAAATACTATACTCCAGAAGCCAATATTGCACAGCTCATAAGACAATGGCCTGAGTTGGAAATGATAAATTTGGCAGAGGACGAAAGACTGCAAGATGTGGAGGACAAAAAGAAGAGAGGGAAGGGTGCACCGAAGAAAGCCAAGGAGAAAGGTGAGTTGAGACTTTATGACATATTTGCACAATTAACGCCTCGTTTCAGGTGACAGTCGCCGAGCTAGCAGGAGGCGATGATGTATTGTGTTGGAGCTGGAGAACGACCCTGTTTTGTGTGTCTACGACATGGCGGGAGACGACAAATAGAGGACGGTCTACTACGTAGGTATATATACGTGGTCGGGATCCGGACATCGAACGATGACGAAGGGTGAACATTAAACTCTAACACACACCCTCGACCGAGACATCGTGAGGAAGATAATAAGCGCGTGAAGTTGAAATGACTGAACTATGAAACAGCGAGAAAGTGCTAGGAAGTTCATTACCGCGTATATGTCGTACTGAGCACTGGGTGTCATCTAAATAGAGCCTGGAAAGAGATATTAGCATACTTGGTGAAAGGTCGAAAACGTAGCTTGGTATCACTGCAGTGTGTGAGGTGTTGCGTTGCAGCATGCATTCGAGTAAGGCGGATTATGTCAGCGGATATCATTGGCGTTAGTGGCCGGAAATGGATGGAAGTCGTTTATTGACTGGAAATGAACAGCGGCATCGCGGCACACCTGCCTAATACGGTCAAATTTATGATATTCTAATCAGAATCTTTCAAGCCTACGGAAAGTCATCCAATTATCGATCAAGGCATGGCATCAATATCCAAGGCCGAGAAGGCCTTCATCCAATCCTCCTTACTATCTGATCCGCCATTACGAGCAGACAGCCGCGGTTTGATAGATTTTCGAACCATAGCCCTTGAGTCTGGAGTTGCCCCCATCGCAAATGGCAGCGCACGTGTTAGCATCGGTAGAAACGCGCAGGACGGCGGTGGAGGCACCGAAGTCGTAGCCGCTGCAAAATTAGAAGTTGAGAGCGTCGGCGATGGCGAAGGCGCAGATGGTGGACGAGTGGCTTGCTCTGTATCCTGGTACGGCTTTTTGCTACACTTTCAAAAGAAAAGACTGGACAACTCGGACTGATAGCTCTCCAACTGCATACCCTCTCCTTTCCCCAAATGCCCTAGATGACCTGCAACATGACATGACGTCCGCATTGAATGCTACCCTCTCTCATCCGACAATCCGACCAACAAACCTTGGTATCATACCTGGAAAGAAATCTTGGTTGCTCAATCTCGATATCATAGTGTTTTCTGACGCAGGGAACATATTCGACGCAATTTTCATGGCTGCACGCGCCGCTTTGTGGGATACAAAGGTACCTATAACAAAAAGCGTCCAATACCGCGCGAAGAAAGGCGAAACTCAGGCTATGGACGTGGACACAGACGAAACAGCCCTTGTCGGCAGCGCACTGGACACACGGCAGGCGATTCAAGTGGCTGACTTCGAGCTTCCTGACTACTGGGACGAAGGCGAACCCCTAGATGGAAGACAAGCATGGCCGGTTTGTCTGACTCTCAATCTGGTTCGTTGTTTGTTGAGTTCAAATTCGATGGTATGCGATTGACCTTTGGATAGTTACCAACCTTGCATTTCCTAGATGCTACGCTACAAGAAGAAGCTTCTGTGCCTCTCAAGTTACTCGTATTTTACTCCTTCCCGTCAGATGCGACTCCACTGTTGCGAGGCATGCGCTTGCTCGGGACAGGCGTGTCGGACCTCACACAGGTCAAAAGCCTCTTGAAAGTAAGCATCCAGCACGTATCCTTATCACTGTATTCTAATCCTCTCAGGATGGGGAGAAGTATGCTCGGAATGTGTGGGTCGCTCTTGAAGGGAAGCTCAAGGACGAAGACTTTAGACGCAATCAAAAAGCCAGAGAGAGATTTCTTAATAGATAAACCTACAATCACATGGCATTCTCACAATGACTCTTGACGAATGGTGAAGAGTAAGCAATTTCATGGCTTCAGGCTTATGATTGTCGTTGCAGGACTGGACAGTAATTGCCTCCTTCGTGCTGGTATTCCGGGAATCTTTGACCGTTGATGCATCCAGGCACTGGTGATTGTATCTATCCGTTTACAGGGAAGTTCACTGCGCAGGCATCGAACGCATGGTAGGTAGAAGGCATAGCCTGTCCTGCCTGAGAAATCGGACTCAGGGGACGTCACGCGTAACAGCTCAGTCACAGTTTCGCATGCTAATGAACTGAACACTCTGCCCTCCAGCTAGAGATATTGAGCCAAGAATAGTTCTCATCCGTCAAGCATGCACCCTCTCAGTCTGCTGACCCACACAAGATGCCTGAAATGTCCGGACATCATATTCCGAGTGCGAGAACGCCGCATGGAATGCTGGTCTATTTCGTACGCAGGTTCTTTCAGCGTAACTAGCGGGGTGTACGAATCAGATAAAAGGAGTGTGTTCGTGGTACACTTCTGCAGCGATCACCCTCAACCAGCATCATCAAATCAAAGCCCCTGACCACCACCAACCCATCATGAAGTTCACATCGGCAGTCATCTCCCTCCTTGCTATCACTCTTCCCGTGCTCGCTCAGACTGAGAGCCTTTCGTATGACAACACTTATGATAACGCGGATCTGTCTCTCGACGAAGTCGCTTGCTCAGATGGGCCTAACGGACTCATCTCCAAGGGTTACACGACCCTTGGTCAATTGCCCACATTCCCCAATGTCGGCGGTGTCTACACTGTCACGGGATGGGATTCAGTTTACTGCGGAACATGCTACGAAGTAACATACGGCAGCGAGACAATCGCAATCCTTGCTGTTGACGTTGCGAGTTTAGGGTTTAACATTGCGGAGGCAGCGATGAACACGCTTACTGATAATGAGGCTGCGTTTTTGGGGAGGGTATCGGTGACTTCAGTTCAGGTCAATGCATCTGTTTGTGGCCTTTGAAGGTAAGCACGTCGGGTTTCCTTGCACATGAAAATCGACGCTCATGTCGAGTAACTTAGTGCCCATTGATAGATACTATTGGTCACTTGGATTCAGATTCAAGCACAATTTTAACTTTCGTCCTTTTGGGTAGTAGTGTCACGATACGGACTGGAACTAGACATAAATTATGCAAGAAACTGTATTTCATTTTCATGGACGTTCATTGAGCTCAAGATATATACGCACCTACGAGATTACAAATAAACATCTGTCCACCCCAGACTAAAACCTATAGATCCAAGACCGAGTGAACGCAGCCTCGTACCGCTCTGCCAGCGAAGCAAATACCAAAAGCGGTTCTTTCGAAAGCGTCCACAGACCTGCCAATATAGGCACTACCGCTGCGCCTGCGACGATCTTGCGCGTTCGTGGGCGCATGCGGAATTTCCGAGAAGCGAAACGTGATGCTTGGATAATTTGTGCGCCTTCGACTGCGTGGAACATGACGCTTGCAACCAATCCACCGTACAAGATCCAGCTCCGCCAGGGAAACCTAGCCAAGCCAGTTTTGATGAACTCATAGTCCAGCTCTGAGGGCCCTACTTCGAATATTGGTGGTGAAGGATTGGCAGGGTGCACGCGGTGTGTGTAGAAATGTATAGGAAGGAAGATTAGAAGAGCTGAATATGCTGCGAGACTGAGGGTGCTGGTAATCTTGCGAGGCGGTGCTGAACGTGGACTGATGATCCTTTTCGTAATACTTGAAGCTACGTGAGCTGCCAGAGGTAGAAAGAGGAGATATCTCTCCCCAAAGCCAGTTTGGTAGTACTCTCTACCGAGAAGCTTGATTCAAACGTCACATCTCTTTGTTACCAATTTGATGATACTGTGTCACCTACCAAAACATTGGAAGACAAACTCGAGCCTCCGACAATTGCGAGTGCTGGTGCAGACAGATGGACAATGAGGAAAACTGAAAGAAAAGGTGCGGAGATGTGGGCGACATTTGTCAAAACTGCCACTGTGTGTCTTAGTTTTGACCCATCTCCCTTGGCTGACATTGTTTCCGCGTCGTCCGAAGCAGCCAGGAATGACCGTTTGGAGTTTTCGAACAATCCGAGAAATATGCCGCTGAGAGTCATGGAAGTTGGCTTGCAATTTGTGGGGGATCGCCGTTTGCCGCGACTTAGAAGTGATGCATGCAAACTAGTAAGCTCAGCAATTTTGAGTTTCGAATTTCCAGTTTGCTAGCATTATACGTCCTACAGGTAAGTAATCCGTCCCTAATTATACTATGCACATGAATTAATGCGAACCAAGAGAAATGTGGATATGCATGGTGGGAAGGTGATATTAATGATACTAGAACGCGGAGCAGGGGGCTGAGTATTAGGATCAAGCAACCGTAAAGAAGAAATGAAGCGAAACACTGTGGGGCTATGAAACACTAGTGGGAATAGGGCTACAGGGTCAAGATAGTAGTGACGGAGATCATCCTCGTGGGTGAGGTTTTACTGGGTGCGTGTTGGAATTCCACGATTCTGTGTCTTGCTCTTGGAAGAGTGCCGAGTATTCAATGTCGCAGGGAATACCAGGTACATGATCAGGGTATTCAGAAAGGGGATGGGGATGGGGATGGGTGAAAAAGTCAAAATTGTGTAAGCCAAGAGCGTAAGCTTCCAGAGCCTGTGCACGCTCCATGTCTTCATAAGGTGCTAATAGCTCATCACCAGGCAACATTTCTTGCCCCGGCATACAGGGGGAAAGGGGATCGCTATTCCAGCCAGAAAGGGAGGAGGTGATAGTTGTAAAGGAGGAAGGAGTGTAGGTGAGTCCATTCCGGCTCTCTGGGGATTGGTAGTCAAGCTCAAATGCCATGTGCGACTCGGACGGGTTGCCTATCGAGCTATCATGATCCTGTATTATGGGCTTAAGCACACATCCAAGGAAAAAATCGTATCAGAAACGTACCCCAGTCGATGCACCGAAAGCGAAGGATATAAAGGAAGATGGATCGTTTGAAGCATGCCATTGCTGAGGTTGCGCCTCAAATTCCTTCCCAAACCGAACATGTGCCGCCTGTGACACATAATCAAGAGGACGCAGTGGCCACTCTCGTCCTTCAGTCGAGCGAGCCCTGCATGAGTCGTCTTTTGGAGCGTATGATGGGAGGATGGGAGTGAGAAACGCGTCGGGTAGCGGAACAGACGACGATCGTCGTTGAGCTGCGGCACAGTTCCCAGGGGCGTCTTTCGGCGCGAAGTCTCCGTATGCCTCGACACTCTCGCTCCCTTCCTTCTCGATGACCTGTTGATGTACAACATCCTCTTGCGAGTCTTCATCCACATCTGCGATATAGTGAGGCATTTGTTCGTCTGAATCCAGCAGGAAACTGCTGTTAGTCAGGCCCATATCGTATTGACGTTTCTTCAATCCAGAGATTTGGCGCCTCATTGGACGAAAGCGATAGTGGGGGTAAAGACGTGCATGGTCCTCTCTCTCCTTATCTGCAAGCACCTTATAAATGTCCTTTTCAGAAGCCGACAACTCCTTCCACGCCTCAGCGGCTCGCTTGGAGAGGGTCTTGGCAGTAGGATTTGGTGCTTCTGATTCCTCGTCGCCTTCTTGGGCTGCCTGGCTGTGCTTGCGTGAGTACTCACAGCGAAAGATTATGAAGGCGTTTCTAGGTCGAGGGATCCAACTAGGGTCCCTGCTTCTGTTACGCTGTGCACGTCGATCAGATGAAGGAGCCATTGGTTGGTGAGTGATGCAAGAGGTGGACGGTATAAAAGGCCTTGGTTGAGGAAATGTATGGTCTGGCAGATGAACATCATGGTCATCCTCCACGGAAGGAGGAGACCATCCGCGGAGGACAGGTTGGGGGGTGAAGACCATTGAAGACCTTGAAGGGATTTCCGGGAAGCGGACGGGACAGGGCAAGGTTATGTTATATGATTGTAATCAACAAACCTGCCGTTGATCTTAGATCAACTGCTTGCTGTTGCCCCAAGGTTAAGTGAATTTGAACTCAGACACATGAAGGGGTTTGTTTTCAAGGACAGGATGATCAAAATTGAAACCTGGTCAGTGAGCCGAGCAAGGAAATTGAAACAATCGAGACCCGAGAACAACACGAAAACAGCTTGGAAATGTTCCCTATAATTTAAATGGATTAATAACCAAGACATCATTCGATCCGTTCGATCAACCAAATCTAGATCATACCCCGCCGATCACTATGAACGCCGTGGATACTTCCTGCAAAGGGTCTTGAATACCTGCCCGTTAAGGTGCCCTGGAAGCTTGTAGCAAGCTTGATACTCCTCGCGATAGGAGTCTTTCATAGATATGCGGGAGCTTGGCCCCAAACAGACAACCACTCGGGCTCGGACTCGGTCGACCGCGGCAAGTACTTTCAGGGTAAGAAGCGTGGGATGGCAGTGCTATGGCCAAAGCGGGGACAATGCAGCACCAAGTCTCACTATTACAGGAGAGTTACGCTAATGCTAACAACCGGGGCCTACACCGAGGCCAAATTCCGGGGGTCACCGTATGGCCGCCTCCACGATGCACTTAGCGCTCGTAAAACAGGTTCTCCTTGATGCCATTAATCCTTTAGTGATCGAGCGCGATCATACTACTTCCGATTCACTGCCGGCGGCTAGTAGTGCATTCTCCGTGGACTTGCTGACAAACAAACAAAAATCAGACGAGACATGGTCATCATTTTCTAAACCACAGCTGATGCTAGACCTAGGCGTGTTTTGACTTCCATCATAGTCACCTCGGAGTGTTCAATAGCGCGAATAGCACCGCGACGCGCTACCTCCTCAAGATATGTCGTTTCATGACGGATACGATTGAACTGCGCCCGGGGCCCTTTCAGGAATTCCTCGACAGCCTCTGCGACATCGCGTTTCAGCGTTCCGTGACCTTGGCTCTCATAGGCTTTGGCAACCTGGGTGACATCGCTGTCTGTGCAGGCAGCGAGGATAGTAAGCAGATTTGAGGTACCCGGGCGACCTTGAGGATCGTAAGTAATGCCCTGATGGAGTCCGTGACAGCAGCCCGAATTTTCGATTGGATCTGGGAAGCGTTATCGGTGAGCAAGATGCGAGACTGGACGTCGGGCGAAGATTTCGACATCTTGGATGTTGGGTCTTTGAGTGATAAAATCCGCTTCGATGGAGCTGAAGGCATGGTTCAACGGATATATATGCACAACCTCAAATACTTACTGTTGACATAGGTCGGAAGGGGGAACAAGGGAGACGTTCCTTTGAATGTTCGGTTGAAGATATCGGCGAGATCTCTCGTAAGTTCTATATGTTGCTGTTGATCGTCGCCAACAGGAACGTGGGTGGCTCTTAGCAACACATCAGTCGTGCCAAAAATGACCACCATTAGAAGGCCCACTTATAAACAAGTACGTCCGCGGCTTGTAGCACAGGATACATGAATAGACCGGCGTTAAGCATCGACTCATCCACTTCATCCTCTGAGCTAGAATTTCGCGCCGTAGCTAATCTTGACTTGAGGAACGTAAGAATTGAATTGAATGTAATTACGCTTGGAAGACCGTACCTTCCAAGTCGTCATCCGGCGCAGTTTCCCCATGGGCGCTATGCAGCTTAATATCCAGGAAAGTTCGGTGTGGTGAGGATTCTAGGTACTGTTAACCAATCGGCTGGTGGGATAGAGCAATCAAATACATGGTCCTGGTGAAACAATATCGACCGGTTAGGGTCGATGCCTATGGCAAGTAAAACAGCCAGCATATCATTCCTTGCAGTCAGTAGGGAAGCAGGATCCTGTGGAAGGGTCAACGCATGCCATCCCACAATCGAAAACAGCAGTTTGTCCTCGGGCTCGGCAGATTTTTGAAGCTTGACCCAGTTAGACAGTGCGCCTAGGTAGTTCCCTAGCTATTACTATGTAAGTTGTTCCGTGTCAAAAAAAAGAATATAATCTTACATGAGGGATACCAGTCGGTTGAATGCCAGAGAGTATCACGCGTCCCGGGCGGATCTGGCGGACACGTCGGGGAATGATCATGTGTGATGAGCACTAAGAAAAGTATTTGAAACTCCGATAATATACAAGGTACTAGACCTCAGCTGTGCTCTGCTTTACTGACGTCTACTACCAGCCATTACCGGCTCATCTGGCGACCGCAGCCACATGGAGCACGATCCCTTGGTGGACCTTCCTGGCGGCGACAATTTTCACGATGTGACTGCATTATTTGAGGATGCTGCCGAAGGTGACCAGACATGCTTGTGTTAACTTACCTGCATGCTCATTGCCTAAGATATGCAACCCGGGGCTCTCGTGTTGACCGACGGATTTACTCTTCTGGATGCTATGTCGTCCTTCGAGGTAAATCCACTTATCTCCGAAGTTCAACCAATTCACTAATGATCTGTGAAGATAGGCGAACCACGCTTCGATAGCGGCTTGGCGCTTCTGGACAAATCTAAGCCGTCGTTCAATCCTCTCGCTCCGCTTACTCCAGAGGAAGTGTGCTGGATCATAGATCGCTCGGTTTCCTGCGAGGTAAATCAGAGACAGCGTAAACTCTTCCGCATGTATTCATTTATCCCCTGTCTGGCACCCAGATGGAATGGCATTCCGGTTATACTCTTTCGCAAACCATATACTCATTCCTTTACGTTCACTCTTTGAAAGAGATAGACCCTGACCTTCGTCCCCGGGGGCTCACTGCCACGCTCAGACAGCTTGCGACCACCAGAGCTAATCACAGTCGTTCTAAGGGCAGCTCTGTTAGGCCTTCTCAAGTGTTGTGACCTGTCCTGGAGGGAGCTAAATAAAGGGAACGTGTACGATGTTCGTCAAAGTACTGCTTAAGTTGCCAGCTATGCTCATCTATGATCAGGCCGAAGACTGGCAAAGCGAGAAATGTGACGTGCCTCTCTCCGAGGCTTTGCCCGTCAAATATATCTGCAAGGCGCTTGATGAAGCGTGTCGTTGGCTCGAGACCTCGGCCAAAGGTGTGAAATGACTCGCATAACAATGTTCACCTCGATGTTCATGCGATAAAAACTACAGTTCAGCAACCTTGGAAAACCATGCTGATGAATCGATTAGTGTTTAGAAAGGTTTGAGGCGTTTCTTCTTTTACATGACAGTCTACTGACTTGTGTCAGTCACTAATTGTGTTGTTCGAGACACAATTGTCTCAACCTCACTCTGGTTTGCTTCCGACGATGATAAATCTAAGTCTGCAATTATTGCAGCCTATCATGATAGTGACTCCGTCAGAACCCGCGCCAGATTCTCCAGCACGTCTTGCGTTTGACCCTCAGTTTCCTCGTGTTATCGTATCATACATCCCTCTGCATGTCCTACAGCTACCCGACCAAGCTCATACCTGGACTTTACTCGAGGGACTGTTGACATCGCTAAAAAACGTCAACGATCTTGCAAACACAACAGAACTGACGACATGGGAGGTATATACTATTACTGCTCCTCCGTCGATAAACATTAAATCTAGCATCAGGTTGCCGGCCATTTACAGCTGTGGTGCCCACGGCCCCATAGTCGACTTCCTTATGTGCGTTCAATCACACAGGCGAGTAATTCGTGCATGACAATTATCTAGTCGAATTTTATGATAATCCCTAGTCCGCATTCTGGGACGGCGTCCTCGTGCTCAACAAGTTTGCACTTAAACACGTTGTGGTCCAGTTCTTTCGCGAAACACTGGACATTTCCTATGATGCTTTCACGCAAAATATCGTAGCAAGGTGGGAGGGTCCGGCGCCTCCACCCCTCGTACAGATTGAACGCACCATGACGCAGGTTTGTTTGAAGTTGTGACATCCTGCATATGTGCTGACAGCAAGACAGATACTGATTGCGAACATAAAGTCGCTGTGGTACAACCCACCACGGCGGCGCCGATTCTGCGCAAAGTCCCTTTTCGACTGGCACGAGCTGTTTTCCGTGTTCATGGACGTGTGCGTGCGCCTTGCGCCCTTGGTGAGTGTATCAGATGTAAGTAGCGACCTAGAGGCTCACTAGACGATGCTTATCAGCAAGACCAAGAAAAGCTTGACCACGTTCGTCGCGCCAGGGTAGCCGTCCTAATGTATAGGTTGTCTGTAATCCGCGAAGTTATTTTATCGGGATTCCAACTGTCACTCTATACCAATGAAGAGCGCGTGTTTGCGTACTGGTATGTCGTACAGGTGCTTGAAATGCACTTGTCCTGCATAGATCAACTCATGCCAGGCATGTCGAGCGGTATGTGGTTCGATGCGTATAACGGCTAGAGTTGATTTTTCTCATCCAGACTCAAATGCTTACTTCGAGATGTCATATCAGTCGCAATTCCTCACGGCATTGCAGTCCCTCTCAATAGCTGTCTTCATTGTAAGTAATGGTGAATATCGCACACTCGTTCCAGATCTTGACTAGACGAAAAGATCACGGTTAAACAAACGACCTTCTCGTGGCGACGCACGAGACTCAATTTTCTGCGGCGCTACAAGTGGGCTTTTATGCCCGAGTACGAAGACATCGATCTGCAACCCTTTGGACATCCCAACTTTACCAAGTTTGCTACTGCATGCGAATCGATGCAAAAGGTGAGTGTTCGCAGTAACCGAAAAGAGGTGCCTTTTTAAATCGAAGGTAGGATAAGCAATTCTCGCTGGATGGCATCGCGGTCGCCATAGAAGTTCTATCATGTTTGCTGACGTCACCCGATGGCTGGGCGGGACGATGGAGTGAAGAACGGAAGAAGGTGAGAAAAATATTTAGTTGTACCTACCACAGATTCTGATCTCCCGCAAGTTCGTGCAGAAGCTCCTAGATGTGTGCATCGATTTGCAGAGACAGCTCCCTTCAACCGAGCAGGCCTTGACGACATGGGATGCGAAGACTTTGAAGTGGGATGCGGATATTCATCCTTGGTTTCCGATTATCTCTGGATTCCCTCCAGTGCCATCACGATAGATTGGTGCTGTTTTTTTTACCCGTTGATATAGATACAACGTTTCCTGGAAGGCCTTGTTTCAGCCACTAGTAATATGATGTCAAATCTATCGTGCATCGCGCACGTGGTGGTCGGCTGAGACCCCTACAATTGTTATCAGTCAGCAAATTAATCGCAAACTTTAATCATGCATCGGAAGTCTGTCTGACGGTTAACCTGTCCATGCCAAGACCTCGCTAGATACGCAAATTTATCTGATTGTTAACGTTTAACGGCTGGTTTAACTGACGAGTCTTCTAGCGCTACGTTGCCGCGCTAGCTATATTTGCCCCATTTTCAAGCCTAGTCACTGGTCTGAAGTTGTTCTAGATCAACATGTGACTACTCCTAACGATGCCGAGGGGTACGAATGACGATGGTGCTCCGCGAGATTCGTGCTTTTTTTTTTCTGTCAATGTTGTGACACTGACAACAGTACATCCACCGGCTGCCTACGGAACTTTTACAACAAACATTCTAATGATTTACCAGACACAGGTATATTCTCATTTGGCGATGACACCATTAATCGGTCCACATTGCAAGCCCTTCCCTAGTGGTAACGTTAACTAGGGTGCACGACCTTTAAATTTGATGAGTTGCATATTCAACGACAGCGATCTGATCGCGTATCGAGGTCGCCCGCCGACGCCTATCTACTGCTAGGGTCCGAGCGCTTCTGACTTGACCATTCCTGATTTGTGTGCTTTCGATCTGTTTTGAATCTGAATATCGAATGTCGACTTAATTCAATTTACTTTGATGTTTGTTTGATATGCGGCCCGTGGAGCCAATCTAAACGTCTTTTTTGAAACAAAATGGGAAGGGTGACGGTGGAGTATGTTTCAGATATCCAATTGTCTCCGAGTCTAACCTACTCGGTATGCTAAAGCTTGAAAGCTTGACGGCCAGCCCTTGCCACTTTAGCTTTGTCTGGGGTCGACATGGACAGGTTGTCAGCTCGGATAGGGTGGAGCTGCTCGGGAGGGTGGGATGCCAGCTCACGAGTGGGACGATATCGAATGACTCTTCGAGTAGCTTTAGAACGGAACATGCATGGACGCAGCATACGAATGCTCGAGTAACAAAGGAACCAGCATGGAGTGAACTGCGGTGCGAAATTAAAAGGGAGTGGTGGGTGGATGTAAAGAGAAACTGTAGGTACGAGTGAGGAAGTGCGAAGCACGAACTCGAGTCACTCGACGTCGTGGCAGAGAGCAGACGAATGTAGGAAGCGAACAGTCTGGATGAGTATGACGCCGGGACATTCCGCGGGTTTACATCACCCGGTACTTATCCATGCTCTGTCTTCTGTCTGTTAACATCTGACTACAAAGTCGTATTATTGCAATGCCGTCGTCGCAACGACAGGTATCGGGAGTTGTCACTAGACTCTCGGCGCGTGCAAGCCCATATCACAATGCAGTCACTTTGTTTGAAGCCGGAAATGCGGATCAGCCGTCAACATCACTGTCTTCCAGTCCAAAGCCGTCGAAGCGTATCAAGCTCGAGGTCGAATCCGGGACCTCGAGCATCTCAGACTGTACACGTTCCGAGAGCCCACGGAAGACGTCACCAACTTTGAAGCTGGAAGAAATGGTATCCGAAGGGGATGCGAGTTTGCAAGTGAAAATCAAGTCCCCCAAGAAACCTAAACCGATACCGCGGTCTCTGGACACTCCACATATTACTCCATTACGCTGGAAGGAGGTGTATGACTCGATCAAACAGATGCGCACACAAATGGTCGCTCCTGTAGACACTATGGGGTGCGAACAAGCCCAGCACAAGGAGAAAGACCCAAAGGTTGATATTCATGCAATCTCATACGATGACGGTCTTATTTTGTATGGCAGAACCGACGGTTTTCTACGCTAGTTTCTCTGATGTTATCTTCCCAAACGAAAGATGAAGTCACGGATGCAGCTGTTGACAAGCTGCGGGCTGCCGTAGGAGGCACGCTATCTGTAGCTGCCATCATATCTGCGGATGAGTCTACAATATCAGATGCAATAGCAAAAGTTGGCTTCTGGCGACGGAAGACTGGGTTCGTTTATTTTTCCCGTAGACGGAAGAATGGTTTTATTCACATTTTCTATCAGGTATATCAAGAAGGCGGCTTTACGGTTACGGGATGAGTTCGATTCAGATGTACCCAAGACGGTGGATGAGCTATGCTCTTTGACAGGAGTCGGACCTAAAATGGCGTTCCTTACACTTCAAGTCGCCTGGAATCTGTATGTGGTGGATCTACTACGCCCTTTATGAACTCGCTAACTGCACTTGCAGCAATCACGGCATCGGCGTGGATGTGCACGTTCATCGTATCACCAATAGGTTGGGATGGCATCAACCGCCCACCAAAAAGCCTGAAGAAACGAGGTTAAATCTTCAGTCGTGGTTACCTCTCGAATTGCATCGCGACATTAACCACTATGCTCGTCGGATTTGGTCAGGTATGTTTGCGCCATAGGCCATGGGGATTCTCATAGTGATCTTGTTTTGTTAAACAGACTATTTGTGTCGCTGTGGGACCGAAGTGCGACTCGTGTACATTGAGTACTAAAGGGCTGTGTCCAAGTGCTAATACAAAACCTCCGAAAAGCCCGAAGAAGCGGAAGAGACAATCTTCTCCAAGCCTTGAACCCGAGTCTGGACCAAAGATCGATATTGCAATCGAGTCTTGACTTATGGAGAGTTGATGTCCTTCCTGCCCCCACCTAGCAATGCATGCATATATTTTGTGATGTCCAGATACAATATCTTATTACCTACTAACTCACATAACTGATTACCCAGATCGAAGTGTTTGTCTCGAGCAAAATAAACAAATTATGTTGGACGCTGTAATTTGAAGAGTCTTAATCATGGAATGCAGCATCTTCGGATTACACAGATAGCTCCAGCGTGAGAGGAACGAACTTCGTTTACATTCTTCAGTGAATGAAGACTACACGCTCTTCACGTTGTGCATGGAAACTGATCACATTTCTAATTAGACCACACAACTTGTTTCAAGGGCCTAGCTCATCATTTATTGGCAGATGAGATTATACAATCTTCTGACCTGTCACTTCTTGAACCTCCAGGAGCAGCCAAAGTCACTAGCCTGGCGAAGAACTGTGGCGTCCGTATGTTCCTTACTGAACGAATTTTTATTCCTTTAGTACAACCATCCCGAAGTCCGACTTCCATAGTTGCGGAGCTCTGGTTGTTCCTATGTGCCTACACTACGGAACAGTTGGTTCCCATTACTCCCGGCATCATGTTCGGGACCAGATGTACATGTATGTGCGACTATTCTCATAAGTTATTGATGACAACAGTTTGGACCTTCTGCCAAGTATAGGCCCAGACACTGGACGGGCCACCTTGAGGCGATGATGAACATCAGTGCACCCACGACACCGAGTCACGTACCCACCGCATTCCTGTTCGGTATGGGACTCGGAAATAATGTTTAGAACAAGTTTCAAGCACGAAAAAGTTCAGAGGAAGCGACACTTTCCCGTGGTCAGCTGAGTTTCGTGTACATATAATTTAGGGGCTGAAGCAATCAGCATTCAATTTATGTTTCTTATCGCCTATGTAGATTCTTCAAATGGGCCAATCTCCTTTGCATGATGACAAGGACATTGCGAGCTTGTACAAGTTGAGTCGATATTCGATACACAGGAGTCGCCCATTCTGACAGACTATGTCTAGGTTTCTTCCCACATATGTGCGAAAGGATATGAAACACGGAGTAACGAGGTTGATATCCGCACCGCCTATTCATTCAGGGCCATCGGTAGCGGCAGTTTCATTTGTGAGACTGCTATCAGTGGCACTATTTAATACTGTGCAGGTTAATCCTTGGCCCCCACCCACTCTTTCAGTAACAGACAGGATTCCACACCTGCCCATGTCGAACACAACTACAATCACTCCAGAAGAAATCCAAGCTTTGGACTTGGACCTTATGACAGCCCCAAATATCAAATATATTAGCAGTAGGCCCTTTTGTTTTCCGAGACTGGTATGCTTACCTACCATTCGGACATCGTGTAGTTGCTGCTTTGACCCTATTTGCCTGGGACCTGAGTGAGTGAGCTTTCTTTATGAGTTTATTCTGGACCGCTGACAGAGATACCAGTCCTTACTTTTCCACACGAGGTAAGTTGTTCAGCCGGACCTAAATTATTGCGGAGGCTCAGCAGTGGCAGTATAGACTATGGGTACGTCAAGTTAGGGGGAATGCTGGTTAGCAAATGACGGGGACTACTTGCAGAACGCCAAGTGGACGCCTGCAAAAGTTCTATTTTTTGTGGTGAGATAACGTCTATATCGGTCGAGTGCTCTGCCTTATCCTTCTCAGAATCGATACTTTGCGCTTGGGACAGCTATCCTAATAACATTTTGTGAGTTGTGCACCGAAATTTCGTTGACATACGCGTGTTACGATAGACGCTCATTGCTGAAATATAATACAGTGACATTCGACGTTACACCCACATTGGCCACGTGCGTTATCTCACCACTCACTCTTATTGATACTAATTCGAAACAGATGTAAGCTCAGACACTTTTATCCCCTAACCTCCCTCATAGAAATGTCAGGCTCTGCAAATACCCTCTTTGCTGTTATCGGTATGTAGCTTGCCCGTCGATCAGCTTCAATCGCCTTTAGTCTGACAATTCCCAGCTTTGTTACTAGTGGCCAACATTGAAAGTAAACTGTTTGAGCCATCTGACGTACCACGTACTCATCAAAGTTGTAGTGATTCTCCAACTTCGATTATACGCGTTGTACGCCTATGGTGCGTAGCAATGGAAATCCTTCCAGTTGATACCTGGATGATATGCAGATAAAAGAATTGTCCTCCCTGTGTCAGCATTGTTCGTCGCGGTCTTCAGTGGCATGATGGTGATGGCAGTAATCATATACCAGTATGAGAAGAGTGAGCTTCATCAATCTTACCGAGTATGTGCACTAATCAAAGTTTAGATCACGAAGCTCAGATCTTTGGCGCATGCGCTATACTTGGATCTGTGGATTGGCTGTATCTTTTCTGGTACTTACACTGTGGACTGCCTTTGCGACCTGCTCCTCATTCTCCACTACAGGGTACCAATGATGGGCTTGGACTTTGTCCTTGTCCTGTTAGCAGGCTACAAATCCCTTCAGCACTATTTCCAGGTACCAGACAAGAACTGGTCTGGTGCACGTCTTATGCGTGCCTTTGCGCGAGACTCGATTCTTTATTTCCTCTGGTGAGAGCTCGTGCAACGTGGCGGGCCGATGCTGATCCAAGTACCACTTTGCTGTTTCCAGTAACTTTTTAGTATACCTATTCAGTACCTTGCTGGGAAAATTCGGTCCTGTTGAGTATTATCAACTTGGCGCGATCACGATCACAATTATCCCACCTGTGTCGGCGAATCGTCTCCTCATCAATATGTACAACTCAGTACACACCGAGGAAGAAGAGATAGATAGAAAGAGGTCTGTCTTTCGCAATCATCTTTCGCCAATGTATTTGACATGATGGTCAGAGTACACTACAACGTAGAGCTCGTACCCATGAGTATGGGAAGTTCGCTCGAGGTGTAGTCGCGTAATGGTATCTATAATACTGTCAAGCTCATATAGCTGGCTATGACCAGAATGCTTGTCTTGAGGAGGGAAGCTAATTTGTGTTATGTCGGATGCTCTAGGGGACTTCATCTTTTGCGCAGATGAGGCTTTGACCTGGAAACTGACAATACATGTTTTCCTTCTTCAGTGAAGCCACTGTTCTTCAAGTGTGCTTGATCCCGGCAACTGCAGCTCGTCACATAATGCAAGCCACATGCCACCGTGGACTGTCGTAATTCTCCCCTTGAAAGTTAAGCTTCTAAGATTTGCTCGTTTGGAAACTTATGTTTGCTTGGCAATCTATTATCACCACCGCCCGGACGCTATAAACCAACCACCCGTGTCTAGAAAGAAGGGGCGTGTAGGGGAACACCGATTCGGACAATAGCAGCTCCTTCTATCAACAATTCACGTGTGAGTGTCTATTTATTCTACTGATGGTCAACACTGCGCACAGTGATTATCAGGATGCTGCCAGTGTATCACAGCCTAGGCCTTATCTACTAGTTACAACAATGTTGTGGAGACTAGTAGTACCAAGGACTTAGAGACAGCCGCAGATTGCGGCGATGATTCAATATGGATGCTATTGGCATCATTGAATGTACGAATTCGAATTTATTTTTCTCCTTCGTTACCAATTATGTTGATTCATCTAGCACTGACGCAGACGGCATCTTCTAGTACTATTCTAGCTATCTCCTTGTCTGATGCTTGTCAGCCGACCTATCTGCCATTGGTTAAGCTTTTTTTGCTGCCTAGGCGCCCATACATTATTTTGGAGGAAGTAGCTCCGGCATGTCTTGCGACTCTAAATTATGAGTTATGAAGCCAACGCCTTACATGATGAACGTCATCACACTACCTCTGGTTAGTGGACAATGTCGAACCAGTGTCAATCATCGAAGTTCGCAGATGATATCATGTTCGCTTCAATCATGGCGTCAGGTGAGGAGTTCATATCAGCTAATTATGTAAAGATTTCGAACTGATCCCCATCATACAAAGATTTTAATCACAAATTCACAATGATTTACATAAATCATGTAAGATTCAGAAGTGATACATAGAACGAGGTTGCCGATAGGCCGTCAATGAGAAGATTTCGAGCCGCATTTACTGCCTGTGCAGACTTCTCGGTCTCCAAGGCCGCATCGGCACTTTCAGGTTCATCTATGAAACTACTATTTAATAACTGCTTTTAGACCCCCGAATCCTGCCCCCTCTTTTCTCCAGGTGATACCACGTGCACCCATGTCGACCACTATCACCCCAGAGGAAATCCAAGGTCTGGACCTATACCAAGTGACAGCTCCAAAAATCAAATACATCAGCAGTGAGCCCGGCCACGTCTTTCCTGAAATCGATGTGACCTATCATTCAAATGACGTGCAGTTGCTGCTTTGACGCTCCTTACGTGGGACCTTGGTGAGCAGGCCCTCTTTGTGCTGTTATTCGGTATCGTTGACAGGAATACTAGTCCTAACTTTTCCTCAAGAGGTAAGCACATTGATCGATTTTCAAGCTGTTAGAGCTCAATGGTGACAGGTTAAATTATGGGTACGACGATCTGCTCAAGTATAGCATGTTGGCTAGCAAGGTGACCAGGATTTCTTGCAGAACACCAGATGGACGCTTGCAAAAGTTCTGTTTTTCGTGGTGAGAATGAGTGCATAGGTCAGGTGTTTTTACCTTGACGCCCCCCAGAATCGATACTTCGCGCTTGGAACAGCTATCTTAATGACATTCTGTGAGTTGTGCGCCGAAGTTCGGTTCCAGTGTATCGATGCTCATTACTGAGATGCAGTAACGTTTGACGTCGCACCAACCGATGCTATGTGCGTTATCTCATCGCTCTCTTTTGTCGATGCTCATTCAGAACAGATGTAAGCTTCAAAATTCTCAGCCGATATCTCTCCTTCATTGAACATCAGGTTCTGTAAATGCGTTCTTTGCCGTCATCGGTATGTAGCATGCTCGTCCACAGGCACCAGTCTACTCAACTCTGACACGCCTTAGCATTGTTGCTGGTAGCGAATATTCAAAGTAAGGTTTCCAAGCCATATAAAGTATGATGTACTCATCAAAGCCCAAGTGATTCTCCAACATCGAATATATGCGCTGTACGCATATGGTACGTGGTAATGCAAATATTTACTTCCGGTTCACACCTGAATGACATTCAGACAAAAGAATCGTCGTTCCTGTGTCGATGCTGTTCATCACGATCTTCAGCACTATGATGGTGATGGCAGTGGTTGTATACTTGTATGAGAAGGGTCAGTTTCGTCAATATTCTTGAGTATGCACACTGACCAAAGTTTAGATCACGAAGCTCAGATCTTTGGCGCATGCTGTTTGCTTGGATCTATGGAGTGGTTATATCTCTTTTGGTACTTACGTTCATGAAATATCATCGTAACCCTCACCTCATTATCCTCTTCAGGGTACCCATGATGGGCTTGGAACTTGTTCTTGTCGTGTTGGCAGGCCACAAATCTCTTCAACACTATTTCCAGGTACCGGACAAGACCTGGTCTGGTGCCCGTCTTATGCGTACCTTTGCACGAGACTCGGTCCTTTATTTTCTTTGGTGAGAATATATGTAATGTAGCGGGCCAGTTCTGATCGAAGTGCTCCCTCGTTGTTTCCAGCAACTTTTTGATATATCTGTTTAGCACATTGCTAGGCAAATTTGGTCCTTCTGTGTATTATCAACTTGGCGCGATCACGATTTCAGTTGTCCCACCTGTATCGGCGAACCGTCTCCTCATCAACATGTACAACTTTGCACACGACGAGCAGTCAACTTGGACGATAGGTTTCGGAAGCTAAACCTTCCCTGCAATTTGTGAAAGACACGTCGAGGTCTGTTTTTCGTGTACATCCGACGAAGTTATTTGACAATGACATGGTGCTCAGAGTACACCACGAGGATATGGAGCTTACATTCGTGAGGACGAAGGGTTCCGAGCAGGCGGATGCATCATCGTTTGAATGATATCAGTCGGGTGTATGGGACTTTGTACTATATGGTTTTTTTATAAGTTCGTGCCTAAATAACACTTCCAGAAGGTATCCGTTCAGATCCCTTGGTTCTTCCACCTGAACCCAATAGAGCGCTGCTACCATCGCTCTCATGCTATATATCGTCGTCAATGTCGTGCGAATCGTATTTGGCCGTCTTGTAGCCCGCTCGGGTGTGACAGGAGTATCCTGCAGGGATTCTGTCACTGTAAAGCACCAAGAGAACTGGCTGATCAATATGCACCATCACAGAGATTCTACAAGCGTCCCATCGGCTGTTCTGCAAGTGCAAGCGTAGCCGCGGCAACATGTACTAGTACACTTCAACTAAACGTACCCACAATTTCTGTCACCACTTTTATTGGACGGAACGACTGTTTCCCTTCTTCTAAAGGTCTGGCTCGGGGAGATCATATGTTTATCAGTGAACCTGCACAACAGTTTGGTCCGATCAAAAATTATGTGAGGAACTACCAGTAAATATTGTTATAAAATTAATCGCGACAGCAAAAAGGGCGAGCTAGGTTTCCAACTCCGCTAGGATTCCCCACCATCTTTCTACCTATACCTCCATCCTCCTTTATCTGAGGCTCTAGATCTGTCACGTTCACTCTTTCATGCACATACGAGCGTCGTTCACGCACGGTATTTGCGTTGCTTCAATCAACTTCAATGGTTGAAGTAGTGTAAAGAGCATGTTTATGGATTTACAGAGCGGCCGGCGGCCCCCCGCCTGAGGAGGCTTCCATCAAGGTCGCTCAGGTTGAGTGTCGGCCAGGTAGCAACAATGAAATTGGTAAGACATAACATACTACTATGATGCTGACACCAGCATCCTGACAAGCCTCACCTTTCCCCTTTTTGTCTCTTTGAGTTATGTTCTCACTAAGAATTTGAGTTGCGATTCTGTTGTTCAAAACGCAGGTCTTGTGCCACAAACCAATGGTCATTTCATCCTTGAAGGTCTGTGGGCTGGTGTGTGATTTGACCTGCAGATAACCACAGGAAAATGTTCGTACTGCATCCATGGAAGATGATATCTGGTGCTTTCAACAATGTTCACACCGTGAGGACAGACGGATCGTATTCAGAGTACGAATGGCTTCCGGTGGGTGGAGGGGGGTCAATGTGTGCATCATATTAGTTGAGATCTTTTGTATGGTATTTGCAATATTTGGATTTATAAGTTCATGCCCAAAAGTGAGATGATCTCGAAGCACAATACAAGGAGTAATTGCCCTATCAGGTCCATCAGGGCAGAGTGGATGGGCAGAGCGTATGTATCAGGGTCAAGACCTTTCGACCACAAGAAATTGGTCAACCATCGAGCTACAACTAATGAGGTGAAGACCTGTTGTGAACTTCAGTAAACGATCAGTGCAAGGCGGACCTGGAACTCACTGCACAACAAAAAAATAATACTGATAATACCGCAAATATGATGGGTAATTTCAACCACCCAAACGCGCGTAGAGTACAGAGGAACAAGATCTCTATGGGAATTGTAATGACAGTCAACGTAACCATGACAAGTTTTGGGGAAGGTTCGCTTTTGTGCAGGCATGCGTTCGCAGATGCTGCATGAAGAGCAGTCGAGAGTCGGGAAACAAATATAGACCCAACGCTGCCAGGAAGCCCTGTTCTCTTGCGTTATAACGATATAAACTGTAAGATTCGCTCAACTCACCACTGATAACGATGGCAAGAAGAGGGAATCCTTGATAACGAGAGGCAAACATATCGAGCACAATACCAGTAGCGCAAGAAATTACCATTGCACCAAAGAGTGGAACCCAGCCCTGGTAGATCAGATCCTTGACGCTGTTGTTACGCCTCACCAGGAACACGCATACCGTGGCGGAGAGAATAGTGAGTATGACACAAATGAGAGGAATGGGAGTATTGACGACGTTGATGAGTATGGAGGAAATGACACCAAGAAGGCTGAGTGTGACCAAGTCTCCGAGGCACGATGCTATGGGGGGCGCAATATTATCTGAAAGTGTAGAAGTTTTAGCGTACGTGTTGAATACAAGCCCAGCATCACTTTCCTGGGTCACGCCCATATCGTCGACATATGATAACAAGAAAACACATGAAGGAACCGAGGACAATGCTTGACAGACATGCGGACATCATAGCTGAAGAGGCCACCATCGTGAATCTGCCACGAGATTAACTACCACGCGCTCAATATGAAAACCGCACATACTCGATCAAACCAGACTTCGGTTTCCCACCTAGGGGCGGTGGCGGCCGAGGCAACCTAGCAGTTAGCGATAGGGTGCTGTTCTGTGGAAAAGGGTCTACAGGACCCGAAGATAGCTCTGGGACCAAAAGACCGAGGAGCATCGCGACACAAGCTGCAATGAATGCGACGACAGTCGCTTGCACTTGTAATAGTGCCAGATTGCCACCCACAATCTTGCGTTGTGCGCTCTTGTCGTCTAGCTCGCCCATATTAGCCGCAGTTCCCATTCTAGCAGAAAGATTCATTTCTAAGTTGCCTTTGAGGTTTAAGACAACAGGAATGATCATTATCAGCTCATCGATGGTGCTCATTGCCCGCCAACGCTAGAAATAATTAAATCGAGACCTTAGACGTCACTACATGTACTCACTGATACACGGTCAAGGAGTTCCCCGGTGAATAGGAGGCTTATGGTAGTCATAAGAAGCGTGGGTGCACACTTTTTAAGCAATCAGAGGGATTTCTTCTCTGCAAGTTCTATCCACGTACTTCGACAACAATGCTACCAACTTGTGGCCAAACCCTTCCTGTGCCAGACGGTATTCGCTCGTTTCCCCTGGTTCTTCCACCCGAGCCCAATAGAGCGTCGCTGCCATCGCCTATATGCTCTACATCGTCGTCAAAGTCCTGCGAATCATACTCGGCCGTCCTGTAGCGTGCATGGGGTGTGACCAGGATGTCCTGTAAGGTGTCTAATTCCACGTTGTCGTTGCCTTTGTCGTCGACGTGTTGTAGAAATGATTCTGTTTCATTTCTGGGGTCCTCTTGCATAGTTTTGGCGAGTCCCAGTCAATCCAGAAACAGAACAAAAGAAGGCTTGTGTGGTCAAGCAAGTCTCGAGGTTTGCTGAAAGTGACGATCGTGGATCACGTGGGAAAAGAGCTTATGTAAACAACGACAAAACGCTTGGTATTGAAGGTGTCAGCGTTTAAACCTTAGCAAGGTCTGGTTCTCACCTACTTGCTCGTCACTAATCTGGCATACAGAGTATCTTCTGCTCTGCATCGGTTACGCGCAAGACTGCAGTAACCGGTCACTGGATTTGTCCTGTGGTTTTGGTTGCCAAATCCTGACGTGCCTAGTAGCCACCGAACTCGTCGGAAGCGCTGCTATGTCGTCCAAACTGTATTCCTATCGTCCACCTACCCCGACGTGCTCTCCCCTTTTTAAGAGTCCTTCGGAGACTGTCCCCTCGACAGATGACCTTGAAAGGCTGCAGGAAGAGCTTAAATCACTTCGGCAGAAGTCATTGGAACGCTTCAAGAAGGCCGGAGATGACTTGAAGACTATCGAGGAATCTATGAGGCGAATCAAGGAGAAAGAGAAAGGCAAGGCAAAGGCGGTAGAGAAGGTGAAGCGTGAACGCCCTTGTATGTTATTCCGTTTTATCTGTCTTGGCTTAGTTCTGGCTCATGAATCTTAATCTCTCTTCCCCGGTCCACACTTTTTCACTACTCAATCGACGGTCGAAAAATTCCCCAAATCTGTACATATACCGGACGTCAAATTCTCTTGGTATCCTGTTCGATCTGATGGACGCCATGCTCATATTATTACTTCACGAATATCCTCTCAATCTGCCATGGTCTCGCCACAATGACAATGACGTTGTTGTAGTTACTCCAGCTTTGGATGGGGACGAACGTGACCTTTCTCCCTCTGTCAATGGCTCTGTAAGGGCTCGAGCACCATCGATACCAGTTTCTTCCTTCCCTCCCTCTTCTAGGGCATCACTGGACCCTCGAAGATCGTAAGTCCAAAGACGAAGCTCCGAATGCACAGTCTCACCATTTTTCAAAATCTTTATTAGAATACCGGACGATATCAAGAAAAAAAAGAAGAAACGTAAACGAGAGGAAGATAGTGACCTCGAGCAGGGTAATCTACAGAGACCATCCATAGAGACCGTGATTCAGATTCTTCGTACAGATTCCGGCCGCGCTGTGAAGACCTTGCCAGGCCCTTCTCTCAGTGTCCCTCTCAAAACATCGAAGTCACTGGGATTTGTGGCAAATCACGTGAAGGTATTTTATCTGCATTCTGTTGCACTCTGTCGCTTCATTGGCGTCCTAGTCTTCATTCGCACCCGACTTCACACTTCCGCCCTCCACAGTACTACTACCCGCCCGTCCTCCGATACCCCCCGCGCCCGTTGCCGGTCCTAGTAATGCAACGGATGTCACCGAAGATTTCAGTAAGCTCAAACCGCCAGCACAGACTCCCGTCAATACCTTCTATACAAGCATTGAGCCTTGGATCCGAGGGATTAAAGAGGAGGACGTTGGTTTTCTTGAGTTTACTGCGGATGAAGTCGAGCCTTATGTGATACCAAAATTGGGCAGGCATTATTTGGAAGTATGGGAGGATACCGATATGGCCATGTATGGTGGGCCATTACCTGGCTTTTCGTCTGGTCGATTGGGTGAGAGCTCGACGTCAGCACCGAAATGGGACCCATCGACCCTGATGGAGGCGGACCTGTTAACGGAGGAGCGCAGTCACGGGCCCTTGACTGAGCGATTGATGAGTGCCCTTTTGCCAATGCCAGATTCGACAGTGTGGAAGGGCGTCAAGGCGGCCGAGGACGCTATGGAGGGCAGGCCAGGCGGAACTGGTGCTGCAGCTGCGAAGCGGGAGAAAGTTAATGTAGTTGATTTGGAGGAGAGGGTTCAGGACACGATGCGGTTTCATGGGTTACTCCATGAGCCGGTAAGTATACTTACTGGTTTCATGACGGGTGTTTCACTCATAGCCCTGTTGTAGCCTGATTTTTCGACGAAAGTAGACGACCCAATTGCCACAGCTCTCAGGCATGCTCAGCGTCAATTACGGACCGTGGTGGCCATGAACAAGGCCAGGAAAGAACGTCTTGCTGCTATTGCTCGTGATCGGCTCGGTTATCAAGAATATCTGGACCTCCGTTCCGCCCTTGATAAAAGCATCACGAGCGCCTACTCGAAAGTTCAGAAGAAAGATGAGCCGAAGCTGAATAAAAAGAAAAAGAAAATATCGGAGGTCAACGGGACAGTGAACGGGACCACTTCTGGTGCCAGCGCGCCTAAACCTTCACCTGCAGCACTTGGACTCGGTCCGGATGATGATCTTCATCTTGTGGTGCCAGATCATTTGCAGCAACTCGTAGAGACCCGGCGGCAGTGGGTAGCAAGCGTCGGGGGGGTTTTTGATGAGAAGGAGAGGGAGTGTCCTGGTCGAATATGGGGCCTTCCGGGACGGAGCATTTATGAAGGGCTTGAGGATGCTATCCGCCACGATCTGGCTCGGTCGTTACATCCACGTAGTACTGCATCAGATCAACGGACTACCCAAGGGAATGGAGATGAGATGGATGTCGGATGACATAGGAGACAGTAGAGCTTTGCCTATCGTAATCTATCTTATTCTCTCCGTTGATTACACAGTTTCTTGTACACTGCCTTTTCACATTACATGCGCGTTTAATTACTCCTGTACTATCCAGAAGCATTACACCTAAGACACGATTACAACCTCAATATTCATCCTATTTCGCTATTTTGGGTTTTTTGACTGTTATCTTACGAAGTGTCTCTCCCTCAACTTTACGTTTACCACTCTTCGACTCCTTTACCTTGGACTCCTTTGTCTTGCGGAGTGACCCTCCAAAGCTAAGACCAGTATCACCGCCCTCCGCTTGGCCATCATCGTCCATACTCGCATGATCGCTGTTTATTGAAAGTTTGGCTCCATACGGCACGAAATGATGCTTGAGTAATTCTTTTGGATATGAGGGGCGAGGAGGATTTTGGTGCAGAATGGATGGGTACTCCGGAGGGGTCGCTCTTGATGGCTGGGCTGAAACAACGAAATGACGTGTAATCTCTTTTGGTGCTAATCATGGAATGTTCAATAAATCATTCATATAGCTTCACAGAATAAATAACTTGCCTATGTATAGCCTGCCCTTTTTTCTTTTTCTAGGAAGTAAACACGACAGTCCTCTCAGTTCCTCTGCTCCAGCGAAATCCGCCTCATCGTCACCCATCGACCATATATCATATACAGCGCTCTTTCGCGTCAAGCTACCGACCTGACCGCTCCGTGAGGACGAGGGCGCATCAATCTCCAATCCGTCAAGATTTTTGGGGTTGACCTGTCACAAGCATGTCATAAGGCCAGCAACCATGCATTCTGACGGATACTTACTGAGTCTGGAACCCGTATTAGCCATATTTCTAGATCATCATCCTTCTGAACGGAGTCCCAGTCAAAAGTCTCGGTCTCGAATGCATGGTCGAATGACTTATAACCAGGCGGAGGTTTGTAAGCCCAGTGCGGGTTCTCTCCTTCGTTTTTTCCATGATCGGTGACAGTGACTAGCTGCGATTTTGACTTTTTCTTTGAAGTCTCTTTGATTTTGTTTTTTGAGGCTTTGGGTGCTGTTTGCGCTGGTTCTGGAGATGACATGTTTTAAACTGCGGGCTGGTCTCCTGTAACCTATAGGCAAACCAAATAGAAAGGAAAAGCTCGTTACTGGGTCTTTATGTATGTTATGTTATAGACCACCGTGTCAATGACCAAACCGTGACGGTGAGAAAGGTGCCCGCCTCTTTTGGATTGTTTGGCAAAGGCTTGGGAAATAAACAACATGTCCGATCAATGCGGAAGGCCGCATTCTACTGCGGTGCACACCAGCCCACGAGAGGACCATGATGATGCTGGAAAGTCCCCCAGTCCTGACAATCGCCGGAAGTGATTCCAGCGGAGGGGCAGGCATACAAGTGCGCATTTGTGCTACCTTTTTCACGTACGGGAATCCAAGACTCTTTGACTGAAGGCAGACCTGAAAACGTTCACTGTTCACGGATGCTACGGTGCAAGCGTGACTACTGCCCTGACTGCTCAGAATACCACTGGCGTGCAAGCAGTGTACGGAGTGCCTCCCGACTTCGTGAAGCAGCAGGTATGTAACTCAATTACATGGTATGCTGTCCCTGTATTAGCTTGAGCATTTCCCATAGATAAACTCTGTCCTGGACGATATTGACATCAAGGCGATCAAGACTGGCATGCTTTTCAATGGAGAGAACACCAAGATAGTCGCGCAGGTACTCAAGGAGCACTTTGATGCCAAGGGGCACATTCCTTTAGTCTGCGATCCCGTCTGTGTTTCCACCTCCGGTCATACACTCTTACACCCAGATGCCGTGGATACCATTATAGATGAACTATTCCCCCTTTCGGACCTCATAACTCCAAATAAAGCGGAAGCGGAACTTCTTCTGAAACAGCGCAATTTTCCGTCTCGCATTGCAAACTTACAAGACATGGTCAATGCTGCTCGAGAGTTGAAGACACTTGGCCCTCAAGCTGTGCTCCTGAAAGGCGGTCATTTTGTCGCTTCGCTAGGAGATCTTGCGAATGTTTCATCGGACAACACGCAGGTGATTCGAGATGATCTTCTAGACGAGAACACGAATATCCTCCGGGTTCATGGAAGGAAAGATCAACACGTAGACTCACTCGTAGTAGATGTGCTTTGCGCATCTGATAACCACATCACCATATTTGCTAGGACTAGAGTACAATCAACAAGTACCCATGGCACTGGTTGTACGCTGAGTGCTGCATTGGTCTCTCAACTTGCGAGGGGTATACCGCGTTTGTCACCCTCGTCATCCTTCTTTGACTGTTCTTTGACTTATCCTAACAATTCATACAGTGGGTGAAGCTGTAAGGCTTGCGGCTGCTTACACCCATATTGGAATTGAGACCGCTATTCCGATCGGGAGTGGCTTTGGCCCTCTGAACCACATTCATTCAATTACTCCGCAACTTGTCTCGCCGTACGTGACTATCATAAATACATGTCAACGCATTAATTGCTTTGAATGTAGGCGAACCAAGACGAACCCATACCCACTCACGAGTTCCCTTATACGGAGTTCAAGGGTAATTTGGAAAGAGTATATCAGACACGAGTTCGTGGTATTGCTGGGAAAGGGTACCCTTCCAAAGGAAAACTTCATCCACTTCATCGAGTGAGGAGTTTGTTGACAAATAAGAGAGCACGTTCTGATTGCCTCAAAAAGACAAGATTATCTTTATCTCAAATATTATGCTCGGGCGTATGCGTAAGTAGTTGGACCATCCCGCTTCCGTAGTTAACGTCTCTCTTCCAGACTCCTTGCAGCCAAGTCACATGCCTATGCACCCATATCGGCGGCTATCGATGTGGTTTTTAGCATAGTTCAAGAGAGCTCGATGCACATGGGGTATTGTGCTGAGTGGGGTATCACAGAGGACGAACTGATCAACACCTCTGAGTCTCCCTCCCTGACAGCTTATGGGGCTTTCCTCATTGATACCGGAATGCAGGGTACGGCGGTTTATTTTGTTGATGTTTACTTGCTGAAGGTATGGCTGTCAGGTGATCCTATGAAACTCGTCGTCGCTCTTGCCGCCTGCCTGCTTGGTTACGGAGAAGTTGGCTTGTGGCTCAAGGAAGAGGCTCGAGCGCCCGACTCGTGGGTTCAATGGGAGGGGAATCCATACCTCAAGTGGATGGAGGACTATTCAGGTGACGTCTATCAAAAGGCAGTGAAAGCTGGACTAGGTGAGGATGCAACGAAAATTCTTGTTGTACACGACTCCATGTAGCTTCACAGAGACGCTTGAAAGTCGTGCAGAAGCGGACGCACCTTCACTTATCAGGTTTGCGGATTGGCAAAACGTTTGGGAGCGGTGTACGCGGTTGGAGAAGGGTTTCTGGGACATGGCGATGAATCTTGAAGTTTGAGCAACCATGCCGTTGAATGCCCCCAATGGCTATGTTACCAGTCCCATTTATGTTTCTTCGAACTATCCTGAGCATATTTAACTGGTAAAGCACATAAATTTAAACTGTAACGGAAAACTCTCAAGTTAATGTACAACAGACACATCTTTGTGGAACAAATCGAAGACCCTACATACTGTACAAAACCATGTATCACTTCTTCAGTTATACAACAGCAAGCAGTGCAGTATTCTGAACATGTCGTTGTGTCAGCTCTATGTCCTTCGAGGACTCAGATTCCACATTGGTCCTTGAGTCTGTAGTGGAGTTGGTGTCTCTGAAACGAGATTGTTCCATATTTATGAGCAGGTGGTTGGCAGCTATTGGAGGTATCACAATTGTCCAGCTTGCTCCTAGTTGGAAGAACTCAGGTGGTGCGAGATGAAACACAAAGGTGATGGCCAAGTAATTAAAGAAGTTGCTAGGCACGAGATTATTTTCAGCATGTGAATATGGATACCCCAATGCTCACCATGCAAAGTAAACAAAAGAGTCTCGTGCCAGAGTCTTCATTAATCGAGCACCAGACCAATTTTTATTAGGAACATGGATGTAATGTTGCATAGATTTGAAGCCAGCAAGTACCATGATCACGAAGTCGAAGGCCATGATTGGAGTCCTTTGTTGCCACATGAGAAATTTTGACGATGAAAAGTATCCCACACTCACCAGAACGGAATGAACCAGCTTGGAATTATTTCTTCACATACACCAAAGAGCACAAACTCATTTTCTAGGTGAAGTTGTTAGTTCAAGCTAAGTGCATCGAGACAGCCCATTGTCACCTTGAGAGTATACACTCATTGCAATAGCTATTCCCACTGTACTGCATACATATATGATAAATAATACTACCATGGGAATCACAATCACTCGTTCTGTGAAATCAAGTCAGCTTTCTGAAACAGCTTTCTGGACATGACCTTCATACTGTAGTCATAGAGAGCAAACAGCCTTCGAAGAAGGATAACTATCAAAAAAAGTTTTAGTTTTGGAATTGGAAAAAGGAGATCACTCACTCTCGATGTTCAAAACAAGAAAAAGTCCTATATTTTTGATGACTAAGTATACTGATGGCAGTACTAGTGACTTGGCATCTTACTCACCAATGATGTCGAAGTTCGTGAATGCATGACCTAGTAACAAATAAGGGTTACTGGTGAACAAACATGCTAGCAGGGAAACATCTACATCTAGTAGTTGTGAATAAGATTGATGGCTAATACAACAACATGAAGGACTTACATGGCATTAACAGGATTTGTGTGGACATCAACTACAAAGAAGTAAGTTGATGCTAGTACAAACGAAGACATCAGAAAACTGACAGAAGGTCGAGGCAATGATTACAGCAAGTCCAAAATATCGATTCTGAAAAATAAGCATTTCATATCAGGGAGGCTACAGGTTGAATTGAACCACATACAATGAAAAACAAAATCCTGGATGTTGTCCACTTTGTTCCCTAACATAAAATGACTGCTATGATTCGAAGTTGGGTAGAATTGACTTGAGCCTACCCATAGAATATTGACCTAGCCAAAAAAAATGAGTTTTAGCTTTGTTTACATAAAAATAAATTCAGTACTTCGTCATGGAATGTTAGAACTTGATGAGATCATAAATTTCATGTACTGTTGAAAATTATGAAGTCTTTGCTCACCAAAGTCCCAAATGTACAGCACAGCAGCTGAAACTGAACAAATAGAGGTAAACACAAGATCCTCCAGACTTGAACTTATGGCTCTTACCTCCAAGTCGACGAACAATGGTGTCATACACCTCATATTGTTCAAGCTGCTGGAATTCTGCAGCAATACTCGAAGCATTCATGATAAGTGCTGTGGGAGTGAGTTTGTACATCTTGTTGAATGTGCTACTCTCTTTATATCTTGACTCAGAGGGGGTCTAACTTGACGACACCCGGAGATTATTTGCCAGAATGCAGTGCAAACACTTGAAACAGATGCGAACAACAACTATGCTGTATGATAAGCATAAAATCCTTCAGCCTCAATTCTTTAAAATTGACTGAAGTTGAGGGAAGCAATTTCTATTCTGAATGTTGTCCAAGTGACCCTTCGTGATAAAATCATGAAAGCTGTGTTCTTTGATCATGGAACCTCCAGTTAGACCAGTTCAGAATTAGGTTGATCAGTCCTTTCATCAACATCAATGATCATGTGGGGCAGTAACAGCCCACTGGCACCCGATGTTTGTTTATTTCATGTTTGTTGTACATAACCCTAGTATCGTGTAGGGGGTCTTACTCAAATATCTAGTACCCATGGTACATCAGTCAAGCGTTATCAATGAAACCTGTGTTCTCCAATCACACAGCCGGTGCAAAATCAAGATGGTCAATTCAACACGTGGAGGCATAGCGGTGACAGGCGCGCGGCGCGGCGCGAGCAGCCAAGGCATCTGATGCCTTCGACCAAATGTACAGCTATGCTATACATAAACAACGCCATTGAGAAGAGGTGTCACGAGCCATCCGACCAAACTACCTATGATCAAGAGGCTCTGAGCCAAAACATATACATCGAAAGAAGTAGGAAGCATGGATATACCTATTAGCGTTTCGCAAAGCATCGAACATCTAGATTCTGAAGTGAACAGGACATCAAGCGTCGCAGCTTCACGATATGTCAATATCCAAATCCACTGGAGTCGGTGCGTCAGTCTCTGCATCGACAGCAGCTTCGAGATCTGCATCCGGAAGATCTTTATCTTTTTCTGCCGGTTTGGCGCGGGCGCGGGCTCGGGGTTTCGCTGTTCTCCTTGGCTTCGTAGTGCGAGAGGTTGCCGCGACCGGTATTTCTTCTATCTCCTCCCCGTCCTCTTTTGCATTGGCACTCGGTCTCCCTCTTGCCTTTCCCCGTGCCCGCTTTCCTGACGCACGGGGCTTTCTTGAGCTGACGGTTCTCTTCACAGATACAGGGCCCTCGTCCTGGTCCACATCGTTGTCACCTTCAAAAAACTCATTGCGCGCCATTGTTCGGTCGCTTCTTCGCTCTCCTGCGAACGCAGTTCCCCGCTCTTCATCGATCTCCTCCTGTTTACGTTCTTCATCGGCAAGCCAACCCTCCAAGTCAGGCGGTATTTCTTGCATGGCGACACTTGGTGCACCTTGCAAATACCGCAGCTTGTTCCGAATGCTAATGGTTATTCGTTGCAATGATGTTGGAGAGTTTTGGTTCTCGACGCGTCCTGTGAGGGGAGGATGAAGCTTCCACTGCGAGTCGCGGAAGAATGGATCGTAAACTGTAGCTGGAAGCTCATCAGGTATTGTCGCCCCGACCAGAACGGCGGTTTCATATGTCCAACAGCGGCTGACATTTTTGATTGTGTAGCCTCCTCCTCCTAATACAAGCAGCGGTACATTGAACTTCCTAACAAAGTTCACACATTCACCATGGGCTGCTATGGATAGATTAAATGCCCCGAGTCGGTCGCATCCTAACGAGTCTGCACCGCACTGCAAGACAATAGATGTCGGGCGGAAAGCCGTGACGGTGTCTTCAATGACAGTTTTGAATATCGTCAAGTACATATCATCATCGATCCCATCTTGTAAAGGCACATTCAGGCAAAAGTGCTTGCCCAAGCTTGCACCGTTATCGTCAAGTTTACCCGTCCCAGGGAAGAAATCGCCGGTGTATTTGTGGAAGGATACCGTCATAACACGATTCGAATGATAAAATGCGAGCTCTACGCCGTCCCCGTGATGGATGTCGATATCTATGTAGAGTACTCTGGGATGATATCTGTAGGACTCGAAGTCAGGTCTAGGTATCACCTAGTGAAACGACTGCTCACCTCAGAAGTTCAAGAATGGCCAGAACAATATCGTTGACGTAACAGAAACCACTTGCTTCTCCACGCTTGGCATGATGAAGCCCACCCGACCAATTGATTGCAGTATCACAAGTACCCGCCGTAAGCTTCCTTGCACCTGCGAGGGAAGCTCCAGCATACATACGACAAAAATCATACATTTCAGAAAATATTGGACAATCTTCGACACAATTGAACGTGTCAATAAGATGTCGCATTTCGTTCTGGTTATTTGGTGTCACGCTATATGATGTCATAAGGTGAGCCGTCAACGAGGTAGTGTAAATTCCGCACCGTGAAAGAAAGTCAATGTAGTCGTGATCATGATACATCTCTAACTCAGCTTGAGTAGCTGGACGAGGGTTATATATGTGATGTATTTGCTTGTCAAGACCATAACCCATAACCAGGGCGTTTGTCAAGGTCAGCCTATGTGGTTTCATCGGATGGCGTTCCTAGCAGTGCTGGGTAAGAGTAAAGCCTAGTGATGAATATGAGATGACACATACCCCATAATGGTGTTCACCGACGCCTTTAGGGAAAAAATATGAGACTATGGGACGAGAATGTGGCTTTTATTCATCTCTAGGAAAAACAGCTCATTAATAGAGGAGGTAACTTACATTGACATGTTCAGTTATCGGCTGAGCAGTACCGTGCGGCCCCCGATCGTCGAAGTAGGCAGAAGATGAGAAGGTAGTCGCCTGTGAGGCACGAACCATGAATGTCTGGTGATCTGGCTGCACCACGTTTAGTATTAGAAACGTTATCTGCGAAAAGATAAGATTGCGGTAGCCCGTGTGCTCTGTGCGCTTGCTGCGTACGAAGATCCTTCGGAGAGCTCGATGGGGCAATTGAGTTATTGAAGTTCTGGTCCAAGTCAAGATTGAGCTTGAGGGAGGCTTATTATGTAATGCTAAGACCGCCCGTGTTCAATTGATGCTAGTGTTCTTGTCATTATGTTGCTCGCGTATCGCTGGGTATTGGCAACCCTTCCATTTCTCGTTTTTGTCGTTGCTTCCTCCGGCGACAGATCATCAAACTTTCAGAACTGTGTCTCTGCATGTTATGGAGACTATTGCCATCCTCAGACGACGCTTTCACTTGGCCTCAGACTGACGCGTTGGACGTGTACAGACGACTGCAAGTACCAGTGCATGCATATGCTCACAGATATCGCAATCCGTGGAAGTTCGAAGATACATCAATATTACGGAAAGTGGCCCTTTTGGCGGCTCTTCGGAATGCAAGAGCCAGCCTCTGTCGCGTTCTCACTGTGGAATATGTACTATCATATCCAAGGATGGCGCCAGCTTCGCAGCAAAATACCAAGTGACCACCCAATGCGATCTTACTACTTAACATGCGCCATAGTGAGCGTTAACGCCTGGCTCTGGTCCGCAGTGTTCCACACAAGAGGTCTGCCCTCAAATTATGCGTGATCACGTTCTCCTACTTATCGATTCCTTGAAGATTTGCCAAACACAGAAAAATTGGATTACTTCTCTGCTGCTCTCGTCATCTTATATTCCCTGTATCACACGGTTTTACGGCTCTTCAATCAATACCCCACCCGTTCGCGTGAGGATGGCCATATCCAGCGCACGCCCGTACACGTTCTATGGTCGTCCATTTGCACTGTAGCTTACCTTGCCCATGTCACCTATCTCAGCATTCTACCACGGTTTGACTACAGCTATAATATGGCATTTAACCTCACTGTTGGCTTCACGCATAATTTGCTGTGGCTGCTATATTCCCTTCCCGTATCGTTACCCCTCATTCGACGCTTTCCTTTCAAATCAAAAACGTACCGACCATCATACGCATCTGAGGTAGCAGTCTTTGTTGCTCTTATGACGGCTGCAACTGCTCTAGAGCTCTTCGACTTCCCTCCCTGGGGTCGCATCATCGATGCTCATGCCTTGTGGCACCTCAGTACTGCCCCTATCGCAAAGTTCTGGTATGACTTCCTGATCAAAGATTCGTTGGATGATGGATGGAGGGAACCAAAGAGGTGAAGACATATCTAGTTTTATCAACTACTGTGTACTAATGGTGTGGAATCCAGATAAATTGTTCAGACGTCTAAAGCTCCTGCTCTAACCTGCTCAAAGACTGCATTTTCTCCGTTTCTGTTCAAGCACGAGTAGAGAAACTGCAACATCGTTAGCGTCTTCACTTACTCGCTTCAGCATACCGCACCTATAACTGTATCCAAGGAATCCACCACAGATGACTCGATCTCCAAAAATGCCTGTTGCGATACCATGGTCACCATGAAGTGACGTCCTGTGGGGATAGAATGTTGCTATAGGGGTCGGACTTTGGGCTCCACTCTCATCAAGACTGCGAAGCTGTCACTTGTCAGCCCCACCGTATAAATATTGTTGTACTATTTCCTAACCTCGAAATTGGAACCTGCTACAGCCCAGGAGAAATAGTTTCCCTCGCCGTCATCAAATTCCCATCGACTACACAATGCGGTAAAGTTGGCGATTGTTCAGCATCACAAAGATGAATATACCTCTGTCGGCCTTGTTCCTCAATTTTCCGCAACCACAACTCCTCATTTACGAACTCTCCGTTGTACATGCTGACTGCGACGGGTTTGCTAGACTGGCTTCGGACGCTACCGACAGTGTCGTATCGATTTGCGTGAGTGTCCAGTCGGCGCACTGTCGTCTGATGCGACTCCCACTTAGGAGTTAACACCTCATAGTAGAGTGCGTCAGTCGGGTTGGAAATGACAAGATTCCGCACGCTAGCAGTAGTAAACGTGAGTTTTTGGGTCATCGTTGGCATGAGACGTTGGCTCGGGACGAGATGCATGCACTTCATGCATTCCCTGTTTAAATACCTGAGTGATCAAACTCACACTCGATGCTTATCTTCACACAGTTTGTTTCGACTTAGACTCGCTTTCCGAATAGTCATGTGAACGCCGGGGATCCAATTAATTCAGAACAATGAGAATGAGAAAAGGCTGACGATTTGTGCAATCCCCCGCTCCATTTGACTAGTGTTAGAAGATGTTAAATCGTGGGTAGCTAGGGAGCTTCTGCCAGAACAAACCTCAATCATCGGAGTCCCGAGGATCGCAGTCGCGCACGGAGGAGTCAGGAACTAGGCATGTAGTGTGGCGTTTCTAGGATGTAATATGTACCGACACGAGAGGATCCGGAGCAAGGAAACAAACTAAATGATGATATCAAGACCCCTGCCTTCCGCCCATTCACCGAAGAGTAGGCTGATGCTTTCACCGTTATGTGTGCGACGTATGCTTTCAGCGATGGTAGAACTAATGTCCAGCGCTATTAACTTCGAAAATTGTTCCTTATGCTCGTTTTGCGGAACGGTATTTGTGACCTACATGACACATTAGCGGCACAACGAAAGTCATGAACGACTTACCACAAGCTGCTCTATAGGAAGACTGTTCAAAGAAGCCATGTGAGCTTCTGCGAAGAGTCCTTCAGGGATCATGCATCAGGCGATTGGCAATTACATCTTGCATGACACGCACCGTGCGAAATAAGAACGTAAATAGTTTTGGCGCCTTTCTCATGCAGCGTCCGAGCCGCCAGTGTGAGCGTGTGACCAGTATCTATCATGTCATCCACCAAAATAGCCACCTAGGGTGATCATCAATAAAGTTTCGAATAGACTATAAGAAGCAGGTGATTCCTTATCTCGAACATCTCCTACCAGAAGCTCCATGCGCTCCGGAGCATTTTGAGATTTCCCATCACGTTTCCGGTGTATAAGGGCGAACTCAATGCCAAGTTTATCTGCCATTGCAGTGACCCTGATCATAGCCAAGCAGTGAAACTGGCGTCAATCCCCAAAAACAAAACGACACGGACCTCTTGGCTCCACCGGCATCCGGACTGACAACAATACTATTTTGCCACCCATCGATGTGCCTCTTGATATACGATACCATCAAAGGCTCCGAGAAAAGATTGTCTACTGGAATGTCGAAAAATCCTTGTATTTGACTGGCGTGCAGATCCATGGTGATGACATGATCACATCCCGCACCAACAAGCATGTTTGCGACTAGTTTTGCTGTTATTGGTGCTCTTGACTCATCCTTTTTGTCCATGCGGGCATATGGGAAACACGGAATCACAGCCGTAATACGCCGCGCGGAAGCTGTTTTGCATGCGGATATGAGGATCAAGAGTTCCATCAAGTTGTCGTTCACATCGCTACACCCTGACTGGATGATGAAGACGTCCTCCTCGCGGACGGATTCGGAGATCTTGACGTTTATCTCGCCGTTGGAGAATTTTTTGGGCATGCATGGCGTGAGGGGCACTCCGAGCCTATGTGAGTGAATCACTAGTCCGTGGGCTGTTTTGCTGCATCATGTAAAGCGGCAGCTCACCGCTCGGCCACAGCATGGGCGAGCTCTGGGTGACTATTGCCTGAAGAATCTAGATCAGCGAAAGAAAAGCACTGGTGCTAAATGAACATACCCGCAAGAAGTCTGATAGAGTTTCCGTGATACATAATTTAGAAATTTGCTGGATGGTTTTATAACATAGAGCAGGATGAAGAATAAGAAAAGGGTGACTGTGGCAGTTGATTGACACAATAGCTTCCCTTGCCAAAAAATAATCGATGAAATCTTGTTTGCGCGGCACAAATAATCTACATCTACACTGCCACACTGCCACATCAAGCAGACACTCTAATGGTGATATTTTCTACAACGTATTCTGTGTCTGCATAGCCGATGAGTTGAACTATGCGGGCGCTGAAGACAACCGAATGAAAACACGTCGAAAAACAAAAGTAAAGAACCCACCTGTTTAGGCCCCTCACTCGGGATATCTGCGCAGAATTGTAATTTGCTAAACCCCGTCCCACTTCTTCACAATCCCAATTTTCGCATTCGTCCATCTTCTCGATCGATGGGATCTCATCGTCTGTAATAGTCTGAGAATCATAGATCATATCATCTGATAAAGATGCCGACGACCCAGAACGCGAGAGTGGAACAAGGGACGTGACTGAGGCGGTCACTGATGGCCCGGGTTCTAGGACTGGCGTGCATGGTGTCGTTGCAGCCACGTTGGAATATGACATTTGTGCAACTTCCTTGACTTCAACTGGAACTCCTTCGGTACGGCGGTGTACTAGTATGCGGACTGCTTGGCCAGAGGCAAATGAACCTCGAACTCCGAGCACCCCAGCTGGCAACAGGCGGCCACCAGATTCTCGACGAGACAACACGGCATGTGCTCCAGAGTCGATAATCACGCTACCTGCTGGATAAAGCGTATGGCTCGTCCATGCCTTTAAGTCCCGCATGGGAATCAAGGCAGGCTGAAAGACAGTATGCGGAGGCCTCGGCCAACTGAGAGATGCAGCGACTTCATCCAAGTCGACCTGATTAGCTTTTGTGGAGTGATCGGGCTAGCAGTACCTGAGGTGGGTATTGACGTGCTTTTCAGTGCTGTATAGTAGTCCATGATGTCGACGATCACTGAGGGCTGTTTGCTAGATGTGATAACAGTTGTAACGCCAGCGCCAGTTGCGATTTCAGCAGCAATCAGTTTCGTTTCCATTCCGCCGGTTCCAAGGCTAGATCCTAGCGTCGATGTGCTGACTGGAGGAATGGGCTCAGCTTCTGCCAAATCGTTACTGTATCTCTGGATCCGTACCTTGTGCTCGGATAGCAGCAACAGAGATGACTACATCAAGCTTTTTTGCGGAGGGATCTTTTCGTGGGTTGGATGTATACAGACCATCGACGTCTGTAAGCAGGAAAAGGTAATCGGCATGAATCATAGAGCTTGTAATAGCAGACAACGTGTCATTGTCGCCGAATTTTATTTCCTACAGGTAGTTAGCCCGCCCGTGTCGCACTCATCATATATGTAGTAGACACTTACGCTAACAGATATGGTGTCGTTTTCGTTCACGATGGGCACTACACCCATCGACAAAAGTTCATTTAGTGTGTTGACAGCGTTCAAATATCGTGTGCGCTAGGATGTTTTCAGTGCCTGAACAGGGCGTCTGAGGAAAGCATCTTACATCAGATATATCTCCTCTTGTTAGCAGAACCTGCGCAGTTCGCTGATCAAACTGCCCGAAAAGATTGTCCCATAGTGCAATGAGACGACCTTGTCCTATCGCTGCTAAAGCCTTCCGTTAATCAGTCATAATCTTACAAGATACAGAAAGAAGACATACCTGCTTTTTGGACAGACTTTTCGGTCTCTGTGGGATATCCATCGTCCTCAATCCCACTCCAATAGCCCCAGAGCTGACAAGCACCACTTTGTGTCCATGGCTGCGTAGACTGATAACAGTCTCAACAACCGCAGAAAGTATGGACAAGAGGGGCTGGTGCGTTTCTTCATGGACGATGGACGATGTTCCTATAGGGTTTCACAGATTACACATCTGCGGGTGGTGTGGCGGGGATAGTGACTACTAATACTCGCCAAGCTTGATAACGATCGTGCTAGGAGGCCCGCGTTTGACTAGCCGTGACATTTTGTACAGGTCGAGGCGGTAGATGTGGTCGCGTCAAGAAGATGATGGGTAAGTTTACGAGTGACTTTCTACGACGCTGACTCGGGCAGTATGAGTCACGATGAAATGACGTGAAGTCTTCTAATAGTCAGGTGTCAGCAAATTACTTACACACTAGCAGCGGTAGTAGGCTACTAGTAGGTGACATTAAATTATCGAACTTATGGAACGGCAGCACCAAATGTATGTTCATTCGCAGAACATACAAACATCGTAACTAAATATGCATAAAACATCACCACAACTCCTCCAATCGCTCAGATGCCTCAAATGATTAATTCATGGGAGCCCTGGCAGCTTCCTTCTCGCCCTTCAGGATGCGTTCGAGGTTGGCACCGATGCGGCGGCGCTGATCAAGGGTAAACTCGGGTTCTAGTGCAGAGTAGCCTAGTTCTGTGGGTTCAATCAGTATGATTGTAAGAATGTGTTTGTGAAAATAAACTCACTCAGACTCGGATATTGTATAGGTAACTCTTCAGTCTTCACCGGGAGGGCAGATAGATCGAGAGGGAATGGAGGGCCAATCCACGCATTCCGGAGCTCATGGTCTCTGGGAGGCCACTGTCAGCTGTGTGTTATACCGGCGATAATCTGTACTCACTTTCTCTGCAAAGGTGTCCACGCATCGGTCAGTCAGTCAAACACTCGATAAGCAAATGAATTACCGCTTCACGGGTCAGCGGGTGTACGAGTATGCTTTGGTTGCAATAAGGTGGTGAGTAGACGTGACTGAGGAGAAATAAAGAAATACCTTAGACTACCCCTGTTCATGCAAAGGAACGAAAATACAGAGGAAAACGAGGTCGCAGGTACCCAGATCTCGTATGAACCTGGGACCAACTTGGAAATGATTTCTTTCCAGGCAGGAAGGGTATGATAGATACTTACCGATAGGATGAGGGCCGATGGGGTCGGTGTTCACACGAAATAACGGCACGGCGACGAACGCCCCATCACGCCTTAGACGCAGGACAGCATCACGTAAATCCAACGCAGCCTGGTGCTGATCAGCGTTGCGCTGATGGAAGTAGATATCTGCACACATTCTTCAGCGACCAAGAGATTGTTACCCATACTCTCAACTCACGGAAGTGCCATTCTCTGTCATACGTAGCGCGAACGAGCCATGAAAAGAGTCAATGATCAGTACTCAGTAGTGAACTCGGGGCACTTACTTGACTTCAGAGTTAACCACTTCTTCAAGGTCGGTTGGTGGATGGTAGTCTGACATTGTAACCCACCGTGGAAAAGAAGTGTGGCTCCGCAACTGGTCATAGCTGCCAGTGCTAAGGATGATATATATAGTATGCAAGTGTCGACTGCTACGCCAGCAGGCTCCAGGGATGTGGGGCCCAATACGCCTATGTCACATGGGCCAAGATGATACGAGTTCGGTGGAAGACATGTGGGGTAGATGCAATGTTCGTATTCTGTCGGCTGCATTCTCCCAATCGGACAACAGCATTAAATGTATTCGGGCTTCGGAAGAACAAGTTTCTTGCAATTGGTCGCAGCAAACGATAAATGAGTGTCAACATGTGATTACGTACTCAGAACCAGAACAAGACTACCGGTAACTGAACTAGACACCATGACACAAATAGCATTGGAACAACCTTATAATTAAGTTTGTTTTCAACTTCTCCACAACGAATATTGGCCGGTGTTCAAAATGGGTCCAGGTATCCAGGAAAAAGATATCTCCATTGCTTTGCCTGATGACACAGCTTCCGTTGAGGACGGCCATGCGATGCTCACGCTAGCGCTATAATCGGCTCGGCAATGACTGACTCTCCAGGACCGCTCTGGATTTCAGAACAGACCCTTCTGCGCATGGCGTGGAAAATCATAGAGATACACTCTTAACTTAAGTTCGTCAATGAAGAACAAGGTAGTGCCACATATCGTGTACAACCGTACCACTTGTGAATGCAATTTCACTCAAAATCATGTACGACGACCGGAGGTGAGGGTTTGCATAGTATGTATTCAATGGATCGTTTATCTAACGACAAATTTGATGAAAGATGAATCGCCGCGGCAGAACGAAAGATGGTGGCAGGGTCGACTGCAGTTTGAGGCTCGGCGATCTTGGGAACAGCATTCGAAGAATCATGCATGGCCAGGCAGTCTCCGTTGATCCTACAAGTACGGTACCCTTGCCGGAGCCGTCCAGGCTCTTGGTGATGTATATTCTATATTTATGCTCATGCGAACGCCTTCTTACTACCTATTGCTTTTGTCACTAACCATCTCATCTAGCCCCACCTCCGAGATGCGTCGCTTTGCAGCTTCTACAATTTGGGGATCCGAGCTTCACTTTGCTGCGTCGTATTTGCTCTCACTGATATAAGAATCGCAGCTCACCTCAGCTCACTTTGCACAGGTCGCGTCACTATCGGGGCTTCCGCGCGGAAAAACCATCTCCTTGCAATCAAGCATATATTTTTTCCTCGTTCTTACCACTTACACAACTGCACAAGAACGCCCGCAAAGTGACCCACTCAAACAAAACTATTTATTTTGAACTGACCCAGAAAGAAGATGGCTACCATGCACTAGCTGTCATAAAATAACGGATGAGGGGCATGCCATGAAGATCGAATGACGAGGGTAGGAGAAGGATGTGAGCGAGCGGACTACTTCTAGCGCACAAACCACGTTACCGTCATGTCTATATATTTCCATGATCAAATCAAATCTAGACTCATCGTTTCGAACCAGTTCTACCTGTGCATTAGTGAGATGTAAGGATGGAATACGAGGCTATGTAGAGGTATGGATCATCTGTCATAATCCATCTGTTGAAGGTGTGCCCATCATATATTAGTATACCTAATACAGTGATTTCGTTATAGAAAAATCAGGCGAGTTGTACCCGGGCAACTTGATCAAGTCATGGTAGGCTGGAGTAAAACACAATTGGTGTTTAGTTATTCCTTCGATGCATTAAATGAACTTCAGATATATGCCGCCACACAGAGGAGCGGCGCATGACATTCATTAAACGATCACCTCGCCTATGATAGTCGCAGTGTTCCCATTGGCATTGGATCATCGCACCTGGGAATTCAGGAAGATGGTCGTCGTACCAATGCTGTTTTAAATCCTCCAAGGTTCCGTCATACCCGCAGGGTGCGTTGTTATGTAACCACCGGCAGAGGAGGAGAGATGGCTGGTTGATTGGCAGTTCCGACTGGGCCGAACTTGGAGGGAGCCGAAACCCGGAGTGCACGCCTTCTAAATCATGAACACATGTCACGCTTTGTGAGGGGCCAAGTGAGACAGAGGTCCTGAGATTGTTTGGTGTCCGCGAGACAGCGCTACTCGTGTTGTCAGATTCACGTAAGGTAGATACTCGGGAGCGTACTTACTTGGAATTTGTCGTCATATGAACGACAGAATGTATATCCGAGGCGGTCATCCCCCATTGCGAGGGCTCGGACAAAGTATGGCCAATCGGTCCCGGCCTGTGCATGAGTGTGACTCTGTATACGAGCAAATAAGTGTGACGAAGGGCATACATTTGCAATGCTTGTGGAGACGAGTAGTCACTTCCAATTGCTGGATGATTAGGGGCCCCAGACCTGGCACCTCCTAGTTCGTGGAGATATGGCACAAATTGCGACTCGCCAGGCCAGCCAAGTGAGGCAGCGGCCCCGAGATTGTTTGGTGCCCACGAGGCAGCACTACTTGTGTTGTTAGACTTATGTGAGGAAGAAAAAGAGTGCAATTACTTGGGATTTTCCATCATAGGGACAACGGAGTGCGTATTCGAGGTGGTCATATTGCATTGTGAGGACATGGGCAAAGTGTGGCCGATCGGCCCTGGTCTGTGTTTGAGTATGAGGGCGATTATGAGAGCATAAATGATGAAAGACATACATTGGGAATGAACGTGGAGATAAGTAGACCCTTCCCGTCGCTGGATGACTGGAGGTTCTGGACCTCCTAGATCGTGGGGGGTTGGTGAATTATACGGGGAACCACTGTGTAAAATAGCATTTCTGCTCGATGGACTATCTGACATCCATAGGAAAACACTGCTCGAGTTATATTTATGTCATGAAAATACTAGGGAGCATACTAACTTGGTATCTGCCATCATAGGGACGACGGCACGCATACTATCCGACATGGTTGCAATGCGTTGCGAGGACGCGGATGAACTGTGATCGTTTGGACCTAGCCTGTGTACAAGGCTCATCATGTGAAAAATAAATGGTGACGGAGGGCATACATTTGGGATGCACATTTGCTGCCTCCCATCGCCGGAGGACTAGAGCCGAAGCTGGCATCTGTATTGTGCTGGTTACTGTGAGGGGTTGGTGGATTGTGCGCAAAGCTATAATTGCCAAATGTTGTTGATCTTTGCGGCATTGAAGCAGACATTGTTCTAAGGGATGGAATGAGGTTCTCCCGTGTCTTTATACCATGCCCCGCCACAGCAAAAGAAAGGTGTCCAGCAAGTGTAAGAGTGTTATCATGAAGTGATTTTCCACGGCCTACAAAGAATGCTTAGAATGGGATATGGATCCATCTGATGTTTTTACCATACCGTTACTGCGGCATGGCGGACCAGAGATGCAGGGATGAACTTTACTTGCATGGTGGAAACAAGCGAGCTCCAAACAAGACTGCTGTTCAGTAGCTGGTGTTGCGTTGCATCGCAACTATGTACGGCCTGAATACAGTGACCAAAATACTTACACCTTGATTGACGATCATGACGGACTCGAAATCGATGGAATGACTCGAAATAGATTGGGCCATCAGGGGACTGGTGAGCCGCAGATATTGTCATATATGCCGTGTATATATGGTCATATATAGAAAAGGTTTTCGTTATATTGGAGTATAAAGTCGTATAAAGCCATGTATAACGTCGGAAAACCACCGCAATCAACGTAAACACCCTGGGGAGACTCACGAGTTCTCTGATGCCGGGGAATTGCGCCAATTTCAAGATGCGTCTTGAAGTTTCACGTCATGGCATTTTCCTGTGGATGGTTATACTAAGCCCTCGGTACATTCGGACAGTACCGGTATGCATGTGCAGGGTTAGTATGCAGGCCAAACTTTTGCCAGAGCAACTCTCGTGAACCAAGCCCTTTGGTACGTTCAAATGGGGATTGTTGCATGACCTAGAAATAACGGCAGATGCGCATCAGGGATCCCTGGAAAAAGCCGAAGAAGAAATTTGAGGAGCAAGCTTGCAGATCTCCGATCAACCGGTGCGTGCTTCGCAAATGCGGATAAGCGCAGAGAAGAGGAGAGGAATGCATTATGTGAAGCACACACGGGACCTGCCAAGTTTTACGTGTCTGAGTCAACGCCTGTCAATGCTCGCGACAAGCTCGTGATGCACCGATGCAGTCGCTTTCATTGACAAATCGCAGTCAAACAATAATATACTAGCACGTACTCTTTCCTAGTACTTATGCCTCCCTCAATTTGTGAACTTGAACCTCCTCGGGAATCCTGTGGCTCGGCGGGCAGACAAGACACATCACAGCAAAAAGCGGGTGTTAGAAGGACATAGGGAACTAATGGTAGGCAACCTCAAGGTTTGGTGGAGCCTGCCCATCTGGGGCCTCGAAACGTGGGAACATGTCGTGTGGGGGATCAAATCGCTGAGCGCGCAGGCTCTATAGACTATAGATCTAGGGTTTCAGGCGTGAGACTTTAAATTTTTAAAGCTTTCCCGACTCCAACAGTAGTGGAGGAGGGTTTTGTCTGCAACAAACGTGCCGTTCCGCCGGCTTCGGGTGCTTTTATGTGCACAATGCTATGAAGCGAATCATGATTACATAAGCTCAGCTGCTATAATTTATTCGTAGCCCTCGCTGCATCAAATGGTGTTTATTCGCCTCATGCAAACAAGTTATCGAGAAAAACCTCATGGGGGAAGGTGGGTCTAACCCTAGAGCGACTTACAAACTACGACATTCAAGGCCGCGGCTGAATCGGAGCCGGTTATAACTTGTCTCCGAGTTTTTACATACTGTCACGTCAGTATGTTCTATGTTTCCAGAATTCATTCGCTAAGGCAAAGTTTGCTTCTAATCAGTTCTGGAATATAATTTCCATATGTAGGTGACAGAATGGACAAGAAATAAAAAATAACTGATTTGAATTTGTTGGTAGGCGCCATGTATGGCATTTTCCCTCGAAGCACAGCCTGGACTCGACATGGAGCTGCTGGAGTCCGGATGCATTGCACATCGTCGGCGAGTCTGAAGACGGAACGGCGATCATCGTGGGACATCCTATCAGAACTAGCCACTCGCATGTATATGCAGTACGCTATTCATCTGATGGTGAAACACTTGTGACGAGCGGATACAACAACAGGATTACCTTTCGGGACGTCAGGACAAGAGGTGCTTCACTCTGTAGAAGCATACCATTTATTGCAGCAGGTCCATTGCATCGTACGGACCTCATATGATATAATTCTCTGGGCTGTATTGATGGAGTTGTACAGGTAGGAGCTAATACCCAAGGGCCCGTCTAGGCGAACGTACTGGTCCTATCTGTGCCATTGTCTTGTCTCAAGACGAGCTTTTATACTGGCTCTCTCGATATTTCGCAAGAAACAAGAGAGTGCTTGCCACTAGTGGTATCGACAAGAATGTGTATATCTGGGATCTTCAGGCGCTGTTTAGAGATATCAATGTAAGCCTCTAAATTTAAATATCCCCCAAGCGATCATTGACACACTCATGTTCACCAGGTTACGGACAGCGAGCTAGAACCGTTACTGTGAACGTCTACAGCTGGTCACTTGCTACTCAATGTACGTAACACATCGATGGTCCTCTCTTGTGCTAGAAAAGGGTCGGCAACAGACTAACGCAAGTATTCATTCCGTCGGAACACACGAAAGGGTCCACGGCACGGTAACACTAACATGTATGCCTTACTTCTCCATCCAATTTGACACCTTACGTCCAGCTTAGCCCGATAGCACGCATCAACTACCAGGGTCTTCTGATGCGATACCAGACATTAATATTTCTGTGCGTAGTAGCAATCATCTCTATTGGGCTATGTGTTTTGACATCTGTGTAGGGCGCATCGCCTCCGGTACAAGACCATAGCATGAGCGTTGCACAGCGCCGTGAAGTTCCTTATTCAGAACTGTTGGCCAAGTCGCTGAGAAGGTCTGTCTTATAGTTCACCTGATAATTTAGTCGAGTCGTGACACAGCTTACTACTAGGCGTCTAATCGTTTAAAATCATTTTTACGCACAAATGCCGCTGGAGTGGGGCACGGTACGTGAGAAAACTCTTCGTATGGCTGTCAAAGTTGTCTCCCTGGTGAACAGGACAGTGCCGTGCACCAGCCTGTTAGGGTGAAAGATAATGTTTCGTTTCGTTTTTGGCTACGTGTTGCTTGCATGTCCTCCGTCGGGGACGGTTGAATGTTTTTGCCTTGGTTTATCCTCTATCTCCATGCACTAGTAGATACTATTTTGTTCTTGTTTCTACTAAGTCTTTGTCGCGACGGGTTTGGGGTTGTATGGTCTAGACAACTCATTCACCTGTATGACTACATTGGATCCGGCACGGCACGTGGCTGCGTTTGAAATGATAACTTCGTAGCTCGCATATGAGGAGACGTGAACGATTTGCAATCAAATTAATGTCTCAGACCCTCAGCGATCTACATGGTTGCATGCCGTATGGTTTAAGTCACCTGCTGATAAGTCTTGCTATAATCCACGGTCTCCGTCGAAGTGTCACATCTCAGGACGGCTGTTAACGTTCAAACGTTCATCAACTGTTCAACCCCATGCATATTAGTTATTCATCCTATATAATTGTAAGTTTCTCTCGTGTCATAGTGTCCATCACCCAGAGATTAACTCTGACCCCTCAAGATCCCAAACTCCCAGAAGTAATCCCGGCACCCCAATTGACGTAAAATAAAGATTCGAGCGGACTTACAACACAATCTCCATCGTCCGCCTTCGCCTCGGGCATCGTCCAGCCCTTCTTGAGTCCAGTCCCCAACCAACAGTTTACCAATGATTTGGGCAATCGAGTGCGCCCACAGTATATCCACCCAAGGTGGGTGACGGTGTTGTAGCGGATGGCCTTGCCCAAATGGCATCATGTCTCCATGGCATAGCCTGCGATGCCACAAGATCAGGCAACGCTGATACAGACGCCCGTCGGGATAGGATCAGCTGTGCTGAAGACGTGGATGATGTGTTGTGTCGAGGGCTGTATTTCATCCGAGGGATCAGCATTTGAGAATGGTTGTGATGAAGAAGACTTAAACTGACTGGAGAAAGCAGATGCAAACGCATCGCAGCCGATTTATCGGAGGATGCTTCAAATGCGACGACAAGTGCTCCAAACGTTACACCGATGAGCAAGGCGAGGGTCACAATTTCGAAAATTGTTTTTTGTGCTCGTTTTGGGGAATGATATTTGTGACCTACGATGTACATTAGCAGCACAACGAGAGCCATGAACGACTTACCACAAGCTGCTCTATAAGAAGGCTGTTCGAAGAAGCCATATGGGCTTCTGCGAAGAGTCCTTCAGGGATCGTCATCAGGCAATTGACAATTCCATTCTACACGACACGCACCATGCGAAATAAGAACGTGAGTCGTTTTTGCGCCTTTCTCATGAAACGTCCGAGCAGCGAGTATGAGCATGTGGCTAGAATCTATCATATCATCCACCAAAATAACCAGGGTAATCGTCAATAAAGTCGCGGGCAGACTATAAGAAGCAGGTGACTCCTTACCTCGAACATCTCCTACCAGAAACTCCATGAGCTCCGAGGCATTTTGAGATTCCCATCACGTTTCCTGTGTATAAGGGCGAATTCAATGCTAAGTTTGTCTGCCATTGCAGTGATCCTATCCACAGCCGAGCAGTGAAACTGGCGTCAATCCCCAAAAAGAAAATGACACGGACCTCTTGACTCCACCGGCATCTGGACTGACGGCAATACCATTTTGCCACTCATCGATGTGCCTCCTAATGTACGATACCCGCGCTAACATGTTTGCCATCAGTGTTGTTATTGGTGCTCTAGGCTCATCCTTTTTGTCCATGTGGGCATATGGGAAACAGGGAATCACAGCCATGATGTGTCGGGTAAAAGCGGTTTTGCATGCGGATATAAGGATCAGGAATTTGATCAAGTTGCCGTTCACTCATCGCTATACCTTGTCGACCGGATGATGGTGATGTCTTAAGAGGTGTGCGTTCACTTGAATTTACATAAGCTACAAAACCTCAATGTACAGCCACTCTAATTTACAGCAGTTTGCATAATGGTAGAGGCCGGCGGTATTTCCAAAAAAAATGTGCATTTAATTTCAAAAAAGTAGTGCTACAAAGATCGATTTTTATCTCAACAACGAAGCAAGCTATTGACATGGTCCAAGCGACAAAACTGATCAGAAAAATCGAATGCAGACGACCAGCGAAAAAACTAAGCGATTCGGTGAAGTTGATGGTCACCTGCCCTCAGAGCCAGTAGAACTACAAAGATTGATTTTTATTTCAGTAACAAAGCAAGATAATGACAAGCGATAAGATACAAACCTGATCAGAAAAATGAGGCGCAGATGACTGCAGAAAGGATGGAATGATTTGGCGAAGTGGACAAAGTCTTGCCTCGTGTCTACTAGCATAAAACCAAATTCACATACATCTCACTTTTCCCGCCGGTTTGCTACATCATCTCACAGGATGGCAAAGGCTTCCACCTGAGTGCGCAAGGTCAAGGAACCCAGGAAATGTGGTCGTCCTCCGAAAAAGCAATTACAGCCCCCCAGTGGTACATGTAACACAGGTGGAAGATCCTCTGAGTCAGGAAGTCGTCTCAAAGACTAAACCTGTGCGATGAAGTATTTGCCAGATTGTGGACAATGATAGGTGTTTCCCGCGAGCCTTGCTAATCTCATCATGGAGCTCGTCTAGATACATATCACAGCTGCAGGACAAACAGCCATGCATGTACCTTTGTTATGTCAGAATTTGTGCAGAAAGAGATTGAATATGGACGCACCTCGATATCTTCCAAGTCCAAATCATACTGGCACTATTACCACTCTGGCTTTCTTTATACGGCTTCCCAGTCAACTTATAGCATTGCGCAATCTTTTCTATTGTCGATTTGCTTGCACCAGTGTATTTCGGATGTGTCGAGGAGCAGTAGCATTCAGATGATTATTTTGCATAGTTCTTGCGACAATTTGTGATTGGGTAAGGGAGACATCTGAAAGTGTTGTTGTAGACTGCTGGCTCTGAGAGCAGGTGACCATCAACTTCACCGAATCGCTTAGTTTTTTCGCTGGTCGTCTGCATTCAATTTTTCTGATCAGTTTTGTCGCTTGGACCATGTCAATAGCTTGCTTCGTTGTTGAGATAAAAATCGATCTTTGTAGCACTACTTTTTTGAAATTAAATGCACATTTTTTTTGGAAATACCGCCGGCTTCTACCATTATGCAAACTGCTGTAATGATGAATGGAGGAAGACTCTCAGGACATTACCTGATTTTAATTGTTGAACGGCTTCTTGACAGTTTAAACATTCATATATAGGGCACAAATATTGATCGATCATGGCGTTGACGATGTGCCAGCGCGGACGTTTGCAATGTGTTCAACCAGAAGCGGCTGCTCTTTGTTTGGTACCCTTTGGCACTTTTCCAGGCCAAGTCTCCGACCCACCATCCCCTAGGTTGCCAATGGCACAAGTGAGCTACTACAGTGTATGTCACTAAGGGACAGCAACTCTCCCCAGGCCGCAATTTTGATCCATATGTGCTTAGATTGAAATTTTGATAGGAAACTTAGACAAAAGGAGCGTAAATCTAAATTTCCGAAATTTCGCCTGATTACGTAATTGTTCACTTTTGCTGTCGAATGCCTCCTACCAAAAGACAGAAGCAAGTGAAGCAGCAGTATGCTTCATCATCGAGGTGCTTTGACAATGGGCTGATAGAAGATGTTTTTGAAGTCTTTCTGGACCCAGATTATGTGCCTGTCTCAGATGCCGAAAGTGAAGCAGACTCCGAGTCCGACTTTAATGGAGCATTGTCATTCAGTCTCATAGACAGCACGAGTCGGATGATGAAGCAGCTATGGAGATTGTGGTCGAGGCTGAAGAGACAGTGGATTATGCAGAGGGGTGTGCACAGAGGGCAGCAGTATCTGCTTTTCTTCCAAAGTTTCACTGTGAGCTGAATCCCATTGAAATGTACTGGGGATGGGTTAAAACTCGTGTGTGGCCGCATTGTCAGCGCTGACTCATTGTGATGTGACGAAATTCTCGCAGGTTTCCGCAGTGCGGCTGATGGAACATTCCTCACCGCGAAGCGCATTGTACCAGAGCTTCTTGATGCATGCCCCATCAAGACAATACGTGCCTTTTATCGAAAATCTTGGAGATATATGGATGCTTACAGGTGTGTAACTCAACCAGCTTCATAGTTCCTTCTCACAGTATCCCAGGAAAGGTCTTAATGCGCGTCAAGCTGAATTTGCCGTGAAGAAATACAAGTCGCATCATCGGTGCGGTCCTACATTGATGATGAACTTGGGTGTTCTCGTCGACTAATCGCGGAGTCGGCCGTCAGATGCCGCATACCCAAATAGGAAACTCCGACACGCTCCGCTCGAAATTCACTTTTGGCTAGCGAAAATTTTGAAACTTAAGTTTTTTGAAAAAGTATTCTGATAGACTTACTATACTACTCTAACATAGCACATTTGTTAGGTTTTTGAGACGAACGAGGTATTTCTGAAGGTGTAGATAGAATTACAAGTTTTGATGTCGGTAGTTGCCGCTTTTGAGTGACATACACTGTACTCCTTTGTGACTCCCGTTTATAGTTTTTGACCTGAATCTCTGTCCAAGGTAACAGCTCAGTTGGCGCGTCCCTTCTCATACATATATCTGCACGCAGTCCAACCACGCTTATAAATTTGCCTTGGAGGTGAGTATATGTGCACTGCTTCCACTCTTCGTATTGATTTTCTGCCTAGCCCTGCTCATTATGCAACTACAGTGACAACAAGGTGTTTTTGGTAGGAGCATGTTTTTATTCAATAAGTACTACTAGTACTGACAGGGCCGCCGGATATCCCCCTCTCAGATGTTGGCTTATGAGCTGAATCCTGATGGTGCTATGACCATGATCCATTCTCAGGTAACACGTAATTTGTCTTTTCTGTCACTTCACCGCCGCTAATGGTACCATGGCTATGTCCTGCTCTCAGAGTGCCTGATTTCGACCCTGACAGTGCTTGCTTGTCGTGTTCTAGCCACCGGCAGCCTACCACTTTGGACTCACCTTCAAGTGCTTCTCCGCATTTCTAAACTGAACTTTGTCTTGTTGGCGATGTTCACGCGCTTCTATTCCCATGTCAGGATTTTCACTGTCGTGTTCTCATTGTTACCTCCAGCTCACAACATTGCTTTCCATAATTTTCTCAGTGTTTTCTCATATTCTACTACTTCGATGGTGGTGAACCAGGTTCCAGTGTATTATAATATTTGTACTCTCTTGATGACATGCAATATAATTTATATCATCGCCTGGAACAAGTACATGCTCTGTCTGATATATGCCCTTCCACATGCTAGAGATTTATTACATATAGGATTGGTCAATAGCAAACTAATCACAGTAGCGAGCGTGTCAGACCATTGCCAATTGCCATTGATCGGAAAGCACTGCAAATCTGAAAATAGAGAGGAGACGACCTTCTGAATGCATCTATACAAATGTTATCTTTTTGACGGATATGAGTTGAAATATATGGGCGCTCTCACTAGCTCCTAGCGCTCAGCCTCGCAGCAATGGTATATAGGGGTGTACGATGTGATGCAGGTGATGGATTATGCATATGTAGTAGTGGTCCGGAATTTGATCCGAATGTGGATCTAGATAATCCCATGTTTTCAATAATTCCGCGAACATCAGCTACTTGCCGGATATCATATATCGTGATGCAGGTGCTGAACAAAGAGGTTTGTTACATATTAGTCAATAGCAATATACAGCAGCGAACGTGCCGGACCATTGCCGATTTGATATCAATAATTATATGTGCAAAAGTGCAGCTTGTTGACGCGGACGGGGGATGTTCACAAACGTTAACTGACGGACTTAAGATGTTTTGCCCAATGTGGTCTGATACACGTAGCCTCGGGGCATATACTAGGCCCTAGGGATCGTCTATCTATAGCCTGAGCTCCACCTAGTACCCACATCACATCCATTTCAACCCAAAACCCAGTCATGGTAAATATTTGCATACTTGTGCCATCACATCATGATGGCGTGATGTTGAAGCGGCGACTTGCCTAGTTTAGTACCACTAGTCCTTGCGTTCGATCAAATTTTTGCTGTAGCGTGTTGCGGTCCTTGTGCTCGATCAAACTTTTGCTGTAGTGTATTGCCTATTTGCATCACCTTCCTCCATATTCACCTCCTCCCGTTCACATCACTGGCATGAACCGCAAAGGAATCGTCACCTGCAGGTTGTTAACTATCTCCCTTGCATCGGGGTTAGTCAATTCAATAGCCCTCATCTAGTATCCGTCCAAGACTCCATTCTAATCGATGAACGGAGTGGATCACTACAGTGATATTAATACAATCTTTCACATGCATCCATCCGAGTCTGCTCTTTAGAAATCGACCATACTATGATTACATGGTAACTTCCAAAATCAAAACAACGTACTTGGTGAACTAGAGAAGCAATGATAGCGTTGCTTGCGTATCATGCAGTGGAAAAAACAACCGAGCTCCAGCCGACTCACGCGGCATACATGTACCACTCCTGGAGCAACCAAACGTGATTGCAGCTGCCTATTATTGTACAGGAAAAGGTAGCGAGGGAGGGAGGCCAAATTCGTACTGCAGGTTTTTACTACTCAAGAGACGGTCGGCGTGGTGTCTAGCAGAGTAGCACACCCTTATCCTAGTAAGCCCGGGAGACGTCGGGTGACTGCAAAGGATGTGGCCTACCTCGCGATGCTATGCTGGACGCTTCTAGCTTGGGCTTCGCTTCCAAGCAGTTTGCTATGCATCAGAATGATATGACCTGTATGTAATTGATCTGGCGTCTGAGGGTGCAGACGTACGTAGGTTATAGTTGGGGCTAGTGGGGAGATAGGAAGCTTCGGAGCCAAGATCTACCAGTGGTGGCTTTTAGCAGTGAGCACACATTTCCGCACCGAACCGACCGGAAATTTGGTGTCTTCATACAGACATGATGCTGTACCTGCAAGCTGATGCGACATCACCTTACATACCCCATACTTACTAGTACTTACATGGAATAAGACTTCGAGCATGTCAAGTATTGGCAACAAATGGGAGATTTGAGCGGGTCGGGTATTGTTGACATCGTTGACATACAATAACACTAAGGGTACCCAGCTTACCCCCAAATCTATCGTTTATCTGTACTCTGAATTTCCTTAGGACTCTAAACTGACAAATGGCTACAATCCAAATCCTGGCCATCACACTTGCACTCAAACTCGTTTACTTACCATGCCCTCGATATTCCCATCTTCGAGGACATCACCTGCGTCCGAAACTCACGGACCAAGTGAAGAAAACAGGCCATCCAAATGAGTTGCTGATATGTAGCGTACAGAACGTTACAGTTGCTTATTATGGATGGGTGTCTCTCTTGTGAAACGATAGGAGGTAGCGTGCGCCGTGGACAGCTTGTTTGTTTTACAAAAAACGAAAACACCTGTGGTACCAGTATGGGTTGTGGCAATGCCGTTATAACCAATCCCTGATGCGTCATCATGCGGCGATGCGGTGGATTTAACCAGCCTGCCATGCCAGGTAAGTGGTGCAGCCAAATTGCAGCCAGTCGTACCCAACCTTACCATGATCACTTGATTAGCCATCCGCCGCTACAATGTGTACACAGAACTGTTGCCATACGCCGCATCGGTATCTCTGTGACCCATGATGCATAATCCACTGAACTGTGCCAGTTCAATGAGAGACTTGAGGGTGCGTATGTTATCCTCTAGACGAGGATCATAGCCACCTGGAAGATGGTCAGTGACGGACTCACATAATGACGTTTACCCAACCAAACAGTTAGAACCAGCCTCGCGTTTGAAGGATATAGGAATCTGATGTGTCGATTGGTGAGATATAGGCTGCGACATTAATTCCAAAAGTGCAACTTGGTTACTTGCGCAGTAAATTTTGAGTTGACGAGAATAAGGTCAGCCTGTGCTGGGTCTCCGGTAAATGTGAATTCTGTGCAAGCGGTGGTACACATACTCAAAGTCACTTCCTCTAGCCAATCCGATAGACGTATACTGACATTCTGCCCCCGCCGGTCCTCTACATAGACACCGTTTGCAAGAAGTTTATCTGGAAAATGGCAGTGGAAAACGACGCGCTTCCCACGCAACATTCGGAGGAACGGTATGCAAGTAGAGAGTTGATCAACAGAGAAGACAACGTATTGATGCGCTGATGTGCACATGAGGTGCATTGTGAGATGTAGCTACCTTACATGTGCAAACATGATATGAAAATTCTTCTGTATAGACCGACGTAGCGGTGGAATTAGTACATGGTGGACACACAATCTTCCTGTAAAGGAAGCTGTATAATGGTCACGGTGAGCATCTACTAGTAGCAGCCAGCCTGTCGGCTCCTCCTATGTGTCAGAATGTGAGTTGAGTTCTATGTTCGAATTTTACACGACATGATACATACTGATTCCCAAGTCAGGGTGAATAACCGCTGCGCAGCTTTGGGTTCTTCGCCATCTTTCAATTTTGACGCGTAACGAGTGCTCTGTGTTGTTTTGCTCAAGGAATTGTCACCCATCGATAAAATGATCTTGTTTGCGTGACATAAATAATCTACCACGATGGTGCTGGTGATGTTTTCTACAACGTATTCTGTGTCTGCATAGCCGAGGAGTTGAACTATGTGGGCGCTGAAGACAGCCGAATGAAAACACGTCGGAAACCAAAAACTAAGAACCCACCTGTTTAGGCCCCTTACACGAGATATATCTGCGCAGAGTTCCAATTTGCTAGACCCCGACCCACTTCTTCACAATCCCAATTTTCGCATTCGTCCATCCATCTTCTCGATCAAAGGGATCTCATCGTCAGTAATAGTCTGAGAATCAAAAATCATATCATCTGATAGAGATGCCGACGACCAGAACGCGAGAGTGGAACAAGAGACATGACTGAGACCGTCACTGATGGCCAGTGCTAAGGATGATATATATATATAGTATGCAAGTGTCGACTGCCACGCCAGCAGGCTCCAGGGATGGTAGAATGTGGGGCCCAATACGCCTATGTCACACGGGCCAAGATGATACGAGTTTGGTGGAAGACATGTGGGGTAAATGCGTATTCTGTCGGCTGCATTCTCCCGATCGGAAGATAAAATGGTGGTCGCAGCAAAGTGTCAACATTTAATTACGTACTCGTGATCAGAAAGTAGACTACCGGTAAATACTCTTAACATCCTGTTTATTTCTAAGTCTGCGCTAAGATAGGAACTCTGGCCATCATCTTTACACAGGAGTTATATTTCGCAACTGCAGTAAGACGTCGCTGATCTTTGGACGTAAACTTGGCTTTTGATCCCAGCACTCCTCAATTAAGCTCCAATACCGGGTATCATTAATAGCGCCAGGCCTAGAAGGTCTTTCGCCTTTCCTTACACGAAGCATGATGTTGGTTTCGGCGATGCGCCCCGTCACGTTCCACAAGTGGGATCCGGTAAAAATCTGAGGAAAATGAGAACCAAAGAAAGACTAACGGCGGGTCTCGTACCAGATACATTAGGCATGCGAAAGAGTACACGTCGCTTGGTAGGCTTGGATCTTGTCCCCTACTATCATGGGAGTCAGAGAACAGCTCTGGGGCTGCCCAGGCTACTGCTCCTATCTTCGCATCGGTGTATGTGACCGACAAATTGGTAAAGCCGCCCAATATAATGGAGAGGCCAAAATCTGTCGGTACGGCCCTTTCGTCATCGTCGATCCGGGCTTAGGCGGCATCTGGGACTGAGGGCATGTGGTATCCCTTGGGGAAAGTCTCACTGACTGGCGGAAGCCAGAAATACAAGCACTATGTCGCTCAGTAATGAGTACGTTGTCCTGCAAGGAAGATTAAGTATATGCCAGTGTTCCCAAACCACGATGATGAAAATCCTACGCTCTCTAGGTTTCCGCGAACTACCCAGTTTAGATGAACTTTGCACCTGGCCGCTCGCTTCAGTTGTTTCATTACTTAAAAGACGACTTACGATATTCAAGGCCAGAGGAAATGTCGTGCAACTGAGAAAAGGAGTTTTAAAGTACGACTCCACCATTTGAAAACAACTCACAAGAGTCGCCTTGGCAGCTGTTTCAAGGACTGCTTTATGAGTACGAATGAACGACGTGACAGTGCCGTCTGGCATCCACGGTATGACCAGGGAATGGAACGGTTTGTCCTTCTTGAAGCCCAGGAATGGAACTATGTTGACGTGATGAAGAAGGTTTGATGACAGCAACTGTAATTCCGGATGAATTTTCTTGATGATAAGAGCAATCGCATTGAGTCTCTAAGCCATATGCCAGTAGTGAGTACACTGACTTCCGAGTGATTCTCGCGCGGATAGCCGGACATGGACTTGTACAACTTGACTGCTACCTGAAGCACACAAATAAACAAAATGTTGCACGAGACGAACCTAACCTACTAGTTTCCCGCTATCTCTGAGATTGCATTGGTTCACCTCAGTATATGGCCCAGAAACACATGATCCTTTGAGGGATGATATTCGACTTGTAAGATCATAAGTCTCGGGACTAAAAGCATTCGCAATTAGCGAATTCTTTGCAGGATAAAAGATGGACGCTAGGGGCGCCCAAGATTTGGGCGAACATAGTGGTATTCCTACAAATTAGATGATAAGCTAGTGATTTGTCTAATGGTACTCTGATCAGAGTTACTTACATTCTCTGGCGTGCGGATGAGTGAGTATTAAATCCTGGAAGATAGAACTATCTGATACAACGCAAAGAACACGAAGGAATGTGGAAGATGACGAAAGACTTATCCCACATCCATAGGCGCACGCGCTTCTGAGTCACACGCACTCCTGAGTGGCATGTTCTGGAAGGGCTGTATTAGAACTTTCATCTGAAACTAACCAAACGAGTAAGAGGTAGGATGTTGTACGCTACACATAACAGACCCGAACAGGAATCTGAGCGCTCGCCGGTGGAGCAGGATGCCGAGCCTTTGACAAGGCAGTGTGCCAAATAAAAATCATGCTATGCTTGCTGTAGTACAGGGTTCATTGGGTCTAGTTAGACTCGTGACCAGTCCGTCTATGAGGCAAGCCATCGATAGACGTCTAACGGCACCATCGATTCATACATGGAATACGTATCCTCCGCAGTATAAGCTCTTCTGCACTTGGTCCAAACGCTACAATTAAGACTCACCTGACAACAGCACCATCGCCTCACTCTCATCTCGTTGTGAGTCCACCTAGGCCATTCACAAAAGTGATAGACTATCAACAGGCTGTGCACCCCGACCGAATCCTAGAGCTCCCTGACGTTCAAACTGAATGTCTTCTCGGGCTAACAAGCTTGTGCCAGAAAAACTTGTCATCAAGGTCAATCGCGACAAGCAAGTGCTGGCCATTGCATTTCTCTTCAAAGACCAACACTTCATCGTCTGTCTTCACGACGGTCGTCTCCAAGTCAGAGAAGCGAAAACTGGCAAACTTCTGGGTGATCCTTGGCAGGATACAGAGGGAAGCCAAATTTGTGCAATCAACGTATCACCAGATGGTGGGCGCGTCGCGACTGGCAGCAAAGATGGCAAAATACGAGTGTGGAAGTGGAATGGAAAAACCGCGAAGATAATTGCCGAATCAAAGAAGCACACTCATGGTACTGCAGCAAATTGCATATGCTGGAGTCGACATGATGGTGGCGCTTACATCGCTAGTGGCTTTGACGATGGCAGCGTAGCAGTCTGGCCAGTATCATCGGGGCTAAAGAATCCCACGAGTACTGATGTGACACCCGCCTCCGACACATACACGCAATCAGCTACTCACACGACGGCACACAACTCCTCGTGAGCGGTTACGACCGCGAAATCTCGAGATTGACGATCAACAAAAAAGCGCAGGAGATTCAGCTGGATGAAGTCATCAAAATTTGCAACAATCCCAACAATGTATCAAGCGCAACATGGGCTATGACTACAGACATGCATGCGATCGTCGCCGGCCTAACAGATGGGAAGATTATGATACTTGAACTTCCGGAAGGTCAACCGTTAGAGCTTGAGGGACCAGGTCACTCCGACCTTGTCTGCGCCGTCGTACTGTCACTTCCAAACAAACGTGTACTTGCAAGTGCCTCTCATGACCGTACCCTCCTCTTTTGGGATCTCGGTACCAAGCAAACAATTTGTCAACCACTCCTGCACTCCGCAGATGTGACATGTGCAGCATTCGCAACCAATGGGACCTTAGTAGCCACTGGTACTTGCGATGGAGAAGTCTACCTTTGGGATGTGGCAGACTTTCTCTCTAATGCAATGCCAATGGAGGATGCGAATGTGGATACTCATATGAGATCCCATCCACCTATCATGTACTGACACCGTGTCACTTTCAGGGTCGTGACAGAGGCACGACTGCTAGACCTTCTCTTAACTTTGACGTATGTAATGCTCGTGTGGATGGTTCATGGGTGCTGGCTCATAAGCATACAGCCTAACTCGCCAATCCCTACCTGCCAACGTGAAGCCCGACAACCACTAGTACCCCCATCCCTCGACACTCCGAATCATGTAAAACCAATATACGGTCAGGATTTCTTTGTAAGTGGTGCAGTCGCTAGATGTCTCTGGTTATGAATAACCTCTGAACTGCAGGACAATGTGCGTCCTGCAGTCGTAGATAGTCCCACTCCAAGTGTTAGCAGGCGATTTTCTATATCCCGGCCTATTAAAGTTGCTGCATCACGTATGCAACAGGTTTGTCATGCTGTCTCTTGCCCGCTAATTCACCATTGAAGTGAATCGATTGCAGGCATTGAGGGTATCCCGAATACAAATTGAAAGGCCTCTGACGAACGTGCACCTGGGTGACATTCAAGAAGAAAGACAAAATCACCACGGGCAACATCAAGTAACCAGTGGCATTCCGCTTACCACATTCGAACAGCAATCAGGGGTGACAAATGAACCGACCACACGAGGCGCTGTTCTTATACGACATACTCGCTTGGTCAATGCCTTGTTACGCATGGGGTGCATACCCCAGTACCCCGATCAGGTGGATTGACTTCAAAGGTACTTTGCAGTGCGTACCGAGTGTGGTTTCCGTGTTGAATGTCTTCAGTTTGGAGTCCAACTAAAGATAATCGCACCACATTATGGCAGGAGGTTGTATCGGTATAGAAACCCAGCCTATTCAAGAAAGACTGCACCGCTGCGGCTTATGATCATTGATCAGTGGCATTTTCCTTTGCAGGGCTGTGGAGAGTCGACGCATTGGCAGTGGACACCATCAGGTTATATATAAATCTATCTCAAAGATATTTGTAATGTACAGCCTAGGTACAGGAGAAAGGGTGCATGTAAATTATGCCCCAAGGACTCAGGGGGACGTAGACCTATCTTGCGATTAAAAGTTTGAATCAGGTTCGCTTCGCAGTAATTCACAAGCTTCTTCAGCGGATGGGCGAGAAGAAGCTATGTGTCCCCAGCATCGTTGGATAAAATCCCAATGCTTTTGAGATACATTATTGCCTCGGATTGTGCAGGGTGCTTTTCCTCGATAAATGGCGGTATCTGGCATTGGGTCAGACGCAAAGGGAAGTGCACCAGAGATGACCTAAAAAGGTGTGATCGATATCAAACGACTGAAGACATCACAATTGTCAAAGAGCATACGTAATTCATGATGGAACCAAAGGAATACATATCGCTGTGTCTAGAGGGAGAAGAGACGTGAGGTCCATACATAGGCGACACAAAATTGTTCTTACATTGACGGTGTTGAGTCATCCATTGCCAGTTCTGGTGCCATCCACCGTGCAGCCGCGGTGACGGGGTAACTCCCAGTATGTTCCGATATTCGGAAAGACAGGCCAAAATCAGCGACCACTGCGCGTCCGTTGACATCCACGAGGATGTTATTCTGTCCGCCAATTAGTCTCAGATGCCGATATGGAGTGTTACACACACATCTGTCAAATCTCCATGTACAATGCCTTGCGAATGAACTGCAATGTTCGACAATCAAAATGGGGCAAACGATAAATCCATAGCACGCACGATAACGAAGGCCGGTGGCAACGTCGCAGAGCTGTAACTTGATTGAAACATCGATTTTGCAATAGCTATCCGCCTACAACATACCAATTTTAACTTCTGTCGTAGTTCCATTGCCGGATACCTGTCGATGTACTTTGAAAGTGTGCCATTCTCCATCCAGGGGCAAACTAATGCATCGCAGCCAGGAGCCGCGTCAAAACCTCGCGCAACTCCAAGTAGAGGTAGGATGTTTTCTTGCATAAGTCTTTCCCATAGCTTGCGTTCACGCAAGTACTCCTGATGCAAGACAGACATCATGAATCAACTCAGAGCACAAGGGTGGAACGCCGAACCTAGCATACCTTTTGATCTGGAACATCGCGTTGGAATCGAATTGACTTGGCAGCTACCTGGGTATGGATCATTCATGTATCCTCTTATTTTATGGAGGATCAGCCGACCTGTATAGTGTTCCAATCCCTCTTCAGCGTACACTTTGTTATGTACGCGAAACCTCCCGAGACAGTATGAAACGGGGGGCGGTTGCAGAGCATCTCTGTCAGGTCATCTGAAGAGATATCGACCTCGCTGGGCTTGTACTGATATTTGAGAAATTCGAGGATTTGTGTTGCGGATGGCCGATCGCGCGGTATGAAGGAACAGCAGCGTGTGATAAAGTTCCATAGGGAATCATCGATACCGCCACCCACTGGACGTGGCGGCATACGACGCTGTCGAAGTCTGTTGATAATGTCACTCGATCTTGAATCATGCCATGGCAAACATCCCGAGAAAACCTGGATGCAAGCTTCAGAATTGTCAGGATATGCAAGCACACACCCACGTGAAGTAAGATACAGCCGATTGAGTATATATCCCTGTTGATGATAGACAATGAACTGTTGCCTTTCTTATTGATGAAGCATTCAGGAGCAGCAAATCGCACTCCACCAGGCTCGGGTGTTGTGAAGGGTTTATCAAGGTCGGTTGCCAAAGAGAAACCGGTCAGATATGCTCGATTTTCTGGGCCTATGAGAATATTTTTCTGGAGAAATGTTGAGGAAAGTTGTATAGCCAAGGAATATCAAGAACGAACACTCTCTAAGTTACCGTGAACCACATGGGACTCGTGGACTGCAAGCATTCAAGCAGTTAGCATGAGGGCCTATTGGGATGGAGTATTACTGACGATAAGTGACTCCGGAGGCGATATCGCGAGCCTAGGGAAGTATGTTATTACTTAACAAGTTTCGAATTATCTGTGAATTTACCAAGGACAACTTGAGTGATGCCTCGATTCCTGCTCCGTGGTACGCGATGTAGCAATCGAGGTCTCCACTTGGCATCCAGGGGAACACAAGCGAAGGGAAGTTACCATCTTGGAAATCTCCAGTGGTACCTAACAACTGAATGATATTTGGGTGATTAAGTCTCCTGCGCAAGTGTATCTCTCTCAAGATTCGCTGAGGCGTCATTAAAAATAGGTATCGATGCCGAGGAATTGGAAAATACTGACATCGTAATATTCTTTGTGCCTGCCAAATCGGATGAACTTTACTGCGACCTGTGAAGTAAGGGTAAATTGAGGCTGGGCTCATCCCACGGTGAAGTCAACTACGAACGAGAGTGCTTTCGCTGCCGGTCGTCAATGTACACTTGTATACATCACTGTAGCTCCCGGGTGCGCTCAATATTGAATTGATAAGATCAGTAGCACTGAGTTAGGCGTAAGTCAGGCAATCGACACCACAGCTTTCCAGGGTACTGACGGTATTTCTGGTTCGGGATTCACTGGATTCCTTCAAAGAAATGTGAGGACGTTGTTTAACATATGTCATGTACATCTCACTCACATTTCATGCAAAGTTGTAACAATCGTGGTTGTATGTGCAGAAGGGGGATGAACAGCTATCAAAGGTCAGCTAGCGATCAGCATAACTTATACGCTCGGAAGTAATGATGATGTCGATTTTTCGGGGGTGCCCGTGCAGATTGGTCCACAGCATTGCTATGCCCACTTACCCCAGCTCAGCTCCTGCTCGCTCAATTCTAACCTGAAGATGTCATTGTCAGTGTCAACTGAGCTGCGCAGCGGTATTACGATATACATATTAATATTTTTATTACATAACACTTTTGTACGTAAATTAGTAAATCAATTATTACGTGTGCCGCCTGAATCGGTTTTCTTGGAGTTTCCTTATTAGTATGTTACTATGTATACGTCTGTGGCTAAGGTAGCTTCTATTCGTTTTTGAAATACGATTTCTCCATACCTAGGAGGCGGCAGTACGCACAAGAAACAAGAAATAGCTGATTTGAATTTGCTGGTAAGCGCTGCATGTCATTTTCCTCAAAGTGCCTGGACTTGAACATGGACCCTGCTGGAAACCTAGGAATCAGGATAAATAAGTTCCTCCTCTGAACGGGCTACGGTATTTCATAGTAGCCGTGATGAGGCGGGGCAGCGGCGGGCACGATTCGGACACGCCAAGTCAACCCCTGTTGTGGCACACAGCTAGTAGGCGGCTGCTGTGCGACTCGGGCCAAGTCTACATAAGTAATCCACGCAAGGTCCCATTGCATCCGTCTCTTAACTTTTCCACCTGCAGATCTCATTCGTAGCAGTAGCCTATCCAAATATTTAGCATCTCGTCCTATTTAAAGTCGATTGTGCTGCTCTAGCTCGAATCACGTTCTCTAATTTAGTGAGTACTACTAGTCCTTCATCTCTGATCATGAAATCGTAACGAGGTGATACATAGTTTCTGGTCGAAACTGCCAGCCACTGAATCTGTCAAATCCCTTTGCCTTCGACTTACCTCGCCCCACCTGTTGTAACGAATATTTATTGTTGTGACATCATCATACCATGCTCTGTTCGGTCAAACCTCATATCCAGCTCAATAACCAGGGAATCCACTCCGAGTCCGCAACAATCACATGCATCGATTTTATAGATGAAGATCGATGCATCATCACCTGCTCCGAAGATGGTTCCATCCAAGTTCGGAAGGCGGATACAGGTGAAAAAGTGGGTGAGTCCTGGACAGATGAAGGAAGTGGGGGCATCCACGCCATGGCAGTATCGCCAGATCAAACGGAAGTCGTAACCGGCAGCCAAGATGGTAGGATACGCCTGTGGGAGGTGGCCACCGGGAAAAGGACCAGAAGATCGAGGCAAGCTCACAGCCTCACAATCCTGTCTGTCTGCTGGAGTCCGGACTCGGATAGATTCCAAATTGCCAGCGGGTCTGAAGACGGAACGGCGTTCATATGGGATATCAACCAAGACGATATCGTTGGACATCCTATCAGAACTAACCACCCACATGTATACGCAGTAGTGCTATTCACCCGACTGTAAAACGCTCGTGACGAGCGGATACAACAACATGATCGCTTTCTGGGACGTCAGTACAAGGGAGGCGCTCCGCTTTGTAGAAGCATGCCATTTATCGCAGCAGGTCCATTCCATCGCATGGACTTCATGTGATAGAATTTTCCTGGGATGTAGTGATGGAATCGTACAGGCAAGAGATAAGGCCGAAGGAAAGGTCGCCCGTCTAGGCAAACGTACTGGTCCTATCTGCGCCATCGTCTTGTCTCAAGACAAGCTTCTATTGGCGGCCGCTTCTCTCGATAATACCATCTCCCTACTGGAATCCAAAGACCAACAAGTCAGTTGGTCGGCCGATTGTATCGTCTTACGGGCTTGAGGTGCGCGGCTTTCGCAAGAAACAGCAGACTGTTCGCCGCCAGTGGTACCGATAATGTGTATATCTGGGATCTTCAGGCGCTGTCTAGGGATGCCAATGTAAGTTTCCAAGTCACAATAAAGGCGATCATTGACATACTCATGTTGATCACTTGTTGCATGTAGAGCGCATCGCTTCTCAATCCTAAGACAATGGTATGGGCGTTACATAGCGCAGTGGAGTTCTTTATTCAGAACTGTTGCCCAAGTCGCTGGGAAGGTCTGTCTCATAGTTCACCTACTAATTTACCCGAGTTGTGACCTAGCTTACCCCTAGGCATTTGGTCGTCTGAGATCATTTTCACTCACGCGTGCCGCTAGGCCCGGGAGTGGAGCACGGTGCACGAGAAAACTATTTGCATGGCCGTCAAAGTCCTTCACTTGACAAGCAGGAAAGTGCAGTGCACCCGTTAGAATGAAGGACAGTGTTCGGTTTCATTGGCTGTGTATTGGTTATTTGTCCTCCGCCGAGATGGAGAATTAGATATTTTCGTTTTGTTTTATCCTGTATCTCCACGTACCAGTAGGTACTATTTTGTTCTTATTTCTACTTATATCCTCCGACGGGTTTCGGGGCGGTACACTTATGACACGTCTAATCGTTAGTGTACGAGACATAGACATATTCTTGGATCCCTTATTTCTGGTCAATACAGCGCTTTAAACAAATACATTAACCACTGTCCGGCTCCGCGGTAGGACAGACTGGGTTTGAAATGACAACTTTGCGGCTCGCGTTTGGCGATTTGCAGTTAAATTAATACGGATGTCTCAGCGGAGATGGCGGTTGGATGCTGTATGATCTACGTCATGTGCAGCTGATAAGTCTTACTATAATTGTAGCGGCGGTGACCCCGACTCCGCCTCTCACGACATGTCCTTTGACAGAAACGAGGGCATGGTTGCGTAAAACCCAACTAGGGAGTCGGGGATCTACGGCCTCCGTCAAAGTGTCAGGACGGCTGTTCAGAACGTTCTAGGCTTCTAGCCCAAACTCAAATTAGTCATACGTCACGCGTCACATATATATACATATTAATGGTAACCGTAAGTTTCCCGCTTCCATGACCGAGATTAACTCCGGCCCTTAAAGCTGCCAAACTCCCAGTTAAAGCAATCCTGGCACCAAAATTAACGTTAGCAGTAAAACAAAAATTTAAATAGACTTACAACACAGTCTTCATCATCCGCCTTCGCCTCAGGCACCGTCCTGCCCTCCTGTCCTTCCTGAGTCCAATCCTCACTCAACAACCTATCGATGATTTGAACGATCGAGTGTGTCCGTACGTCAACAGACCATCCGAGATGCGTGACGGTATCGTAGCGGATGACCTTTCCCAGATGGCAGCGTGTCTCCATAGCGTAGCCTGCAATGCCACAAGACGAAGTAACACCAGTACAAGGTGCCCATTGGAATAGGGTCAGCTGTGTGGAAGACGTGGGTGATGTGTTGTGTCGAGGGCTGTATTGTCGTCCGAGGTATCAGTATTTGAGAATAATGATGATGAAGACTTGCACTCACCGGAGAAGGCAGGTGCAGACGCGTCGCGGCTAATTTCTCGGAGGGCGCTTCGAATGCGACGACAGGCGCTCCAAATGTCACACCGATAAGTGAGGCGAGGGAGCCACCGAGAGAATGCCCTTTCAGGATGATGAGAAGTACTCGGAAGATATAACGTTTAAACGCACCTGCGAGCCAGATATTGGCATGGGGATACAAATATGTGATGTTATTATATAAATTCTGCAGCGGAATCAGGCCGGAAGACTAAGCTTTGAACTGACACATACCACTCCAACAGAATAATATAAGTTCTCCCCCATCAAACTCCTCTCCAGACATTCCTGGTCACATTTAGAGCCACCCTGGTGGCAATCGCAAACCGTTGACCAAGTCGGACCAACTCTTGCACAGCAGCAAGAAAACAAAAGATTATCGTTCAGCTTATCCTTTCGTACAGTTGGGCCACCACCACCTGTAATCCAGCCAGCGGAAGTACCCTTGATCGAAAGCACCACTGTTGAGTTGTCGTCCGAGACAAAGATATGCCCTCGAATGCCATCTGCGTCAGGTTCCCAACCAAACGGTGTAGACTGTTATTTTTCAATATATTGTAAAATGTATCATCAAGGTAGGCAAACGCACCTTATTCCAGCCTTCCGGTGTGTACCAATCTGACGCAGTGGATGACGTATATGCATTAGAGGTCATCTTCGCAAGCGTAAGCAGCGTCTCTCTCTCTTCAACGTTCGGTCCGAGGACGTCGGCTGTATCCCACAATACCTGTTCGCTCTGGTCATATCTAATAGAGCGTAGTCGAGCACTATGAAATGCCTTCGCCGACTGCGGTCTGTGGGTTTGGATATTCGATGTACTCATAACGAACGAATCTGCGGCAAATGATGGATCCACATTGGAGAAGATCACCCGAGAATCATTAGTTAGAGCATGCTCGTGCCGCAGCTGGAAGGACAGCGGGGTCCGGGCTGGCAGGACAGCAGGTGGCTGAGAGAAGTCGAGCCAAAGTATTGAGCCAAGTAAGAAGCGAAGAGTAGCAGGTAGTAAATTAAGCATTGCGAGCTGAAGGTCTAAGGGTATCTATGCATGAGACGTGAGGTAGATCGTTGTTCTATCACAACCGTTCGAACGTTCAGCCTCGAGGTGTACATGTGCTAAACTGGGAAGATTGTGAGTGATTATGTCAGCTTTGTTTAGTAACGCGAGCAAAACTCGAGAGTCGAGACTTGTCGAGACCGCGCTGTTGGAGTTTGGACCGCCCAAGTTGGACCGCCTGGTTTTGCTTATTGATCATGCTGCTCAACGACGGACACGAAGGTTTGACGTCGACAATTGCCTTATCATATACACAGGTTGTGGAGCTCGCAAGCGCCTATTGATGGACCCTGGGTCTAGCCCTCCGCCTTCGCCCATGAATCCCACTTCTGATCCTTGGGTCCTGTTAAGGTAGAGGTGACTATTTTAACACGAAGCGGCGTCTCCTCAATGCCAGTACATTTTCAACCCGTAACCACTTCATGGAACTCTGCCTGCGACACAATGACCCTACACAAACCCTACTCATGACCCCGGACGGCATAGTCATGTACCAAGTCAATACGGCACCAGGACAAACCACGATAAGCCGCTTCGAAAACCATGCTCAACGCTTGAGCACCGGGCGGGTATCTTGTGTCGTTGGCGAAGTCGATAGTAGCCGGTTGAGGTTACACGATAACGAGATCCCAATAGACATTGTGATGGTTTCGAGCGCGGAAGATATTGAAAACGTCGACAGGTAAGGCACTAGATTTGATGCATCGACGTTAGTTTAAGATTATAAAGACCTTGGACCTTTAATGGACCAGACGATAAGCCGTACACATGGCAAATTCTGTTTCGTTCTCCGGTGGTAAGTCGTTGACGAATCAATTCCCGCGTTATCTCTAACCGCAATCCAGCTCTTTGTATCCGACAATGCACCCGTCCCTCTAGCACGATATAGACAAGCGAAACTTGGTATTGTATCACGATCAAGACGAGCTTTCCTCGAAATATTCCCCGCTGGAATAAATGTCATCGATTTCATAGTCGTTACATTTGTCTCTTACGCGAAGCACCATTGGTTGAACGAGCCCCATCATGAGTCCAGTCCATCGGCAATTTAGTCCTACAAGCGGCTGTTGAAGGTAGGCACGCTCAAAAGCATTGTTAAATTATTGATATTGACCATGACTCCTCTTCGTCACTGTTGGCTTTAATTTTCAGCTGGATAAATTGCGCGAAAGATTGAATTATGTTTCGCTGGCTGGGTTTTGTAAATTATACCTGAGCTGGTGGGGTACTCGGGAATAGCATTCTGGCCAACTCCGAGCACTTGCTTCTGATATCTGAGAGCTAAGCGTGAAGAGGGTTAATAATCTATTTGTGATCCTGTACGTATGCAAGATCGTTCATGTGCTCTGACCATGAGAGGGTAAATGTTCGCATGACTGACCTGCGAATCTCAAACACGTTCCCAGAACCAAGCAAGAATCAAGAAGCACGGTAATTTTGTGGATATCGTGTCAATTGTATACCAGTTCTGTCTCGATATTGATATCATATACTGACTAGCTACATGAAATGGAAGTTGGAACATGCAAGTTTGGTATCTGTCCCTGCACTTGAATCTTGCTTTACACCGTATCACTCACTCAGTTCATCACTTGAACATTGGGTTTGATTCTGAGTGACAATATACCACACATTTCACATTGGACTGGCCAACTTTGTCTGAGACAGTAACATCTACTAGGTTGTCGTCAGTCTCTATTCCGCAGTACTTGCTTGTCTGAGCGTACTATACCCCCAGATACTTCAAGGCTTACGGTTTTCGCCGCCGAAACAACGACATCATGCTATCAACCAATCAAGTGCATCCAGCGTCCATCGATTTAGCTCTAACGTTAACCGATACATCACCTTTCTTTGCCGATCCTGCACGCCTCCCAAGTGTACATCCCGAGCTGCAAGGCCTCACCTACGTTCAAGCTGTGGGCACTGGATTGATGTCAAACGAACACGTATACAGGCTGGAAGACAGAGAACGGGCTGCAGTTGTACGGGACTTTTTGAAGAAAGAGCAAGGGGTGTCTAATGTGGTTTTGCTTGAGAAGAAGCAACGGGTTAAGAGGGATGAGTTTTGATTTGTGAGCATCGCTTCATTAAACAGTCTCTCGGAACGAGCTTTGATTCAGATACTAGAGCAGCTGATATCACTGGAAAGGCATACGTTGCCATTGTGATGTCGGGATCTATGTAAGTAAAAGATACGCAGCTACATATTTTCAAGAAGACTACTGGTGTGTGTATGGTAACGATATATAAAAGACCTCGTGCGGGACTAGTACTACCTAAATAAAAATACGGATATACGAAAAGAGAATGTGGCGTGAAGCGATTATCCAAGAATGACTGCCTGCAATCACTACGGTGGCAATGCACTTTGAACATAACTGAGAATGTGGTCAACAGTTGGTCTGTCAGATGACCTTGACCAGCATTCTTGAAGAAGGGGTACGTGGCGCCTGTCAACTGAACTGTCTGCTGCCATGGGTTGCATACCCTTGTGTCTGGCAGCCATGATATGAAAAGGGTCTGCCAGCCAATCATAAGGGAGCTTTCCGGATAGCACCTGAATTGTAACTTCAAAATGCAGGTACTGCAAGGCAAAATAGAGGTAGCGTACCTGAAGTATTACGCAACCGAGCGAGTAAACGTCGGAGCGGGTAGTCGGCTTTCCAGCTTCTTCATCTGTAAGATCTATCAATTCAGGCGCGGCCCAGCGTATAGAACCCGGGTAGTAAGTTTCGCAGGACGAGCTATCGCATTCTGCAAGGATCGCCGACAGTCCGAAGTCTGTTACGTGAGCGTTTCCTTTGGAATCGATCAATATGTTGTGCTGTAATTGTTTAGCTTGTCAAACGCACGTCCAGAGTTACAACCTTACCCCAGAGAGGTTCCCATGAATGACATTTCTGTCGTGAACTGTGGGAATTATCAAAAGCTGTATGCGAAAAATATGGACCAGCACAAACGATACTGGATGGCTGTCGTAATCTGTTCAAGCTACAGGGAGTAGTTGTCAACGCGATCAGCTTGAATTACTTGGCAATAGGACCCACGAGTATGAACTTGTCACCATCCATTAGATTAGAAAATTCAATAGACAGATAGTTCGTCAATGATCCACGCTCCATCCAAGGAGTCACGAATGCGGGGAGCGATCCAAATCCTGAGGTCGTCCCAAAAAGGCGAAGTACATTCTTATGATGCAACGTTGTCCACACGCGCACTTCGCCATAGATCCTCTGAAACATGATTAGCCTGAATAGAGTGAGCTGTGGCCGTGTACCTTGCGCAATACTCTTATCGCTTCTTCGCTTGAATCAAGGATCCTCAAGGATTTGATAGCAACCTGTTGTGAACTTCATTGGCGGTGACGAATAAAAGAAGGAGGAGGTACCTCTATTTTTCCATGAGACTTTGAAACCATGGTACATCGGTAGACATCGCTCAAATCGCCGATGAGATGAGGAAACCTATCATATCTGAAAATACATGCTCGAGGGACCTCTGTCGATTTGTCCTGGATCGTATCGGACCTATACAGTGCCATCTTTAGACCGACAGGCCAGCACGACAAGACGTTTTTTTTTACAGAGAATGCCATAGTACTTGCAGTCTAGTGACCCCGCCAATCTGATGAAATGAAAAGTTTGTTTCATGATTAGAAACACTGAGAATCGTCGATTTGCCAGCTTAGATGTACACTCACCTTCAGACAAAAGATATTTAACATCGCTGTGCACCTCTGTCGTGAGTCACAACTTCGTCGGAATGCTGGGATGCGATACGGACGAGATAAGCAGGCGCCGAAACTAGATTCATGGGCCTTAAGTTCGAAAGCGACTAAAAAAGGCTGGGTCATGGGGAATCTGTAGGCCATTAGGTGAAAGCTGTACTTACATATATATATTGCGGCTGTGTAAACGATAAACGATTTTTTATTGGCTGAAACCAAAATGCAGTGTAATTATGTAAGTTGGAGATTTGAGGCGCTCGCGGCTCAGCCATGTGTCAGAAATTCAGAATCTTATTCTGCGACTCCCACGTTAGGACCTATTTTTCTCCGCACACGGATTGATCCCATTACCTTATCTTCCTGAATGTCTGTCTTTGGTCCTCGACTTCTCAAAGTCCCTCGTTTTTCTCCTTCTAGTGTTCTATGCAATGGTATATCCTGCACCAGTACCATGATTACCCGTCTTGTAACCTCTTGGTTCTTAAGCTTCACACCGGTCGAACTTCCAGCCCCCCTGAAGCCCACTATATATGGGTCTGTCCAGGACTGCCAAAGTGTGACATTTTCGCGTGCTAGCTCAAGCTCACATCGCAAAACTGGATGAAGTGGGCACCGACTTGGCTCGCGAACGGTTTTTTCCTTACATGGTAGAGAGTTCATGAACTCTAAAATCTACTAACTTCGGACAGACATCGGCCTTCCAAAAGCCTCGAATTAGTCTCGATTTTCGGCCTGCTAAACTTCGGATAGACCTATGTGAGAAGCTTCAAAGGGCCTGGTCAAACATACACCCTCCCAGGTTTCACATCGGCGGCTTGTGTTATCCATCCGGAGGTTCCTTATCGAATCCTGCATGTACTTGATGCCTGAACGGAAACAGGTCCTCTCCATTTGGTGTTCCTTCCCCTCCCTTATTTAACAAGGTGCATTTTCATTCGCTGTGTTGCATGCCTCACCGTTTACCATCGGTCTTCTCAGGTGGCCGATATTAACGCTCTGTATGTTACCGCGGTCAGCGGTGATCTTGCGTGGTCTTTCTTTCTTGAAGACCATCATTCCACATCCATTCCTGATTTGCCTGCGTCTTTCGTCATAGAGGCTCCCCGACTTCCTTCAGCCTTTGTTTCGAAGAAGCGTACCTGTCCTGATTCTGTCAGTCTCCTTCTGTTGTACTTCTGTCGTTTACGCGCCGAGTCGGGTGCTATGTCATTGGATGGACTTTCTTCATGTGTGCTCGGCGTGAACTGCCTTGCCCTGTGTGGCTGTCAAATAAACTCTTTCGGATGTGGTCCTTCCTTCTGGTTGTGTCCGTCTATTTTATCTGTGTGTATGGAGCTGAGGTTGCTATGGTCCTTTGTTCCCTTCCGGGCTGTTACGCATGTAACTCGCTCGATTGTTGTCGTATCCTGTGGTCTGCCCTTTCGATCAAGTCTCTTGGTTATCACCCGTGCACACCATCTATCGACATGTTATTGCAGCGCATCCGTCATCTACCTTTCGAAGGTGGCCCCGTCTTAAATGCTCGGTTTCGCGCTAAGACCAGGACGGTCTGGCTTACCGCATCCGTGAATGCGCTATGTGTTTGCAGGCCATATGTTCTAGCGTCGTGCATCATGGCTATGAGGTCTTATTCATCAACGATGAAGTACTAGGGCTGGCTTTGGCTAGGTTCGGAAATAAGGACCACTGAAGCGCTGAAATAGAAGGTTCCTAGTTGTACTGGTAGCCGTTGCTAGCCACACCTGACTTCCCGGTCTCACAAGCAGCAGTGTCATACTGATCAACAGCACAACATTAACGTATACAAGAATGTCAAGTAGGTAATGAGAGGAAAGTAGAAGTCATGATTTGGTGTACCGTGCTAGTATCTCGAAGCTACATATACGTAAAAAGTCGTGTAATATACATACAAATATTACAATAGATTGAAACTTGTTTTTTAAAAGTGCGATATGTATGTCATCCAGAATAATAATAACGGGGCCTCGTGTTGCCAGAAAAACAACGCCGGTGGCCATGACCCCATGAAGTCCATAGTAATGAGAGCAAATAATGGGTATTAAGAAACGGGTGTAATAGTTTCAAGCAAAGGAATGAGCAGGTGGATGTGAGTTCCTCGCATAGGCCTATGTGGTGAGAAGCTCGACTTCCGTTTGAGAGAAGTGTAGCACTTCAGCGGCAGATGGGCGATTTTCTGGGACTGACCAGCATTTTTCCATGAATGACCAGTGATGGCATGTGATATGAGCATCATGCGATCGTGAAGGTTTGTTTCCGTTCAATATTTGGATAGAAACCTTGTTTCCTGATCTGAACTCATAATAAGGTTCACGGCCAGTAAGGATCTGCAAGATTTTCAAGCGATGCATCTAATATCATAAGCGCAACGAACCTGGTAGATGATGGTTCCAATAGAGTAAACATCACTCTTGGTCGTGGGAACGACCACGTTTTTACTGTCAAAGCGTTCTGGCGCTGCCCATCTCACAGATGGGGGAATATGTTGCCCTCGGTGTGCTGGAGTAACGTCGTAATCTGCAAGATATGCAACACCCATGATATCGATCAAGACGTTGTTCTAAATGCATTGCAATAAGATACAAAATCACAGTGACAAATAAAGGTGGCTCACTCCATGTAGATTGCCATGAATGATGTTCTTGTAGTGTACTACGTTAATTTTTCAGAAACCCGAGTCGGGATGTGTGTCAAAAGTGGAATTCTGTAGTGCTCACGGTAAGAGAGTCCAGCGGCTACTTGCTTGATCTACTTTACCAAATTAGACGTGTTCAAGCAGAAAGAGTGGACAAGACTTGCCAGGTTGAAGCTTGCTAGAACATTTAGACGGTCAGAGTTTTTTTCCAGGTATGAGGTCAATGTCCCGCCCGACATCCAATCGTACACAATTGACGGAAGCGGTCCAAATCCATCAGTGAATCCTATAGGGATAAGAATATTGTCGTGTTGCAACGTCATCCAGACATGAGCTCTGATTAATATCTCCTAGAAGATAGCAACGTGAATAATCTATGAATCACCTCGAGACATTAATTACAAACCTGGACTTCCGTGTTTCCGAAATTTCTATCCTCAATGACTTCACAGCAACCTGTTTTTCGTAAGAATACACTAGATGGCATTTGATTGTCCAGCACGAACCAGTTTGGAGGTCGTAGCGGTAGAATATACAGCCTGATATACATTTGCCAATGGAGTTTTGCCAATTAATCTTAATTTTTGAGTTTTCGAAGTGAGGTTGCGCCTGGAATGCGAAGCATTTCTCGTATTAAACGATCTATGATAGGATCAAGAAGACGGTAGCTAAGGCTTACGAATGGTGCTTCTGAATCTTCAAGTCGGTCCTAGAACTTGTGAACAAGCTTTGCCAAACACGTAAAAGAACATAGAGTAGCGGCATCTGAGATCAGGAGACCTATGTGGGCCTGTGTGGAGTCCTCCAGACCCCGAAGGATTTGGTAACAAACGTGATCGTCCGCAGAGGTGTGGCTCATCCAGATCTTAAGAGATAACTGTATTTATTGATGTTTGGCTATCAATGTACTTACTTAATTGGTGTAATCATATAAATTTCCCCCCCTCGGTTCCCAGTTCGGAAGGAGATTAACTTTTTACACTGCCCAACGTGGGGCCCCGCTGCATGATCACAGCGATTTTATCTTCTGCCCCGCGGAGTGTAGAGTTTAGTGTCAGCCATCTCAGAAAATTCAACTCGGCAAGGCACTCGATCGAACCCAGTTTCATTTTCCACTGTGGTACAAATGACTGATTTCGATAGCACAGTATCTACGCATGAACGTCTTTCTGGTGGAGTTAGATCTCTTTTTTCACTCTTTTCGTTAGTGGGCAATACGCTAGAAATCAAAGTGGGGCATACCAACATGGGCGGCTAGCAGAACAGGTCTGTCAAACATAAAAACTGAGAAAGCCGCCATACCAGGTATAGTTCCCTTCAAGATTCGTAATCCAGTGAACACGAGGTGCGTAACATCTATTTAAACTGCCTTACGCAAATTATAGAACCTCTGGCAGGTTTGGTGTGTATCTTGACGCTGGTCCTTTCTACCCCCACCTCATCAAATCCCACCCTCGCAATGTCCAGGCAGTCGATCAGCGATCTTGTCGACCTCACAGAGCGTATCACACGCACCTGTTTTTTTTGTTCAGCTGGAGGAGGGTTTGGTGACATCTGGCGCTGCACTCTACAAACTGGTGCAACACATGACATGGTACGGTTACTCGCACCGACGACCAGCATACATCTCATGTTTCCAGGTTGCAGTCAAAGCAATCAGGTTCCAATCTGGAGAGGCCGGTGCATCACAGGAAAAGGTAATTTGCAAAATTACACTGCCGACTCATTTGCTTACTACATTTAAAGGCGCTGCGACGTGAACTTGGAACGTGGAAGAGACTTGTCCATGCGAATATCTTGCCACTACTAGGCATAGCAAGAGGTTTTAGCCCCTCTATATCTATGGTCTCCCCTTGGTACGAAAATGGTTCGCTAGCAGCTTATCTCCAGAAATACGAAGATATTTCTCTGTCTGATCGCCTCCGCCTAGTGAGCTTTTCTGCTTGACAACACACCCACCTATCTTACCAATAGTTTGATATTCAGCTTCAAGACATTGCGTCGGGTCTCCGTTATCGTGTGTATTCAATGCATTGTGTCTACGTCTTGCTCATATATATATTCATGTTTGATGTAGTGCATGGCATCCCGGTGGTTCACGGTGACTTAACTCCAGTAAGACGGGTTATCTTGGAGAGTTTTAACAGTATCTTACTACCTTACTTGCAGAACAACGTACTCCTGAATGACGAAAAAAGGGCTGTCCTCACAGACTTTGGCTTATCGTCCATGCTCGGGGATATCACGGGTTTTTCATATCTTGAGCGGTCTTGTGCACAACCAGGAGCAATTCGCTACAGCGCTCCCGAGCTTCTGATTTTGGGGGAGTCTGATGCATCTATCCGACCAGACATTCGAAGTGATGTCTACTCATTTGGCTGTCTAGCGCTCAAAGTATGACTCTAATGTGTGCGTAACTATTCGAAATGTTGATAGCGACATTTTGTCATCGTAGGTCCTTTCGGGAAACGAACCCTGGTCTGATGTCAAACACTGGAGAACTATCGTCATCAAAGTCGCAAATGGACGTACACAACAGAGGCCTACCCACAGTCCGATTTCAGATGCCCATTGGCGACTAATACAACAATGTTTCTCACGACCTCGTGCTCGACCATCTACAAATGACATTCTGAAATTTCTCAGAAAAGAATTACAGTCGGAAGGTATTGATCGAAATGTGCCTTCGACAGTTAGCTAATGCGATTCTGGAGATCAAAATCAAAAAGTCTCGGCCGTAAATCGATCGACCCAATGCTCCAATCGAGATGAAGCAACGGCATCTCTCAAGTACAAAGTATGTATTCCTCTGTCCAGGCTCCTATGCGAATACTTACTCCTGGTCATTCAGGTTACTGCCAACACATTTCATTTGACACGTGCTTCCGGGACAAGTCACATTATTGATGCAAATGAACAAATAGCGTCTACGTTGCTCAGTTCTATACCTGATATTCCTGACAAAGGGAAAAGTCCTGCGCGCAAGTTCAGTTTGAATTTGTTCCGCCGTAAAAGCGTGCAATCGGTAAGAATTGTACTATATTCCGCAATAAAAAACATAATAAAAGTTTCGAAACAGATTCAAACACAAGGCCCGATCATCGAGGCCCGTTCGCTGACGATAGTGCAAGACTTTGCCGTACCTTCGGGGGGGCTTGGCAATACTTTTCAGTGTGTCTTGCGGAACAAGACTTTCAAAAAGGAGAAGGTCAAGCAAATTTCTATTTATATCCTTAATAGTATTGATAATTCCTCAGGTCGCTGTCAAGTCCATCAAGGTACGAGATGACGATGAAGAGAACATTAAGGAGGCTCAAAAAGTCAGCCTCAGCAATGCCGAAAAACATTTCAACGCTGATCCCTAGACATACTAGATCATCCTGAAAGAAGTGCAAGGCTGGATGTCTCTCCCCCATGAAAATCTATTACCTATCTACGGTACTACTACTGGCTTCGGTTCTAGCCTTCCATGTTTGGTTTTACCTTGGATGGAGAACGGGTCGTTGACCAGCTACCTGAGCGTCAAGAATCAAAACCTCCCAATCGCTACGAAATTTTTGCTTGTGCGTTTCTCAGCTCGTCGAACAAATTTTCTGCCCATTCCTCAACCCGGATCTAGCTATCTCATGTCGCAGCTGGGCTTCAATTTCGTAAGTACGGAGATATTCCGCCCATTAAGTACACCTCATCAGTTACATCAACAGTTCACAGCAATTCCATAATACATGGCAATCTCAGTAGTGTCAGTATCTTCCAAGTCATTCTGGTGGAGCCTGCTGACAGCGGATGTAGAATAATGTCCTAATTGATGAGCGCCACAATGTCCGTCTCGCAGGACTACGGATTGTCTTCAGTCGTATCCATGTGCGGCGAACTCTTTCAGTCCTATCATTGTGGTGCTTTGCGCTGGACGGCCCCGGAATTGATTGACGACGATGATCAGGAGCTCGGTCATGCGTCCGATATCTATTCTTTCGGATGCATCATGCTTCATGTATGCTAAGTTGATGTATCACTCTTACTTCACCACTTCAGCTAATGCCTTTTAGGTGCTCTCCGAAAAATTACCATACTGGTGGCTGGACGATGTTCTGCGCGTACTTTCTGCGCGACATAATGGCGTGAATCCAGTCCGTTGCGGGCCGGAGATGCATGAGGAACATGTGAAATTCGTCCAGCATTGCTTGTCGGTTTCTCCTACGGACCGGCCAATAATGGATAAGATCGACGATTTCATTGCAAGATCTACGCGGTCCATTGTAAAGTAGAGCTGTATCATACTGGAGTCTGGGGTTATATATAGTCACAACCAGATGTCAGTAATTAGATATCGGGCATTTGAGGAACCACTTAGTACCGCTGGACGGCTATGTGCGGAAGGGAGCACAGCATTCTCGCACGTGATGGGAATCCGTTTGCGACAAAGCCTAACGTGGGAGCAGCCTGGATGGTACCACTACAACTAAGTGCGAAAGACGAAGCCTGCTCTTGACATCTAGGATCTAGTTGATGATGATTTAAACCCTTCAATCAATACAGTGCGAATACACCGGGTGCAGGACGCTTCAAGGATATATCGGTGCGGGATATCATGCAGTAGAATGCATTCAAGAATTTCAAGCTCACTGCAGCTGCGCGGGTGTTTAACGTTCAGCAATTTGGCAATTGCTTATAATACAGCAAACGTTCATGCGATGATGCATTTGGACTCCTTGATATGGTCGACGGTACGCGTACCAGAATATTTCGATCCTGGAATATCCGGAATTTTGGTTAGTACTTCCCCTAAACTTCCTGTGCAACTTGTCGCAACCTCGTGCCTTCCAGCTGGTCGGACCTTGCAGGCAGCGAGACAAGCGCCCGCTTATCTTTTCAACTCGACTGCAAAGTTCAACCATGAGCCATCTATCGACTTCGAATATAATCGCAATCAATCGTCCTATTCTAGTGTGCAAGCATCCTGTGATATCTTTGTTGCTCGATCGTTTCAACATCACCGGCCATCACCACTTAAACCTCTTTGATTTGAAACGAAGTTACATTTTAGAAATTGACTCCTCAATTAACTTCGTATGTTGTCCCCTCCGAGATAGCCATCGCCATTACAATTTCTAATCACACCGCTGAACTGAACTAGTACTACTTCCACCTATTCCGACTCCCATTTTGTGTCGCATTCTATCGTCAACCTCTGCTGTGAGATTGATGTAAATATCTCCTTCCCTTATCACCTTTCTCGCTCTCTGACCCGACTGACAGTTCCTGGCGAGCTTCTAGCAATGACCGAAGGAACTTGGGAGAAGCTGTCCTAGGTCGCTGTCCTGGGTGCTGAATATGACTCCCCTGAACGCCAGTCCCATCCAAAATGCTTGAAAGAGACCCGAGTGAACCTTCTCGAATTGATCTACAGATTGTTGGACAAGCGAGAGATGAGCCAGATCATTTGGCTACATGGCACAGCAGGCGTCGGGAAGTCTGCCGTGGCATTCACTGTGGCCGAGAGGATGAAGAGTCTGAAGATGACAGAGGAGTCGGAAACCGAAACAAGGCTCTCGGGAACATTCTTTTTCACGCGCAAACACACGAAACGCACCACGACCGGACATTTCTTTGCGACCCTTGCTTACCAGCTTGTGAGCAATTTTCCTAGCGTTCAGAAGGACGTGAACAAAGCTATCCGCGAGAATCCTGCGGTTCTAGACTCCAGCAAGTCTCTTCGCGACCAGATGATGGCGTTATTTCGCCGCCCTCTCTGGCACCTGCAATCCAGGTCTGCGCGAGTGTCCGCCTCCGGTGTTTGTTGTTGATGCCCTCGATGAATGCCAACCTGAAACCATCGCTGATCTGATCTCCCTCCTCGGAGAAGTTCTTTGTGATCCTGAACTTCCCGTGATCCACATTCTGCTCACCAGTCGCTTGGAAGAGCATATCCGTAAAGCCATTCAAAAAGAAGAGATGCGCACGCTGGTGTACGAGATACCGGTGAACACTTCTGGGGAGGGCGTTCCTGGCACCATTTCATTAGACGGTGAAGATGTGGACAATGACATCTGTACATTCTTGCAGCATTCCTTCACAGGGTTGCGAAATCGCCATCCTGATTTCCCTCGGCCTACTGCGGATAATCTTATGCGGCTGGCGAGGTCTTCCATCTCTCGCGAGCTCTTAGTATAACGGACAACAAGCTGAACTGTGCATTTAAGGGCTTCTGGGATCGCCACCTCCTTATTCCGCAGTACTTGCTTGTCTAAGCGTAACATGTCCCCAGATACTTCAAGGCCTGCGGTTTTCGCCGCCGAAACAACGACATCATGCTATCAACCAATCAAGTGCATCCAGCGTCCATCGATTTAGCTCTAACGTTAACCGACACATCACCTTTCTTTACCGATCCTGCACGCCTCCCAAGTGTACATCCCGAGCTGCAAGGCCTCACCTACGTCCAAGCTGTGGGCACTGGATTGATGTCAAACGAACACGTATACAGGCTGGAAGACAGAGAACGGGCTGCAGTTGTACGGGACTTTTTGAAGAAAGAGCAAGGGGTGTTTAATGTGGTTTTGCTTGAGAAGAAGCAACGGGTCAAGAGGGATGAGTTTTGATTTGTGAGCATCGCTTCATTAAACATTTCTCGGAACGAGCTTTGATTCAGATACTAGAGCGGCTGATATCACTGGAAAAGCATACGTTGCCATTGCGATACCGGTGGACTAGGACGAAAGCAGTGAGGGGAGAGCTCTATGATGCGTGATGATGTGTTACACTATGAACAGAGTTTGGCTATGTGCGCGTGTCGCTGACTAAGCTATGGCTATCGCCGAAGGACCAACTGCCTCTTGTCTATGTCTCTTCCTTTGGTCTATGCCTTGGGACCCCCGGTCCATGCACCCCCCTAAAAAACAACCAACGCCGTCCTCGGCGTTCTTCCTACTATCACTTCTATTGTCCTATTCGTTCTCTTCTTCATCCGCTTCGTCTCTTGTCTGGTCGTTCTCTTCTTCTTCATGTCCCTTCTGTTTCTCTGATTCTTTCTCCGTTCTATCTTCTGTATCTGCTTCCGTGTCGTCGTCTCCTCTCTCTCTGATTCTGCGTTCATGCTCTTCTTGTTCTCTTGCTAACTTCGTTCCCGTTCTCGGGGTGAATGCTCTGAGTCGTCTTGCACTAAACTCTCCTTGAACTGGGATTCCGTTCAGCGCTTCAAGCTTGTACGAGTTTAGGATCTTCTCTCGTATACGCCTTGGGATTGACCATTTTGGTATGAGCTTTCGTTCCGCTTTGAACGTATAATCTAAATCATTGCGATATACTTGAACTAGTTGTCCGATTCGAAATATAACCTCACCTGGCGCTCGTTGTAGCAACTTTTTATCAAATGCTGCCTTCCTCTTGATCGCATGTCGCACTACTTCATCATATCCGTCCAACCGTTGTTGTTCGACGTATGCTATTTGAGTTAGTGGGTCTGAAGTGCGTGTCGCTGATGCGCTTTCTTCTACATTCGTCTTCGGTGTGTTGACTACTAATCCTAAAAGAAGTTCCTTTGGAGAAAATTTCAGCGCTGGCAATAATCGATAGTTAAGAGCGTGCACCGCATCCTCCAGATGGTCTGGCCACGATTGTGTCAAGCCGCTTTCTGTCGTTTTTTGTCCTTGACTTTGATCTTCTCCTAAACTTGGTGCGCATAAGCGTTTTAAAACGTGTAGTAAAAGCTTATTTGTTCCTTCTACAAGGCCGTTGATCCACGGGGAGTACGCCGCTACGATGTGTACTTTGCATTTCTTCGATTCGCAGAAGTCCTTCACTGCTTCGTTGTTGAAGTGCTTGCCACCGTCCGCCATGAATGTTTCCGGTGTTGTGAATGCGTTGAAGATGTTCTTGAGTCCTTCAATCGTCGTTTTTGCACTACCTGATGTTTTATATTTAAACACCCAGATATGCTGCGAAAACGTGTCCAAGTACACGCCGAGCGTATTGTATCCTCCTTTCCCTTTCGGGAGGGTGAGATAGTCTCCAACTAACAGTTCGAATGGGTGCCGCCTGGTTATTGGCTCTAGTAGCGAATTTATGTGCGTCGGTCCGAAGTTCTTGCATTTTGCGCAGTCTTTGATGGCATCTAGGATTGACGCGTCTAGCTTGGGGCTGCATATTCGGTCCAGTAATGCGATTTTGATCGCATCTCGTCCCCAGTGGCCTCCTTCTGCATGCTCTTGTGCTGCTAGTACCTTGGCTTCTCCTCTCGAGACACATTCTACTCTTGTCCTGGCTCTCGTCGTTGTGCCACCTCGTAGCTTCCAGAGCCTCCCTTCTTCTATAACGTACTGTTCTGCTCTGTGTCTTGCTCGCCGTTTCTCTCTGATCTCCGTGGCTTGATCTAGGTTACATATAGCTTCTACGACTTCCTTGAATACTGGCTCGTTCTCGAATCGTGTGCGAAGCTTGTCTACTTGTGCGTCCACCGTCGTAACGTTCATGATGTCGTTAATTAGTCCTATCCTTGCTTCCCAGTCTTCGCTTACCGTCCACTCGTTTCCGTCTCCTGCTACTGGAGCGGTGTTTTCCCATTTTCTGCTAAGGCCATCAGCAACGACATTCAGCTTTCCTGGTACGTGCCTTATGTCCACTATATGATACGCTAATATTCCCTCTCTCCATCTTGCGTGTACTACGTTCAGATGCGGATTCAGCAGCGTGTCTCTCATCGCCCTGCAGTCTGTTTCAATCTCGACCGGAAATCCCCAGATGATGCTCGAGAATTTATCCAACCCGAATTTGAGCGCTGCGAATTCTAGTAAGTACGATTTGTACTTCTTTTCTGTCGCTGATGTCCGTTTTGATGCGAAGCCTAGAGGATATAGACGTTCGACCCATTTCCCTGCTGATGTTCGCGTCTTGATTCTCTGTGCTAGGACCGCTGCGAAGCCTTCTATACATCCGTCCGATGTCACTATGAAGTGCGACCCATCGTATCTTGGTGCGTGTAATACTGGTCTTGATGTAATCGCCGTTTTTAGATCTAAAAATGCTTTAGTATGTTCCTGCGTCCAAATAGTACTTAACTTGAAGCCGCTCATGGCTCGTCGATACGCTGTTTTGGACATTGTGCTGTCTATGGGTGCTTGCAGTAGTAAATCTCTTAGTGGGCCTTCTCTTTTCGCGTATGCATTGATTAACGTTCTGTAGAATCCTGTTAGTCCTAAAAACGAGGCTAAGTTCTGTGCGTCTTCGGGTTGTCGCCAGTCTACAATGGCTGTCAGCTTTGTTAGATCTGGTTTCACTCCTTCTCTTCCTATCGTTCCTCCTGCGAACTCGGTCTCTGACATGCAAAGCTTTGTCTTGCTCGGAGCTATTGAAAATCGACATTCTCGAAAACGTTGAAACAAAACTGTTAGCTTATCCATCATTTCTCTAAACGTACCTGTCGCGCATCCTCCGTCGTCCATGAACAATTCCATATAGTGCGTCACTAGGAAATCGTGTAGCCTTTCTGCTAATGTATCGCAGAACGCTGTCGGTGCTCCTGTAATTCCCATCGGCATTCGTCGATATTGAAAGTACCCTCTTCCTTCGATGTAGAACACTAAATATGGACGCCACTTCTCCGGCACTTCTATCGCATAATACCCTGCTGCGAAGTCAAAAATTGAGATGTAACGTTGACCACTTAACCTCTGTTGTTTTGCTAATATATCCCCCTGCGGCATTGGGACTACTTCCGTTATTTTGTTAAGCTGCGCGAAATTCTGACAGATCCTCCATTTTTTCGGTCCTTTTTCTCTTGTTTCTTCTAAGGTAGGATTCTGTATCTCTCGTGGCGGTAACTCATAGGCTGGTTGTAGTCCCGCTGCTCTATGTTGGTCGTTGATTCGTTGCTTTAGCTCGTCCCATGGTAGACCGCCCGTTTCGTGTGCTCTTTGCGCTATAACCGTGGTTGCTACACATCGAATCAGTTCTGGGGATGCTCTCTCTACTATACCTGCTTCCAACATGTCCGTTACTCGCTCATTGTAAAACTTCGCTTGTTCGGGCATTAAAGGGCGTTGATGTATCCGTAGGTTGAATATTGCGTTATCTGGAACGTTTAAATTCAGCGCTGCTCCAGGAATAGGGACTACTTCTCTTAGCGTTAGTGCAAAACTGTCTGCGTTTTCCGCTATAAACTGTTCTAACTCCTTTTTCTCGTCTACTGTCAGGTCGTTCCCGAACGTGATCTGTCGGAGAATTTCTTTGACTCTTGCCGGATTAAATGGATTCATTTGTCTTGAGTATATTGACGCGTCGTTCCTCATCGGTTCTAACTCTGGAAGTTCTTCTAATAGTTGCTCTCCTCCTTCGTCTGGTCCTTCTTGTGCGTTTAATATGTTGATGCTCGTTGTTTCTTCTGTTAGATTATGTGTGTCAGTGCTTGATTGTTCTCTCGATACTCTGGCCGCTGTCACTCCCTTTGATGTGTTATTCTCTTTTTCTGCTGTTCTTTCTTTTGACGCGCTCTCTCTCTTCTTTCTGATCCAGTATCCTGTCGGCTTCCATTGGCCCATTGGGATGTTTGATGGTTTTGTTTTGTTTTCTAACGTCCTTTGTTGTTTCTCGTCTAGCGTGAGACTGACTGCATCTGCTCTCTGTAACATCCGCTTGTCCGCTATCTGGTTTTCTATTGCGACTGTTTTGATTCCGTCGGTTATCACGATCGTGTCCGTTTCGTATTCGTGAATTGCTGCGAATGTTTGAAGTGTCGGTTTTCCTAGTAAGAAGCCCCAGCTTCCGCCACTGTCAAAGACTTCAAACGTGCTCCGCACTCCGACTTCTTCAATCCTAATCATTCCCGTCCACTTTGCGATTGCTTTGACTATATTTCCATTTGCCATCCTTAATCGTTTGTCTGATGCGCTCCAGTTTCCCAATCTGTGCTTGATCTTCTCGAAGATCGACGTGCACATTGCACTGGTCATTGCGCCGTCATCAAATATCGCTCGTACTCTGACTCTTTCTCCTTGTGGACCTTCTAGCTCTATTCGGTGAGCGAACGGAACTGCCTCTCCATTTTTTAACTGAGTTTTTGTGACGACCGGGTGTCCAACCGAATACAAGTCATCGGTTTCGATTGCGTCGTGAAGTTCGGTAGTACATGCGATATCCTTAGCTACGCGCTCAGCAGAAACTTTGGGGCTAATGGTCCTAGAGTTGTCCTCGCATGTTGCCTCTTCGCATGCGAGGACTTCGACTCCGGCTTGAATGTGTTTGAGACTTTGGGTCGACGTAATGTTCTTTTTTACGTCAACCCGTCCGCTTTTCCCTGTTGTTCAGGAATCTCTTCAATCCACGCTTCTAACTGTGTCTCCTCGTAGCCGTTACTCATGACTAGTGATATCGGTGTGGCCGTTGCTCTGTTGTATGCGCCCAGCGTCTTGCTCACAATTGCTCTCCACGCTGCTTCTTTGCGCGTTAGCCTCTCTTCGTGGTTCGGCGGTAACGGGCAATCCTGTCCGTTGTGTCCATGTGTCCCACACGCGAAGCATTCGCTGGATGCGATGGCTGCCGTGCCCGGCTTTAGTGGGTATCCTGTCTCTTGTGTGACTCTCGCGTTCTCTCCCCATCTCGTGTTCCACTGTGCGAGCTGCGCTCTATATGCTGCTTTTCCTGCTGCGCTATCCGGGTGTTGCGGCATCGTTTGGACTAACTGCCTGACCATTGTTTTCATCTCCTCCGTTACTACTAACGGCTGTTGCGTTGTGGCCGGTTGCCGATTATACATTGGTTGTGCGTTCTGACGATTGGTTGCTGCTGGTACCCGGTTATATGTGTTGTTCGCTGTCGGAAGCGTTGGCGGTGTCGTGGGGTTAATCGACATTCTATTGAATTGACTTTGTAATGCTGCAATTGGGTTTTGCTGCGGTGCTCGTGTCTGGACTCGAGCTAGGTCTGCGCGTAGCGCTTTGAGCTCGTGTGATTGCTTGAGGTATTGTTCTTGTTTCTCTACAAGCCGACTTCCCTTGAGCTCTGTCACCGCTTTCGTGAACTCCTCCCACTTGGTATATTCTTCGTCTTTCAATAGATCCTTTACGATGTCCGGCAGTTTACTGCGGACTTGCCATATCATCGACGTGCTCTGTTCGATGCCTGCGTCTGTTGCGAGTTGAAGCGTCTTCATCGCCCATGCTACGTGCGTCCAGCATTCTCTATCGTAGAGCGTCTTCTTCTTTCCTACGTCTTCTTCTCGTAGTATATGCTCTAACAATTCTTTCTCATACTCTGCTCTTGTCTTTTCCGCTATCTGGACTGGCGGCCAGCGTTCCTCGAATGCTATCACAAATGCATTCCATGTTGCTTTGTCTTTCGACTGCAACGCTTTGAACCATCGTTCTGCTTGTGAACTTGTTCCGAGGTAATCACCAAAAGCGTCTAATTTGTCGGTGCTGTCTGTTATTGTCTGCTGACGCATTGCTCGATTGAAGGATTTCAGGAAATCCGCCGGATTTTCTGATGCTCTTCCATCGCCGTGAAATATCTGCGGGGTCTCTACAGGCATGACGGCTTTTAACTGTGCGAGTGCAAAGAATTCGGCTAGATTGTAATTCGGTACTGTGGAGATGGATGTGAGCTGCTCTGTCTTCGTGCGACGACGTGGTTGTTGGACTTCGGACGATGGTATGTAGATGTCTAATTTTTGGACTTCTAGTTCTGGGAAGGGGACTTGATTGTTCTGCTGTTCGTCTTCTTCCGAGAGGCTGCTTAGTGACGATGTGCTACAGTGACTTGGTGTGTTGTGTCCTGATGGATCTGGTGTATCGAGAGGAGATGATGCTGCTGATGTCTTTTCTGACCAGAGTTCCCAGTTCGTTTTTAAACGAATGTTGGTTACCGCTTGTCCTTTTGCTGTTCTGGGTCTCAATTTGTTAGCTTTGGGCATCAAATATAAACGTAAATGCGAGTAAGATGAACACTGCTCTTTTTTGTAATTGGTGTTGTTTTTGATGTGAGTTGCGACGTAATAAGACTGTATGTTTCTGTAAATGGTTCGTTAGCTTCTATTTGGGAGCTTCTATGTTCTATTCTATGACTAAAATCTAGACCGCGAGCTAATGCTTCTTTCTTCTGCGTGCTTTTTTGTGTGATAGGTGTGTGATGCAATATCGCGCTGGTTCGGATTCTCTCTGTTCACCACGATGGACTAGGACGAAAGCAGTGAGGGGAGAGCTCTATGATGCGTGATGATGTGTTACACTATGAACAGAGTTTGGCTATGTGCGCGTGTCGCTGACTAAGCTATGGCTATCGCCGAAGGACCAACTGCCTCTTGTCTATGTCTCTTCCTTTGGTCTATGCCTTGGGACCCCCGGTCCACCGGGATCTATGTAAGTAAAAGATACGCAGCTACATATTTTCAAGAAGACTACTGGTGTTTGTATGGTAACGATATATAAAAGACCTCGTGCGGGACTAGTACTACCTAAATAAAAATACGGATATACGAAAAGAGAATGTGGCGTGAAGCGATTATCCAAGAATGACTGCCTGCAATCACTACGGTGGCAATGCACTTTGAACATAACTGAGAATGTGGTCAACAGTTGGTCTGTCAGATGACCTTGACCAGCATTCTTGAAGAAGGGGTACGTGGCGCCTGTCAACTGAACTGTCTGCTGCCATGGGTTGCATACCCTTGTGTCTGGCAGCCATGATATGAAAAGGGTCTGCCAGCCAATCATAAGGGAGCTTTCCGGATAGCACCTGAATTGTAACTCAAAATGCAGGTACTATAAGGCAAAATAAGAGGTAGCAGTGAAAATACGTATGATTATGTTCTAGACCAAAAGGTTTGAGGACGAGCAACAGAGGTGCAGAGTACATTCAGGAGATGTGAGATTGCTGGAGAACTACTCTAACGAACCATAAAGTCACAGCCTTTAGATCACCCCAGCTGTGCCCGTTTTTGATCGTTCTCGCGCACACATGCATTGATTTACGGAAATACGTACTGTACAATATGATAGACGATCTCGACTCCACAACGTGAATAAAATCAACAAACGTTCATACCCTAAACGTTGAGAGTGGGCTTCTCTTTCTCTCCTGCATGAACCTTCTTTGCGACAATGCCCTTATAGGCAATTTGAAAGTCGGATCGCATATCTTTCATGCTGCTGGGGACCCCCTGCATGAATTCCTCGACCTCTAGAACTCCAGATCTGAGTGCATCAATGTCACGGGCACGATGAGCGGATGAGGAAGGTTCCAGCTGCTTGCGTAATCTGAATCCCTTCTTGAGGAGCGCTCTGTAAACAGGACGTTGTTAGCTATTGATGTTGCCGAGTAAGTGAGGACGGACGCTATCTCGCTTATCTGCTGGCCCAACTCCTCGAGCTTTTCATGAGACTCCTTTTTGAAAAGGACTTTCGTCTTCATTTTGGCAGTGTGAGTCAGAGTAATGCCTCGTTCCAAGCACACCAGGAGGTGAGGCAACGGTCCAAGGAAAAGCAGGCTGTAATAACTAGGACGCCATTCAGGGGACTGCGTCTGCTTCAGGCATGCCATGAATATCCCATTGATTTCGGCATTGACTGCACGACTCGAGCGGCGTCTGACGTAACGACGGTATGCGTTCTGAATTTTGCAAGCCGCCTCTTCTTCCTCCACCGATGGTCCGTTGGTGCGTAGCGACTCGTCAAGGTCAGGTGCAATAAATGTCACCGCTTCATCCAAAGTCTCCGATGCATCACGGGTCTCGGTATCAGCATTCGCCGTGACATCTTCCGCCCTTTCTTCTTCTCCTTCGAACTCTTGGGGTCGCGGTTCCTTTATCTCTTTCTCATCATACTGCATAACCTCTGGTTGGTCTTTGGGATGTCCTAAGCGACGTACGGGGGCAGGGGCCTCTACTCTCAGGGTAGACTGCGCGATCGCTGCACACGATGAAAGGAGATGGGGGATCTCGATGGTCTTCTCGTATGCGAGCCGTCGGCCTATACTAGTATTGACTCGAGTATGTTGGTTCATCGTTTTGTGGACAAGATGCACCAGGTTTCCTACTCCTTTATTGTCGTCGAAAGCCAGGAGAGCTCGCAGATAACCGTCTGGAAGTGGCGTACATCCTGGCAAGGGTATTATGCACCTGACCACGTCATCCACGAGTTTCCGATAATTAACTGGATGCACATTCGAAGGAGGGTCGTTTCTGTGCAGAGAAAGAATGATATTGTCTACTGTGTTTCTCAAGGTGCGATTGCTGATGTTATGAGCAACTAATGAATACAATTCAGCAGCGGATGAGTATTGAAAAAAGACAATAGACGTACTGAGGCAGAGAACCCTGCAGCTGCAATACACATGATCAATATGTACATCGCCGACGGATACTAAATTGGACTCACATCCGAGAAATGAAAAAATTGCGGAGAATGGGCGTAAATCTCGTATGATTCAGCCAGAGAAAATCTGCCTAATTGTAGTCTCGGATCTCCGAAAAGTCGAGAGACTCACCCATGCTTGCTTCTACGCGCAATGCTTCGACTAGCCTCGCTATCTCATCCAGAAGCTTGTTCATCAAAAGTAGGTTGGTTTTTTTCTTCGCAGTGAATTTGTGGGGAAATAGTAGCCAGTTACACGGAAGGACGACGTTGTGAAGAGGAAACTCATTGAAGTCCGGGCCCATTCGATAGTTGATTACAAAAGCACTGCAGATGTCCTCAATACAGTCGCACAACACCGAGAGGTTGACATATAAACGATTATCGAGGACATGCCTGAATTGCACTTAGTTCATTGCATGTAGAGACAAGAAGAACGCGCTTACAGAATATACAGAATCCCCGATGAGATGCTGCTGTGAGCAGCTCCTTGGTAAGAATTGAGCAGGTCATGAGCCATGTAGCGTTTGTCCCACTTGCGAACGAGTTCGAACGGTCCGGAGATCGTACACTTTGCTCGAGAGATGTAGACAGGTGCGTCGTCCTTGTCAAAAGCAAAACTGAGACTGGTCATTCCCATCAACACCGTCAAAAATTCAGCCTGAGTATGCAATGGGTCGAGCGAGTAGAAGGATTCACGGATCCAGAGCTTCCCGACTTTCATGCCATCTCGACGAAGAGGCATCAGGTTCATGTCGAGATCCGCGGGGGAACCTTGAATGAAGAAGGGTGGATTGTTAATCTCGTAAAGATGCTTGAGCCAATTCTGCATGCTAATAAAGTGATCAGTATGAGCACTGGATCATAAGCTACCTCCAGGCGTACCTTTTGCGTCGCTCAATGTGTGGGTGAGCGGAATGCATGAATTGCAAGATCAGGATCTGCCAGATGTGGATAGCAATACGGTTGTCGTGATACTGGCGATCCAATTTCGATACTGCAACATGCTCTTTGGGACAGTTATCTCTTCGACATGCTCCGGATATCAAGAATTGCAGGCATTGCGAGAAAACGGGAGATTTGCAACACATAGCATTGATCTCCGTTATTTTGTCCTTCAAGATCGTTCGAATGGATTGTTGTAGCAGCTGAGTGACGACTCTACGAGAAGTTGTGTACCCAGACGAATGTTCCGATATCCAAGTGATCCCCTGGCGGACTTCCATCAAGTTGTTGTGGAGGAACGTTCCACCTGGTATGAGAAACTGGTCACCGGATAACCGCACGATGGAGAACAGTCTCTGAATATCCCTATGCTTCATGGGATCAGGGAAGGTCAAAATCAGATAGAGCAGTCGCGCATAGGTGTGAAATTGTTGAAGAAACTGTTGCATTTCATCGACCGTGAAAGCTCGAATATCTGTGGTCCGAGAGAATATATGATCCAGGCAAATGAGAGCTGCTAGCTTGTTATTCTGTTTATGGAAGTTAAGCGCAAGATTTCTCAACGGCTCATGATTTCCGCGCAAGATGTTTTGAAACATCGATATCTGAATGTCGATCAGTCCAGCGGTTACTCTGAGACTGCTAATACGTACTAGATCACGTGTGGCCGGCGTTAGTTTGTTCGCCTCTAGTTGATCAGCAAGAGCTATGAAATGCTGCAGTGGCTCGTCAGCAATGGATTTCACAGTGATCCTAAAGGAGCATTTGCGCCAGAAGTATTCCAACATAGTATCGGCCGCACGAATGGTAGAATCGACGTTGCTTTCGTCCTTGATGAATGCCCGGACAGCTTCCAAGGGCCTATTCTCTGACAAGTGGAGTTCTGCGGCCTCATAATACCTCGAGTGAGATTCAAGCAGTGAGGCACGAACGTAATCGAGATCATAGTTCTCCATAAATTCGAGTTCCTCCTCAAATGTCGAGAAGAGGGGCAAGGGGGGCCTGCGCAATTGCCGTTAAATAAAAACATTGTGGAGAGTCTAAGACTTACCGAGTGGTCCTGCTGCAGTAAAAGAGTCTGCACACAGTCCATAACTCCGCCGTGGTCTCTTCAGGTATATCCATGCCATGGTCATTAAGGACATGAAGGGTCTTGTCAAACCGTCCAACCTTGCGATACCTCTTCGCCGCTTGCTCGAACTCTTGAGCACTGAGATAGGCCTCAGCAGCTTTAAGATCATCTCCTGCTCGAACGTAGCAATCCGCTGAGTTACGATAGTATTGGAGCTTCTGATTTCCTGTCGCGGTCGCCCCACAATCAGTAAAGGCATCGGCAGCCACGTTAAAAGCTCTTTTTTGGTTGCTGAGTAAGGCCACTCCGACACTAGAACGTGCGGCTTCTCGGAGTTGATATGCTTCACAGACCTTCACTTCACGATGAAGGTTGGCACGTTCGAAGCAGTGGATAGCCTGCGAGTAGCGCTTGTGCGAGAATAGTGAGCGCCCGAAGGAGGCCCATTCTTCTGGAGTCGAGGAGACGGCTAGATGAGGGACTTCCGTGCCGGGGGTACAATTCCGGACCTGGTTGCGAGACGTCCAGAATATCTGAAGAGAAATGGTTATGAGATCGAGTTACGCCAACATGCTGCTCTCAACGTACACGCATCGGCTCTGATCTGTCAGATTTGTCAACGATCCATATGTTCTTCCTTGCTCGAGTGATTCCCACATAAAGAATTTTGAGCTAATAAAGTAAGCCAGAGTCTATTTCAAGGATCGGTGTGCCCACCTCGCTGCAAACCCCAGCGTATCGCGCTTCGTCTCGATCGAAGTTCGGTGCATATCCTTGACCATCTACCCCATTGAGAACTACGCGCCATCGTGACAGATCTACAGCAGAATCCTCGAAAAAGTTGTACAAAAGCACCTGACCGAAGTCAGACATCCATCAGATAGCAAACTTAGCTTTCTCACATCATTAAATTCCAGGCCTTTGCTCTCATAAAGCGTCCTGAGTACATATGTAAACATGAAAACACGGAGTAAAGGTGGTCTTTACACGACTCACATGATCAGTCCAACCTCACCAACTTGGTCGCGTAACCTCTGACGTGCTGCATCGTCACGCACAAGAATGCCTAGATATCTTATCAGTGTATGAATGTAAGCTTCAAATAATTGCTTTACATTGCTCGGCTCCGAACTCAATGTGACCACCCCTAGAAAAATCTTCAGGAAAAGAGGTGGGCTATTGTCCAGGTCCACTTACTTCGTCCCAAACAAGAACTGCTCATGATGAACGGTGGCTTTATCCCAACCTGTAAAAAATACGGGCTTCAGCCCGTCAACCACCCCCATTTCTGGTCGAAGTGTATCAATTGTGTTGGGCCAAAACTTTGTGATGAGCTCGATCACAGAACGTGCGCAGTTGACGATACCACCGTGCGATCTGTAGTTGATCGCCAATTGAAACATCGCAGGCTGACGAAGACATGCCCCAGCGGAATTGGCCGATATATTTTGCTGCTGCTGCTCTAAGGTATCAATTCAGGCCCGAGCTAAGTCACTGTCTGCTCACCTCCACACGGTAGAGAAACGCTTTCAGGTCATCGAACCTAAAGGAACTCCCTGCAGAAATCGTCTGTGCGGTGTCCCCAGCCCAGAACAAACCGTCTGGATTCCTGCATAGTTGCCTCAAAACTATAACAGAAAGTTCTAAATGTATTTATGTCAACGAAAGATGGAGTAGCTACTTACAGAGTGCGTCGATCAGAAGGTTGTCTTGTGCTTCGTCGACATACCTAGTGCAGGTGGTCAGGCGCAAGATGCATTGGTGGTGATAATACATACAGATAATCGATCTGTTTGCCAGGGAATTCTTTGCTCCGCAAGACCTTGAGTATTGCATGCGTGCTATTTGTGAATATATCGTGACATGACATGGGTGAGAAGGGGAATAGGTCATACCGGTCCGCAACATCATGATGACGTCGCTGCCTCTTTATTTTCGTATAATGCTCGAACATGTCGTACAGAATTCCCCTCTGATTCGCAAAATTTGGGTTAGAACGATGAGGAAGACGGAGATAGTTTGGGCGATCGAGGACTCCTTCAGGACAGGTCAGCGCGTGTTCGGAGCCTTTGACGATCCCTGTATGTATATTAAAAAAGTGTCGGTGTCAATGTAATACAAATAGTACTCACCCATGAATTCGCTGAAAACCAACCACGGATCTAATGGGGCAGTGTCAGTACTCTATTGTCGTCATAAGAGAAAAGGACGCTACTGAGATTCTTGCTGAGATTCTGTGGAAAATGAGGCCAGTATTGATTTGCGAACACGTCATAGGTGACGAAACAGTCATGCGCGTCAGCATCGTCAACATTGAAGAAAACTCCTGCACTGTCTTTCCTGCTCAAGATATCTGCCGCGATCATTTTCGCCAGCTACATAAAGTTTCGATTAGCTTGGGAATTAAGACGACAGATTGGGACGCACTCGATCGAAAGTGAGAAAAAGAGGAAAGTGCTTATCCTCAAGTTCGCTGTATTTCATCGGTATATTCATCTGTGATTCGGGCACATCGTCGAGATCAACAAGGCCCTCCTGGACACGTCGTGCCTTCATTTTTGCAAGTTCCTCTAGGGTATAGCCTGCTAACGCCAGAGATTCGAGAAGCTTCGTGAAATACTCTTCTACTTTCGTAGCGAGTACTCTGGATTTGGTGACAAAGATTTGGCGTGGCTTCGGCATGTCGATGGCACTCATCTCCCAAGCTCGCTGAATGCCGAGAATCTTAAACAGCATCGTCGTGGTTTTGCTAGTTGAGTATGATAAATAAGTGAGATATGTTAGGGGCAGGACACTTACCCCGTGCCGCTGCGACCCAGGACGTAACATGACGTAGTACACTCGACAATCTTTTGTTCTTGGGGACTGAACCAATATCGATCAGTAAATTCGGTTCATTGGGGCAGAACTTACGTGAGCATAAAGACGTGCTGTACATCTTGGTCTGCGATGAGACCTTTTGCAAAGATGAGAATAAGTGGCGAGCCAATTACATGATCACTCACTATGCAAGAACGCCTAAAACAAGAGGTTATCGAGTCAATATTCGCGTGCCCATAAACCCTATTTATAAGCTTACTTGCGAGAATGTGACATATTTCTCCAAACTAGAAAATTGTTAGATGGAAACCAATTTGTATAAGGCTGGCGAAAATACACACACAAGCAAAGAGTGAAGCTATGACAGGGATCAATGACCGCACAAATGACAACTGAAACTACTCAACGTGGTCCATGTCCTTGTTACTAAGATTAAGTGGGCCTCCTGAGCATTCTGGTTCAGGTTCAGCTAGTGGGAATGACGCAGGTAGAATCGCGTTGTCTTTAGATAGGACTGGCCTGTTCCGAAAGATACACCTGCACAAGCAACGATTCACTGAAATGCATCAAGAGTTGAAAGAATGCCCTCACCTTTTACGATATTCTCTACCCTTGCGTGCGAGATGGCTACCCAAGGCATCCCATATTCCGTCAAGCTGAGCATCCATATAAATGCCGTATATCTTGATTACTGGAGTTCATATGAGTGCTAATGGCGCAAAGATGTAATTGCACTTGATAGTTTACCTTGTCTGTCGGACTGTCAAGATCAGTATCAGTATCATGCCCAATGTTATGTAAAAACGACGTACCTTTCCATCTTGGTCAGGGACACAATCGATTTGATACTGTTAGAAAAGGTCGGTCGCCTCAAGCTCTAAACGACGTACGTGAAAGTACACTTACCACCAGTTGTAGGTCCTTTGTCATCTTGGCATCGTAGATGGGTATGCCTGCATCCGGCCCGTTAAGTCGCCTGTGATTATCATCTGAAAAATGGCCATTCGATAGTTGTCTGTGGAAACGATGAGATCATTCCAGTAAAATTCTTCAGAAGACCGACTTGATCTTCTTGAAGATGATCTTGAATGTCTTCTTATCTGTTCTACGGAATTCACGCAAATGTTTGTAGGCCTCCGTAGATATCAGGATTTGCCACTCTCCGAACCCGTCCGCGTTGTCGAAGTAAAGCGCAGCCTTCATAGGCTGCACCATTTGGTATGCATTGAGTCGGTCTGTTGGGCTCTCAACATCCTCGGTTGACGAAACTTCAGGCGCAACATATTTGGCATACTCTCTCACGACTGGAAAGAGTAAGGCTTTGATGTCGCCTGCCAATTCCGTCCTCCGCAGAAGCGAGAAGTAGAACTTACGGAGAACTGTCAGGGGAAACGTCAAAAAAAGCGAATATACTCACCGAGAGGGCGTTCTTCAGCTTTGCAAGAATCTGAGTAGACAATGATGCGGCAGCCTCGCTTGTGAGAGGGACAACCACACCAAGCCTCACGAAGAGCGATGTGTCGATAGACGTATGAGCTTTCGGGCGATTACGCTTGCGCATTTTCTGAGGGACTTTCTTCTTGACGAACCCATCATCAGATTCGTCGAGAAGATCGATCTCGTCTTCAAACGACTCTACACAAGAAAATTCCATAGTGTTCAATGCGAAGAGTGCAGGTAAAGCGCCCTCGATGAAGCATCTGTGGCGGGTGATGTCCCTAGAGACACCCATCGCTAGAGACTCGGCCGGAAAAGCTAAAAAGTTCATAGACAGATTGTCCAACATCTTTCTCGCGATGGATGCCGGATATTCTTGAGATTTCGTTGGAAAGTCTGTCATGATCTGTGAGATCATTGCCTCGCGACGATCCCAAACTGTTACAGAGTCAGAGTTGATGACGCTCGAAGAAAGTCTATGAGATACCAGATATGATATATGCAAAAATATGGGGTGACGACAACATATGTTCGACCGTAGCTTGTAATGCGGTTGCTCCTGAACTTGACATTGCGTCCAGATGACGCAAGGCGGCTCTGAGGCCTGCCTCGTTGACTATTCGATCTTTGGAGAATAAGTCCAACATGGTCTGTTGAACTTGTGATGACGAAGTTGTTATATGAAAGGCTGGGGAACTTAGACTTGAGCTATGTCAATGGTATAAAGGAATGCGGCCTCGAGCTTGAGGCAATTCTGCAAGGATGTTAGTGTCACAACCCAATAATGAATTAACGCTGGGCAGAGACTAGGACTCAAACAAAGAATAATCACGCAGAGGAAGTAGGCAGCAGGTACGTCTTGGTATTGCTCACTTGGAGATACAAGAGGTTTGAACTAAAGAACTACTGACTACGACGAGCTACCTATATACACATATTGAAACTGAGACTGAAACTGAGTATGAACTAATTAACCAATCAGAATAATTAAAGGTATCGTACGATTCTATATATAACTATGATGTCATAACATGTGCCGCAGCCGCAGTAAGACTCTGGAACATTCCAAGAGTGTCGCGAGGCATGACGTCAACATCTTCGGCATTGTCCGATTGATCACGTGACTCTGGTAATTCTACAATAGACGCAATAATAGGAACTTCTTCAACAGTAAACATATTCTTAGGAACAGGCGCTGTGACTGGGCGCTTAAAGGACTTAGAATTAAGGAATGAATAATGGTTTGTATTTGGAACTCGTGACATTACCCCCTCTCTAGGATGAGCGTCATCGCGAATGAAACTAGGACGAATAAACTTCTTGCGCCATTCCAAAAACTCTTGGGTTTTGAACACCGATTTATTAATTTTGCGGGGATTTAATGCCTTCGGATTTTGCCGGTGAAATTCTTGAACTTTCAACCGTGCATTCTCAAGGTTTTCCTCAGGTTCCCATGTCGCTTCTTCTATCGGATATCCTTCCCACTCTACTAGGTATTGGAGTTTTGATCTGTGCAGTCTCGAGTCTAGGACTTTTCGTACTATCCATTCGGAATCGCCTTCTGATAAGATCTCTGGCGGCGGACGATGATGTGGAAGTCTTTGGACTAAGGTCGAGGGGGAATGCGGAGTGAGTAATTCTACGTGGAATACCGGATGAATCTGATATTTTGCTGGAAGGTTCAGGCGGTAATTTACGTCACCCGTCTTCTCTAGCACTTCAAACGGACCAAGTCGTCGATCGGAGAGTTTCTTATTTGGTCTTTTCTGACGGATATTTTTGGCATTGAGCCAGACCAGATCTCCTTTCTTGAATTGTGGTGCGTCTTTTACTCCTTTATCGTAGAATCTCTTCATCCGCTCATTCGCCATTCGCAGCATACTTTCTGCGTCTTCCTTTGCCTCTTTCATTACATCCACTCGTTCATCAGCTGCAGGTACTTTAGAATTGGAAATTGGTGAAAAAGTAAACTCTGGATCGTATCCGTAGAGTACTTTGAATGGACTATGACCCGTTACAGTGACAGAGTTATTGTGAGCGAATTCTGCTATCGGAAGCCAGTCTACCCAATCATTTTGGCGGTAAGACGTGAACATTCTCAGATATTGCTCTACTTCTTGATTGATTCTCTCTGTTTGTCCGTCTGTCTGAGGATGATAAGCCGTTGACATGTTCCATTTTATGCCTAGGCGTTTCGACACTTGTCCCATAAACTTGGAGACGAATTGTGTTCCTCTGTCCGATATCACCTGTTTCGGAGTTCCATGGTGTTTCCATACGTTATCTAGGAAAAGTTTCGCGATTCCTCGAGCATCAACTTCCTTTTTCGTAGGCATGATGTGCGTTTGTTTCGTGTATCGATCAACGACAACAAAAATAGAATTGAACCCTTCGCTTTTAGGCAAATCTACTATCAAATCACAAGTGATTGATTGCCAAGGTCCCGCTGGTATTTCATTTGGTTTAAGCGGACCATGTGGTTGCGTTGGGTGAATCTTCGTTGCTCTGCATCTATCACAGCCATCTACGTAATCGTGGACATACTTCATCATTGAAGGCCACCAATAATTTCTGGAAATCAATTCCAAGGTTTTGGCACGTCCAGGGTGTCCAGCCGGTGGAGAGTCGTGAAACAACTCCAATATCTCTCGGCGGATCTCCTTATCATTTGGAACATAAACCAGTCCTCGGAATAACACCAATCCATCCTCCACATTCCACTCTTCGACTCCTCTACGCAATTGTACCGGTGCTGCTTTTAGCGTTTGTAGCGCTTTAGCGACTTCGGGTTCTCGTTCTGTGCATTGCCTTATCTTTCTCAGCAATTGTTTTTCTCCTTGCACTAGAACTTGACCTCTTTTAGCAGCTTTTACAGTAAAAAACTCCGGTTTTAACAAAATACAATCAGAATTGTCGTTTTCTACCCCCCCTCTGTGGTCTTCTCTCCGAGAAAGCTTATCGGCCTTATCGTTGACTACACCAGGCTTATGTTGGAGCGTAAATTCATACTCCGCCAGGAACAGACTCCATCTGGCTTGCCTTCTTGTCAACTTTTGGCTCGTCATAAAGTACTCGAGATTCTTATGATCCGTCCAGATCTCCACATGGTGAGGTTTTCCCTGCACATAGTGCCTCCACTCCTCCAACGCTCGAATGATTGCGAGTAACTCTTTGTCATGGATGTCATAATTTCTTTCTGCATCGTTCATTGACTTAGAGTAATACGCCACGGGGTGCCATAGGTCATCTTCCATCAGTTGAGATAGAACCGCTCCAGTTGCATAATCAGAAGCATCGGTTTCTATTTTCATTTTCTTCTCAACGTCAGGCATTACTAGGATCGGAGCTGATGTAAACCTTGACTTCAGTTCATCAAAAGCATCTTGCTGTTTCTCCGTCCAGTCCCATTTGACATCTTTCCGTAATAAATCATTCATTGGTCTGGCAATGTCCGAAAACCCGAAGATAAATCTTCTGTAGAAGTTGGCAAAGCCCATAAATGCTTGAATATCTTTAACGCATTTGGGTACAGGCCATTTCATTACTCCTTCTACTTTCACAGGGTCCATTCGAACACCACCCTTTTCCACTATCAACCCGAGGAACTCGACTTCTGTCTGTTCGAAGCTACACTTTTCAGGCTTCAGATACAGATCATTTTCTTTTAGTCGTTTCAGTACCTCTTGTACAACTTTTCGGTGTTGCTCCCTATTGCCATTCGTGAACACGAGGATATCATCGATATAGACAACTACGGTCTTTCCATCAATTAAATCTCTGAATATCTCGTTCATCATGGTTTGGAACGTGGCAGGGGAATTTGTTAAACCGAAGTACATCACGGTTGGTTCATGGTGACCAAACGGCGTTTTGAAGGCCGCCTTCCACTCATCTCCTTCTTTCATGCGAATATTATTGTACCCCCATCTTACATCCATCTTGGAGTACATTGTGGCGCCGGTTAAAGCATCAATCAAATCTTGAGATCTCGGTAGCGGATATGCATTTTTAACCGTCTTCTCATTGAGCTTTCTATAGTCCATCACCGGTCTTAACTTGCCATCATTTTTAGCCACAAAGAAGAAAGGTGCTGCCACTGGAGATTGTGAATTTCTTATACGTCCCAGTGCAGTCTCAGCTTTTAACCAATCTTTCAAAGTGTCCATCTCCTTGGGTGATAAGGGATAGGGTTTCGCATTCGGCGGAAGATCGCCATCATCTTTAAGATCTATCGCATGATCCCATTTCTTTCTTTCAGGGAAGCGCTTAGATTCTTCTTCTGAGAAAACTCCCAGGTACTCGTGAAGCCAATCGGGAACCATCTCTTCGACCGATTTCTTCACCTTCGTTGCTTCTTCTGCAACCTTCTGCTCCGTGGCAAACGAGGCTTTATACTTGATCCATTCTCCAGGATACTCTTCATCTTCTATTTCCTCAACTGTCGCCCTTTTCATCGCCATGTCTTCTTCGTCATCCTCTTCTGTGGGAATCAGATCTGGCACTTCTTCTATCTTTTTTTGTTCTTTTCTTTTTTCTTTATTTTTTTGTCTTTGTTCTTTTTTAGTAATACATTTAACCGGGCAACGAGAAAGTGCAAATCGTCCAGTGTTCCAATCTATTTCCGGGTTGTGATATCTTAGCCAATCTATGCCAATAATAACATCATCGCTTCCTAAGTCTGTAACCATGAAGGCTGCTTGATCCTCAACATGATCACCGATCTTTAGACCTAATTCTGCGTAATGAGTCATCGATCCAGCGGCATT